CACCAGCACCTACCGCACCACCCCCGTTCCCCAACCATCCTCACCCCTCTCAGCCCCTCGCCCAAAGCAGCTGCAGCGGCAGGAGGGGCCAACACTCCCCGCATTCCCTCTAAACCTTTCCCTTGCGCCGACTGAATCCCTGAGACGCTGAGAAAGCTTGAAAAGCTTGGAAGGACTTGAAAGCATCGGCGCCACTCCCTTATTGCCGTCAGAAGCATTGTTTTGGGATGACTGACACGCCTGCATAGACTGAAACCATTCGGGCCCTGAACGCCACTGCCCGTATTGCCGCCGTCTGAAGCATTTCTTTGAGACTGAAAAGACTGAAACGCCTGGAAAGCCTGGGAGAGTGGAGAGGCGGAAAAGGTTCCGGCCCACTGCCCGCATTCTTCTGAGATGCCTCAAAAGCTGCCCGAAAAGCATCAAAATCACTGCCGCGTTTCCCCCGTGAGAGGCACTGAAATGCTGAGAGCTGGTGGGAGGGTTACCGTTATATAGAGCTGTGGGGGGGTTACCGAGCATAGAACTAGTAGGAGGATTGCCGTTGAGGGAACTACTAGGGGATTGCCAAGCAGGGAGCTCCCAGGGGGGTTAAATGGGGAGGACGGGTGGAAGGGGGAGGATGGATGGAAGGGGAGGAGGGGCGCAGAGGCGAACCGGAAAAGGAAGAGTTGTTGAAGGAAGAGGCATTGAAGGAAGAAGCATTGAAGGACGAAGCGTTCAATGAAGAGGCGTTGAATCCCGAGAGGGCCAGGGCAGCTGGGTTGGTGGCAGATAATGCGTGCAGTGCAGAGGGGTTCAGAGCAGCGAGGTTCAGTGCAGAGGGGTTGAGAGCGGTGGAGTTGAGAGGATTGGCCTGGCTAAGCAACGAGCCTAAGGAGCCCTGGAAGCTCATGGGAGGAGGACTCATCCCGCCTCGCAGACCGTTCAGTTGCCCGTTCATCTGCCCGTTCAACTGCCCGTTCAGCTGCCCCAACCCCATCAAATTACACATGGGCGCACCCATTCCCCGAGCCTGAGCCAGCAGGGAGGCTTGGGAAGCTGCGAGCATCTGTGCCTGTGCTGCCGCCTGCACCGAGCCTGCACACCCGAGCCTGCCTGCTGCATCTGAGCCTGAGCCATAGCCTGGGCCCGAACCTGCACCTCAGTTTGTACCCGAACCTGCGCCTGTGCCATCTGCTGCAAAACGCTCGTCTCTTGTATAAGCCTCCGAACCTCAGCCTCCTTTTTCCTTAGTCTCTCCTCCTCCCTCTCCGAAACCTCCCTGCTATCCCCCTCGTTTTTCATCATCCTCATCCTCCTCGTCCTCTTCCTCCTCCTCCCTTCTCCTTCTCCTCCTTTTCTTCCTCCTCCCTTCTAGCCTACTTGATAACCTATTTACTGAGCTCCCTCCCTCACTCTCGCTCTCACTCTCACTCTCCCAACTCCTGCCTCTGCTCCGGGATAAGTCCCTAGTCCATCCATCCTCCTCGTCCTCCTCCCTTTCCTCCTCTCCATTCTCCTCGCCTACCCCCATCATCATTATCACCACCACCACCCACATCATCCCCTCTTCTCCTCTCACCCTCACTCACACCCCTCGCCTCCTCCCTTCCTCTCCCACCCACATCACGCCTCTCTTCTCTCTCACTACCCTCCAAACGGCACTCCTCCCTCTGACCACTTCTCTTGCCAGACCCCCCCATTCCCCTCCTGCCCACTTCCCCTCGCACCCTGCCCCTGCCCCTGCCTCCCCTGTTGCTGCAGCAGCAGCTGCTGCTGTTACTGCTGGTACTTCTGCAGCAGAGCCATCTGCGGGGACACCTGTGCACTCATCAGCACCGCACTCGACCCTGCAGCACCCATAGCACCGCACCCCAGCATCCCCGCTGCAGTTGCAGCAACCCCAGCACCAGTTCCCGCAAGCCCCAGGGCCCCAGACGCCATCCCTGCGGCAGCACCAGCTAAACACCCTCCAGCCGCCGCCGTGCCAGGGGCACCGCAGAAAAACCCCCCTCCAGCCGGGGAGACCCCTAAAGAAGCCCCTCCAACAGGCAGAGAGACGGAGTTTGCTCTGTTGGGACTCTGCCTGTAGGCCTACTAATGCCCTGAGATGCATTGACGGCCCCTGAGAGAGGGTGGAAGAGAGGGATGGAGATAGTGTGGCGGGGCTAGAAAGCTGGTTCGGGAGGAACTGGTTCGGGAGGAGCTGGTTCGGCAGGAACTGGTTCGGAAGAAGGGGGTTCGGGAGGGCCTGATTGGGAAAGGCAGGGGAAGCTAAGGACTGGAAGGGAGAGGTGCTGAAGAAGTGAGGGGGAGGGGAGGGAGAGGTGGGGTTCACGCCAGTAAGATTCACACCAGTTGGGTTCACGCTAGTGGGATTTATACTGGTGGGAAGACCTGGCAACTGAGTGCCAGGCGCAGGGGCATTTGGAGTGGCAGCAATGGCAGCAGAGACAGCAGAAACGGCTGGGGCATCGGAAAGGCCTTGAGGGCAGGGCGATGCGAAGGAGGGGAAGGTATTGCTGGTTTGGAGAGGTGCTGAGAAGGGATTTGGCAAGGGTGGAAAAGGGGGTTGGATGGAGGGGTGGGGGAACGCTGCTGCCTGCTGCTAGCTGCTGCTCCTGCTGCGATTGCAGCTGTTGCTCCTGCTGCTGCTGGCGCTGCTGTTCCTGCTGATGGCCATTCCTCATTTCCTCTTCCAGCCTCTGCATCCTCAACAGCACCTCCTCCTCACTCTCCCTCTCCCTCTCACTCTCCCTATCATTCGCCCTCTCACTCGCCCTCCCCCTCTCACTACTCCTCCCCCTCATCACTACCCTCTGCTTCTTCCCTCCTCATCCCCTGCCGTTTTCCCCTTCCCGCCCACGCCCCACCCCGTCTCCCTCACGCTCCCTCTGCTCCCCTCCTTATAGTCACATCCATCATAACCACTTTCCCTCATCCCCACCATACCACCCCCCTCACTCCCCATTCGGCTACCCCCTCCCCTCCCTCCTGCCTGGGCATATGCGTTATAATCCCTACCATCGCCCTCTTCCGCTATAACAGCGGGAGGGGTGGCGCGCGCGGGGAACTTAGGGGGCCTGCTATTGGCGGACGGGGGGCGCGCGCCACTGGGGCTAGACTGGCGGCGGCGGGTGATGCGCTCAAATAGCGCCAGGGGACGGGGGGAGGGGGAAAGCGCTGCTAGGGGCGGCGGAGGGGGCGGGGGGAGATAGAGGGGGGACGGCATGCGGGGGATGGGTGAGGTGGTCCGGAGCGCGGGGGACGTGTGGGGGGAGGGGTGAGCGCGGGGCAGAGGAGTGGGGAGAGCGGGGGGGCGGAGGAAAGCGGGGAGCGGGGGGCGGAGGATTGGGGGGAGCGAGGGGCGGAAGAATGGGAAGCAGAGGTGGTGCGTCGAGTGACGAGTTCAGGAGACTTGGAGGGGCGTCGCTGGTGGGTGGGTAGAGGTGGACGGCCGAACGCGTCCCTGTGCTGCCCCCTCTGCTGTCGCCGCGGCTCATCCCGCTCGTCCTGCTCCTCTTCGCCCCGCCCGTCCTCCTGTCCCACTTGCGAGTGCTGCTGCTGCTGCTGCTGTTGCTGGCCCATGAAGCTTTGAAAGGCCAGAAACGCGTGTATCGACTCAGGAAAGACAGGAGGAACCGCGAACGAGCCCTGCTGCCCTCCTTCCTGCTGCTGCTGCTGCTGTTGGGTCATGAAAGCCTGGAAAGCCATAAAGGCTTGCATCGTTTCAGGCGTGTAGAGTGGCGACTGCTGCTGCTGCTGCTGAGGGTCGCCGCTGTTTTGGCTCTCGCCATTTTTCCTCCTCTTGACAGAAACATGCTTTGGCTGGGCCCAATGCTCTCTCCCACTCCTCCCGCTCCTCCCACTCCTCCCGCTCCTCCCGCTCCTCCCACTCTTTCCACTGCGCCCGCTCCACCCGCTCCTCTCACTCCTCCCTCCAGGCGACATGCTCCTCTTTCTCCCCCCCTGCACGCCATACTCCCTCGGGCTTCTACCCATGCCCACCGCCCCACCTGCAACACCCATCGCCTCCGCCTCCGCACGCATAAAGTCCATGCCAAGACGACCAAGTCGACCCACCCCCGGCACATCCTCCTCCAAACAGGCGGCCCCACCCCCCATGCGACCCAGATTATCCATACCCGCCGCCCCCGCCGCTGCCGCTGCCGCCGCCGCCGCCGCTGCTGCCGCTGCCGCTTCTCTGCGTCCTCTCACGTCCCTCACTCTCCCCCTCTCTCCGGCGCTCAAATCCTCCGAATCTATAGACTTGCGCGATGGTCGTTTCCCCCACCTGTCGTTTCTCGCCTCCATCTCCTCGCCGTACGCCTCCATGCCTGAGCCTGACGGGCCTGCAGTAACCGGGTTACCACACCAAGCCTGTCGTTTACCCCAGCGATCCTCCTCGCCAAACGCAGCTTCCGTTTGCTCCATCGTTCTCCCCTCCTGCTCCCGCTGCTCCTGCTGCTGCTCCTGCCGGCGCAACTGCTTCTGCTGTGCCTGCTGCCGCACCCGCTGATGCTCGTACTCACGCTCAGAACCCCACGCTCCGCTGTTCCCCCCTTCCTCCCATCCCATCCGCTCGCCACCCACCCCTGCCTCTGCCTCTGCCTCAACCTCCGCGTCAAAATCACGGCCTGCTGCTCCCCAAGCAGTACCGATCTGAACCTTGATCTTCTCCGTTCCTGCCGTTCCTGCCCTTCCGAAAACAAACTTCCCTCTGCTGCTTCCTCCGCCTCCTGCCGCCGCTGCCGCCTCTCGGCCGATATTCCCCCGCCCAATCGCCGGCTCGCGGTCTCTCGGCCGGGCGAATAGCGCGCGTTCCCCGTCCGCCGAATTCTCCCGCCCGCGCCCGCGCGGCAACCGTGCTTCCGCCCTCTCCTCCTCCCCCCCGCGCAAAACAGCCTCTTCCCACTCGTTCCCGCTCGAGCGTCCGGTGAATGCGCCACTCCGCGGAGAAATCCCCCGCTCGTCCGCGCCCGCGCCCTCCAACCCCGCGCGTTTCCCCCTCTCAGGGAAACGCGACAGCGCGGGGGGCAAGCCGGAGGGAAACGGCGACGGCAGATCAGAGGGAAGGGCACCAAAACCGGAGGAGGAGGGGAGGGACGCGAAGACGGACGAACGAGCACCCAACACACCTCTAGGGCATCCGTAGGACGGCGCGGGTCTCCTTTCACCAGCCATAGCAGCGCCAAACGCGGCGGGTCCGTCGCCGTCCATCCCTCCGGGCATAACTCCTTGTACTGAACCCAACGGGCTGCCCTCGTCCCCGTTAAAAGCACCTCCGCTGCCGTCACACACCCCATCCGGAAGAACAGGCGGCGAGCGCGATTTTTCGAGTCCGTTAACCCACGTCCCGTTTCGTTGCGGTTGACCGTCGGCGAAAACTGGAACTGCACCGTCAACCGCCGTCAAGTTCCGCCTGCTCCGTCCCGCGCCGGCCTTCAGCGCGGGGGGGAAGTTCCCCCCACCAGTTTCCGCGCCCCTTGCGCCGCCGCCAGCTTTCGCGTAGCCTCCCCCGACGGCCCCCTCGCAAAGCCCGTCAACTCTAACGGAAAGGCCGCGCAAGGGCTGCCGGTCAGACTTTACTGGTAAGTTCGAACCCGAGCGCGGATCCACCCGCTCGCGCGGGCCGTCCTCCGCAATCACGCGCTGGTTTCCCCGCCTTGCGTCCCCGCTGCCGCTCCCACCCACGTCGGCGCGCTCGCTTCGCCCCTGAAATTGCGACGTGTCACGCCCTTGCGGCGGAAAGCGGACCTCCTGTGAGCCCCACGGCCGATGCGAGCTCTCCCCCCTCCTTTCCCCTTGCAAAGCAGCTCGATCCCAGTTACCTCGAGACGCTCCTTCCTCTCCCTCCCCCTGTTCCTCCGCCGATCTTTGCGACACCCTCCCGCCGTATTCTTCCCCCGCGGCCCCCCTGTCATTCACCCATCGTTGCCCTTCCGCCAATGGGCAGCCCGCATCCCCTTCCCCCCCGTCGTCCTCAACCGAACGCGATAGCGTCTCAACCACGTGACGGGCGAACCTCGTATTCGGGCTTACAACGGGACGGGAGCCCTCGCTTGAGTCCCCATCGTTAGAAAAACGCGGTAGAAACGAAGTCTCTTCCGCTAAAACGAGCGCTTGCGACGTCGAGGCGTTGGCGAAACGTTGTCGATACTCGTGCTCTGAGTACGGTAACCCTCCTCGCTCCGCGTATCGTAATCCTTCGCCTCTCTGCCTATCGTATTCCCTTACGTACTCCATGCCTGTTTTCTGCAGCTAACTCTACAGTACAATCGTACGCGTTACTAGGTTGATTCTCGTTTCGACTAACGTCCGCTCTACTGTACACAAAACGTCTCGAGCCTCCAGGAACACCTCCGCTATTCACACGAGCGCGCTGCGCCGTCGGATCTGCAAAATCGACGGTCCGGCTTTCCGCAAACTTGTTCTGCTCCGTTCCAGGTCGCGGTGCTACGAGTTGCTCAAACGAAGATGGCAAATTTTGATGCAACGAGGCGGCTCGACTTGCTATCGCGTGTCCTGTTGTCGCGTTTATGGGAGTGACGTAGCTCCCGTCCAAAGAGGTCGGATGGCTTTCAGCTAATTCTCTTGCGTCGGGTAACGCACTCGAAAAGCCGGGATTGCGGGATACAAACGGGGACGGAGTGTAGCGACGGGATACTTGCATGGGAGGCGGTGACCGGGCAAGCGATGAGGTCATGACGACGCCATCCATCAATCGGATCCGATTACAGATCGAACCCGAAAGAATCCGTGTCGCGTGCTCGACCTAATTATGAACATAAGCTTGATAAAAAAAGGCTTGCGAAGACGGGCCTTCGATATCGTAATTCGTGAACGACGGCAGGTTACAGGCTCCGCAAAGACCGTTGGTGAAAGAACTAGTATCTTGTATGAAACGACGTAGTAAGCGGGCAAACGTTTCAGCAGTTTAATTGTCGAAAGTACGGAATGTCCTGACAGCCGAAGCTCAAGTATGCACACGGTACACAGAAACAGGCGTTCACAAGATAACCCTAGCAAATAAGCCTCCCAGAACAAGCACGCAGAGGTTTCAGTAGTCGGTCTCTCCTTGCCGCTCTCGCAGCCTTCAGTGGAATGGAGGAGATAACAGAGATGCACGTGAGGAGTGTGGTTGAATGAAGCTGCTGTGTGAGGCGTGAGGGTGAAGGGGGAGCAACTGGCTCGAGTGCGAGGGATGTGTGGGATGGGAGCCTGGGAGGTAAAAGGCGGTCTGTTTCTGTTGTGGCAGTGTGGCGCAACGGAGCTTGTTGGGGGGAAGACAAGGTTGGGGGGAAGGGGAAGCTTGTTGGGACAGAGTTGCGCACGGAAGCCCAGCGCTGGTCGGCACTGGATGGTTTTTCCCGTCCGCGCTGCTCCAACAAACCCCAAGGCTGAGATATTCCCCCACCGCCACTGGCAGAGCGAAGAGCAGCGGAGAATCCTTCCCTTGCCTGCGTAGCCTGGGTGGCTGCCAGTCTGCCGCCAAACCGCCGAGAGGTGACGAAAGGCGCTGCCTACTTCCGCGGAAACTGTCAGCAGAGGAGCAGCGCGACAAGCTCAATGCCAAGTGCACGAAATGGCTCAAGGGGATAGATTGGTTGGCGGGAATGCTTTGCGTGTGGACACGGTGACTGTTCTGAAGGATTTGGTTTCATCCCTGCTGCCCGAAATTGTTGCTTTTTTAACAAAAGCGCCAGTCTCTCCAGACTGGCCAGTGACGACCCTAGATTTTGCCTTGCTTCAGCTGCCCCGATTGCACCTCTGGTCAACGTGTGCCAGGTCATTAAGGAAAATCCGATTTTTTGCAACCTTGCCACCGCGAGTCACGTGACACAAGTGATAATTACCGTCGATGGAAGTAGGCTTTCTGGTTTGAACGGTGAGATCAACCTAGAAGTAACGACTTTTTGGCTGATTGTCAATCGCTATCGGCCATGTATCGAGCGGCGCGTCTGAGCGATTGTGTGCGAGTGGCTAGCGTGTGAATCTAAATCGAAATATCTTTAAAAAAAGCGTCAGCAAGCGGAACAATTTTGACAGCGTGGATTGCCCAGCGCTGAGCACTTTTCCGGATTTCAAGTAAAAAAGGCATATCTCGGATACGTCCGCGTGGTCCTGAAACATGCACGTGGACTTGAACAGTAAGAACTGCCAGTGCTCAATAACAGTATATATACACCAAGAACTTTACAATGCTAGTTATTCCCACACCACATACTGTATTATATACCTACAGTAAAACGCTTCAACTTGCCTTCAAACCACTCTTCCTTGGAAACCCAAAACGCCTCATCCCACTCCATGTCCTCCCTGGTATGAGATTTATACACACATATTCAGCTTGGTACAATGTATTATGCTTTATGGGAATGTTCAATTATGGGTTAACTGTAGTAGTCAATGAGCTGGGACGACTATCATGATGGTCACGTCCCCAGCATCCCAGTGGTGTGCCTGCGCCCAGAAAGACACAGGAGAAACAAATAGTCGGACAAGCAGACAGATAAAATCCATGACTAGGCGGATGGGGCTGACTAAGAAGAAGAAGCCATAAATCCATCAAAGCACACAACGGATGAAGTGAACCCACGCCATCAATGCTTTGAATCATGAAGGGCACCGATACGGTAGGTGAGCCTTGCAGGGCACTAGGCACAGGCAACGTAGGGGGGATCCCTTCGACGACGTTATACCGGCTAAAATATCCATTGTCACGTGTGAAATCGGAAGTGCATCACATCTCATATTTCAAAAGAATGTCAATACTCCCACAAACGGAGAATGTTGATCGCAGAATGTCAAACTCACCTGGGGCTCGTGTGAGGCAACCAGCACGCGCAGGCAGGCGTGCAGGGAAAAGACGGAGCGCGGCCACCCCATGGAGTGGGCGGCACTGGGCTCGTGCGCCGTCCACATCTGCATGCTGCCGTCCGCTGCTATGGCGCCCCATGCAACTTCCTCGAGGTATGAGCGCTCCTGTAGTGGTGTGCAGAGACACGTGTGATGTGAATGGTGTTACGCACATAAGCTTTGAAGTCTGAAACCCCATTGTGCTAGGTGCATGGTGGCTACCCCAGTGGTGTGGTAGGGAAGGTGCTTCAATGCACCAACTTTTTATTGTGCATTTTGTGGTAAGACACATGCCACAAAGTGACTGTTGTGTCAACTCAAAAGCCATCTCGCATTGAGTCGACTCCTAAGTCAAGACAAATGGTCTCTGCCTGTTGCAAAGGTACGCATATCTCATGCCACAACCTAGCAGCCTTGACCCTCAGCACCACACCAGCCAACCAGCACTTACCATGGGAGAAGACGCAAGGTGTCGTGACGACCACGTCAGCCCTAACCCCTACGTTCCCCACGCTTCCCTCCTCCATTTGAGGCGCATCAAAAATTGTCTCTTACCCACCATTATTGAGGTGCCTCAAAAGCACTTACCATGGAAAAGACAAGAGGTGTAGTGATGACCACGTCAGCCTTAACCCTCATCTTCCCCACACTTCCCTCCTCCCCTTCTCTATCCCAACTCCCCTCACTACCACCGTCCACTCCCCTCACTCCTCCCCCTCCTCCTCCTCCTCCTCCTCCTCCTCCTCCTCCTCCTCCTCCTCCTCCTCCTCCTCCTCCTCCTCCTCCTCCTCCTCCTCCCCCTCCCCCTCCCCCTCCCCCTCCCCCCCCCTCCCCTCCCTCCCCCTCTCTCCACATCCTTTTTAAGCTCCCAACGTTTAATCACCTCTCTGGTCCCCGCACTACCCCTCAATACAGTCACACTCAGCTCAGGCGCTCTTTGCTCCAGAAGCCCCTCCCATGCCGCTACAGCCGAGCCAGGCACCACCAGCAGACTCGGTCTCATGCGCCCGGCTGTAGCGCCAGGAGCACCTGCTGCACCTGCAGCGGCTGTAGCGTCTGTAGCGGCAGCGGCAACAGCGGCTGCTGTGGCTTCACTGGTTGCAGCAGCTGTGGCATTTGCAGCTACGGGAGCAGAGGCGAGGTGTTGAGAGGTGACGGGCGGGTGCGCTGATTGCTGGGAGTGGAAGTCACGAGAGAGGCTGCACAGGAGCGCAGCCAGCACTAGCCGGTTTGCCTGGTGGGGAGAGAGAGGGAAGAAGTGAGGAGAAGGGAGCGGGGAGAAGGGCAAGCAGGTCAAGAGACGGGAGTGGAAGTCACCAGAGAGGCTGCACAGGAGCGCAGCCAGCACTAGCCGGTTTGCCTGGTGGGGAGAGAGAGGGAAGAAGGAGGTCATATGAGTAAGTGAGGAGAAGGAAGAAGCAGAGAGAGGGGAGAAGGGAGGACGGGAGAAGGAACGAGCAGAATAGAGGGGGGTGCGTGGGCCAAAGGAGAAGGGAGACTGGTGAGAAAGGGACGGGCGGTATGCAGACTACCAATCACACCTCACCTCCTCTCACATCTGCCTGCTCATCTCACATCTGCCTGCTCATCTCACATCCGTTCGTGAGTCAACCTATTGTCACTAATTTCACCACTCATCCCCCCCCTTCTCGTCCCCTCCCTCACCCAAACTCACCTCACAACTCACTCCTTTCAGCACGGCCCACTCTCCTTGCTACCTGCTGCTCTTCCTCCTCCCTCTCGTCTCGCTTCACCCCCGCCACTCTCCCCACCCCCAGCAGTCCACTCTCCTTGCTACCTGCTGCTCGTCCTTCACCCACCCAAACTCACCTCATAACTCACTCCTTGCAGAACGGCCCACTCTACCTTGCTACCTGCTGCTCCTCGTCCTTCCTCTAGCCCCCCCCCACCCCCCCTCCCCCCGCCACTCTCCCCACCCCCAGCAGTCTGCACTCCCTCCACCGGCTCACGCCTTACCGCCTTCTCTCCCTCCCTCTCCCTCCCTCTCCCTCCCTCTCCCTCTCCCTCTCCCTCTTGTGAGAACAGGAGTTAGGAGTGAAGTTGATGATTTGATTGTGAATCATGGGGGTATACATAGTAATGGGGTTGGATGTTAACCTAAGGTGACATTATTGGACCCCAACCAAGAAGTTGGGTTGGGAGATTATTGGTGGGGTCCAATAATGTTGGCCAAGTTGGGGTTGGGCCAACATTATTGGACGGGGCCAATAATTCTACCCAACCCAACCTTTTGGGGTCCAATAATTGGACCAAGGTTGGGTTCCAACCTACAAACTGGGTTACCCCTATTTGTACACCCAAACTAAGTTTGGGTGCTTAACTCTAGCCTATCCTATAGTATATATGCAGGTTACAAGAGGAGAGGGATTCTAACACAACCCCTTAACCTACAGAGATGCGGAAAGGCTTGAGGGAAGCAACTCCTGAATCAAAGCGCGCCTGGGGGGGCGAGGCCGATGAGGCGGAGAAGAGCAGAGTGCGCAGGGCGAAGAAGGGCTTTGGTAAAGATATCAGCCAAGTTGGCTTCAGCAGCGATCTTGCGAACGGCAATGAGATTCTGTTGGACGAGTTCGCGGATGAAGAAATAGCGGAGCTCAATGTGTTTGGAGCGACCATGAAAGACGGGGTCCTGGGTGAGATGGATAGTGCTAGCGTTGTCACACCAGAGCGTGGGACAGCGGTGGGGTGCACCAAGCTCTGCCAGAAGAAAGCAGAGCCGGCGGGACTCTTGCGCAGCCGTGGTGCCGGCATAGAGCTCAGCTTCGCAGGAGGAGAGGGCGACGGCAGACGAGCGAGTGGAACACCAGCTGATAAGCCCGCTGCCGAGCGTGAAACCATAGCCTTGTGAGGAGCGGCGGTCTGGCTGGGAGTTTGCCCAGGAGGAGTGGCTGAAGCCAGAGAGAAGGGGAGGGGAGGATCCACCCAATGTGAGGGCGTGATCCTTGGTGCCACGGAGATAGCGGAGGACCCGCTTGGCGGCAGCCCAGTGGTCCTCAGTGTGGCGGCCGGAGCCGACGAATCGAGCAAGGACGCTGATGGGGTAGGCGAGGTCGGGACGAGTGCACATCATCGCGTACATCAGCGACCCAACAAGCTCGGCATAGGGCCGGGAGGAGGTGGAGGGGGAGGTGGGAGGCGCAAGCTGGTGACCGAAGGGGAGGGGGGTGGAGACCGGTTTGGCCTGCGCCATTTCGAACTTCTCCAGGACCTGGCCGATGTAGTGGGACTGGGAGAGGGTGATGGTACGGGCGGATCGATCACGAGTGATAGCCATGCCGAGGTAGTTCTGCAGCGAACCAAGGTCCTTGCACTTGAGACGTTCCTGAAGTGACCGCTTCACTTGCTCCATGTCGGCCTTGGTGTCAGCGAGCAGGATCATGTCGTCAACGTAGACCGAGATGAAGAAGCGACGGGGGGAAGAGCGGATAAAGAGGCTGGCATCGGAGTGGGAGGCGGAGAAACCAAGGGACTGGAGAGTGGCAGACAGATTCGCATGCCATTCTCGTGGTGCCTGCTTTAGGCCGTAAACAGGTCGCCGAAGTTGCCAGACGGTGTTGTCAGGGAAAGCAGCATGAAACCCGGGAGGCCGGCGGAGGAAGATATGCTCGTGCAGTTCGCCTTGCAGGAACGCGTTGGAGACGTCCATGGAGTCAATCTCCATGTCGTCACGCGCACCAATGTCCATAAGGGTGCGTAGGGTGGCCTGCTTGACAGTGGGGGCAAATGTGAACCAATAGTCTTCAGCCCAGGTCTGGGTGAACCCCTTGGCAACGTAACGGGCTTTGTAGACTGGTTCTTCTCCCGGCAGCTGCTTGACTCAAAAGATCCACTTGCCCTCGACAAGGTTGGCGTCAGGGGGGAGGGGAACGTCGATGAAGGAGTCGTTGCGGATAAATGCCTCACATTCCAGGAAGATGGCAGCTATCCACTTGTCAGCGTCAGGGCAGGAGATAGCCTCCTGGAAGGTGGAGGGGACGAAGATGGTAGGAGCGGAGATCGCGCTAAGGATCAGAGCGCCGAGGAGGCCAGGGTAGAGCGTGGTAAGAGAGGGAGTGTGGCGCTGGACCATGGCGAACTCCTCATGGGAATCCTCGAGCTGGTTGAGGGAGGGAGGTGGCGGTGTGCCAAGGATGGGATCAAGGGAGCGGGTGTGCATGCGAGGGAGGAGGAAGGGTGAGGAGCGGGCAGTTCCCCTCTGCCGCTGCTGCTGCAGGTGCTGCTCGAACCCCTGCTGCTGCTGCTGCGGCTGCTGCTCCTCCCGATGCTGCTGCCCCTGCTGCTACTGCTGCTGCTGCTGCTGCTGCTGCCGCTGCTGCCGCCGCTGCTGCTGCTGCTGCTGCTGCTGCTGCTGCTGCTGCTGCTGCTGCTGCTGCTGCTGCTGCTGCTGCTGCTGCTGCTGCTGCTGCTGCTGCTGCTGCTGCTGTTGCTACTGCTGCTGTTGGGACGGAAGAGAAGGAGAGGGGGGAGGGGAGGAGGGAGGGGGGGCCACGGAGTGTGCAGGGGATGCAGGAGCGGTGGGATCGTAGATGTCGGCAGATGAAGGTGGCGGAAGCGGAGTAGGGAGAGGTGGGAGAAGGGGTGCAGGAGGGAGGAGGGGAGGGAGCATAGTGTCGGTCCAGGTGAGAGGACGTGGAGGAAGAGGGAGGGGGTCTGGTGGTGAAGAGGAGTAATAAGGGGTGGTTTCGTTAAAGACGACGTCAATGCTGCGGATAAGGCGTCCAGAGGGAGGGTGAAGGAAGAGGTAGCCAGGCGAGTCGCGGTTGTGCCCGAGGTAGACACATTCGAGGGCGCGAGAAGCGAGCTTGCCGTGGGTGCGATCAGGTGGAGGGATAAGTACATATGCTTTGCAACCCCAGACACGGAGACCAGCAGCGTCAGGTTTGGTGCCTGACCAAAGTTCCGTGGGGGTGGTGGTAGTATGTTGAGGATGGGAGTGAAGGTTGAGGAGGAGGGCAGCATGGAGCAGAGCATAGCCCCAAAGGGAAGGAGGGGTGGAGGCGTGAGCGAGGAGACAACGGGCAATCTTGGTGATTTCGCGAATCCTGCTCTCTGCGACACCATTCTGCTGCGGGGAGTGGGGAAGGGTGTGAGTCTGTTGAATGCCATGGGTGGTGCAGGGAGGAAGAGTGCCAAGACGACTCCCGCGGCTCGCAGAGGCTCCGCCCGAATTGGTGGTGCCATGCTCATCCCCTGTGGTGCCACCACGGCTGCTTGCGCTGCTGCTTCCTTGACCGCAACCTCCCTTGCCCCCACCTCCTCCTTTGCCGTTGTTCTTGCTCTGCTTGCGGGGCTGGGTAGCGTTGAGGGAGGAGGAGGAGGGTTGGGAGGAGGCGAGGTTGACAATGGGAGTGCGGAGTTTGACTTCAGTATCAATGATCCACTGTTCAACGGAGGCGAGATCAGCCATGGGATTGGCTTCGGTAAAGGCGTAAAGGCGGGATTCATAGTCTGGGGTGAGGTTAAAAAGGAGGCGGTGGATTTGGAGGGGTTCGGAGAGGCCGGCTTGGCGGGCTTCGAGGCGATCAGCTACCTCTCTCATGCGTCCGACATAGTCAACCGCTCCGTCACAGGTGGCGAGGGTGATTGAAAAGTATTCTTGAAAGAGGATGCCGACGGAACTGATGTCCCGGCGCTCAAACATGGCATGGAGTTCTGCCCAGATGACCGAGGCACGGAGTTCCCGAGCCTGGAAGCGGCGCATGAGGGAGTCAGGGAGAGCACCAAGGAGAACGGTGCAGGCGCGGGTGTCAGCAGCTGTCCATGCGATAAGTTTTGGGGTGAAGGCAGCCATGTCGTCTTTGTATTTGGCGACGATGGCGAGGTGAGCATTGCGGCCAGCAATCGCCTGGTCATAGGCGTCAACTGCTGCATCGTACTCGGCTTTGCGGATAAGGTATGCACGGCGGCGTAAGATGAAATCTGCATCAGCGGTGGCTTGGTCGGCGGTGAGCTGGAGGTCGGGTTCAAGAGGGGGATCGCCAGGAGAGGGAGGGAGAGGAGGAGTCTCGCCAGGGTGGTCAGGTTCGGTGGGGGGGAGGGCATGGGGACGGCGGAGGATGACGTCAAGGACGCGGTAGGGGGGAACCCATGCGTCGGAGAGGACACGTCGGATGCTGCCGACGAATGAGTGCCAGTTGACGGCGGATTTGTCCGCTGCGAGCTGCAGTTTATCGATGGAGGAGGTATCAATAGGAGGAGGGAGGGGGGAGGGGGAGGGTGTGGCGTTAGCCATGATGGACTGCTGCGGGTGGACCCGCAGTGGTCACGGAGGAGAGCGGCGCGGGCGGTAGCGGCAGGTGAGGCCGCGGTTGGTGAGGCAGCGGCTGGCTGCGGCGGCGCTAACGCGGAGGCGGCGTCGAGGCGGTTGAGCGGCGCGGGCGGCGGCGGCGGCTGGCGAGGCCGCGGCTGCGCTGGCGCGGAGGCGACGTCGAGGCCGCGGAGGGAGCGGCGCGGGCGGCGGCGGCTGGCGAGGCCGCGGCTGCGCTGGCGCGGAGGCGGCGTCGAGGCCGCGGAGTGGCGCGGGCGGCGGCGGCTGGCGAGGCCGTGGCGAGGCGGGCGCGGAGGCGGCGTCGGGGCCGCGGAGGGGAGCGGCACGGGCGGCGGCGGCTGGCGAGGCCGCGGCTGCGCTGGCGCGGAGGCGGCGTTGAGGCCGCGGAGGGGAGCGGCGCGGGCGGCGGCGGCTAGCGAGGCCGCGGCTGCGCTGGCGCGGAGGCGGCGTCGAGGCCGCGGAGGGGAGCGGCGCGGGCGGCGGCGGCTGGCGAGGCCGCGGCTGCGCTGGCGCGGAGGCGGGGTCGAGGCTGCGGAGGGGAGCGGCGCGGGCGGCGGCGGCTGGCGAGGCCGCGGCTGCGCTGGCGCGGAGGCGGCGTCGAGGCCGCGGAGTGGCGCGGGCGGCAGCGGCTGGGAGGCCGCGGCGAAGCGGGCGCGGAGGCGGCGAGAAGGCCGCGGAAGGGAGTGGCGCGGGCCGCAGCGGCTAGGGAGGCCGAGGAGCTGTGGAGGGAAAGGGCGCTAAAGGGGGGGGAGGGCGGCAGGATAGCCGCGAGGAGAAAAATGAGGGAGGAGGCCGGGGGTTGCGGCGGCCGGGTGGGCCTTTGAAACGAGTGGAGTAGGCCTAGGATTGATAGCTCTATACCATGTGAGAACAGGAGTTAGGAATGAAGTTGATGATTTGATTGAGAATCATGGGGGTATACATAGTAATGGGGTTGGATGCTAACTTAAGGTGACATTATTGGACCCCAACCAAGAAGTTGGGTTGGGAGATTATTGGTGGGGTCCAATAATGTTGGCCAAGTTGGGGTTGGGCCAACATTATTGGAGGGGGCCAATAATTCTACCCAACCCAACTTTTTGGGGTCCAATAATTGGACCAAGGTTGGGTTCCAACCTACAAACTGGGTTACCCCTGTTTGTACACCCAAACTAAGTTTGGGTGCTTAACTCTAGCCTATCCTATAGTATATATGCAGGTTACAAGAGTAGAGGGATTCTAACACCTCTCCCTCTCCCTCGCCCTCTCCCTCTCCCTCTCCCTCTCCCTCTCCCTCTCCCTCTCCCTCTCCACCACAAAACACTCACCTCATAGCTCACTCCTCGCAGCACAGCGCACTCTTTTTGCTGCACGCCCCACTCTCCCTGTTGCCTGCTGCTCTTCCTCCTCCCTCTCGCCCCTGCACCGCTCTCCACCCCTCCCAAGGGACCACAATCCCTCCACCGGCTCCTGAGGGCGTTCAGGTTCTCCAGCTGCTGCTGCTTCGGAGCGTCAGACATTGCAATCCAGTGGGGTGCAGCGCGGTCCGGTATGGCGCACAGAGCATGCTGCCCTGGTAAAAACACCCCCAGACTCTCTCCCTTCCCGTCTCTCCCCCGTTCCACCACCCCGCCTCCCTGCTCTCCCTGCTCCCTCTCCCAGAACCGAGCCAACAAACGCCGCCCGGCAGCCTCCTGCAGCACGCTCCCATTGGCCGGCTCCCACGTGCACTGTTCATAGCCCAGCCCCCGCCACAGGACAAAAAACTCCACCCCCCAGTCGGGCCTGTACCCCCTGCCTCTGCCCCGCCCCGCCCCTGGTCTTATAGGTGGCCTGGTGACCCGCTTGGCTATGAGTTTTCTTGGTTGAGCCCAGTGAGGATTCCATGTGGGGGAGAACTGTGGTAGAAGAAGGGGGGAAAGTGAGGGAAGCAGAGAAGGAGGTAATGAGAAAACCTTCACCCCCCAGTCAGGGCGATACCCCCTGCCTCTGCCCCGGCCCGCCCCTGGTCTTATAGGTGGCCTGGTGATTCGCTTTGCTTTGAGCTTTTTTGGTTGGGCCCAATGGGGGTTCCACGTGGGACAGAACTGAACGGATGAAAGGGTGAAAAAGGGAAGGAAAGACGGCCTGTTATACCCCCTGCCCCTGCCTCTGCCCTGGTCCGCCCCCGGCCTTATAGGTGGCCGGGTGATTCGCTTAGCTATGAGCTTCCTTGGTTGGGCCCAATGGGGGTTCCACGTGGGGCAGAACTGAACGGATGAAGGGGGGGACAGGGCGGGAAGGAGGTTCTGTTATACCAGGCTCTAACGCAGCACCTCTGGCTCTGCCCCCAACCACAGTCCGACCCCGGCCTTATAGGTGGCCTGGCTACCCGCTTTGCTATGAGTTTCCATGGTTGGGGCCAGTGGGGGCTCCACGTGGGGGAGAACTGAAGGGAGAGATGGGATGGAGGAGAAGGGAGGGAAGGAAGGAAGTGAGGAGGGGCCTGTTATACCCCCACCTCTACAAGCCACACTCTTTTGAGTGGACTCAAAAGGAAGTGAGGAGGGACTGTTATACCCCCACCTCTACAAGCCACACTCTTTGTTAACAAAGCCGAATCAGCGTGTAGAGAGTGTAGTTTTTAGAAGGTCTCAAAACTGCACTCTCTACAAGTGCCTCCACGAGCCACACTCTGTGTTAACAAAGCCAAATCAGCGCACGCCTGCATCGCCCCCTTCACATCATCTCACCTCCACTGTGGCCGCCCGGGCTTTAAAGATCGCGAGCTGTCTGGGAGCATTGCTTGCTAGCCATGCCTCGCCCACCCAGCTGTTGTGCGCGTGGGACAACCCCTTCCACTTAACAAAGTACTCGCACTTAGCTGCCCCATTACCAGCACCAGCAGCACCACCACCACCACTGCCGCCACCACCCCCACCACCCCCACCACCAAGACTGGCACCATTACTCCCACCATTGCACCAAGCAATGTCAGCAGTTCCTTCTAACAAACATCTGGCTGCCCCTTCCCCTTCTACTCCTGGTAACCCTGTTCTATCTCCCAACCCTCTTCCTGGCTTCTTTACCTCTTGCCCCATCCTCTCACTCCTCCCACCATCCGCTCCTCCTGCCACGGCTCCTCTCCCCCCTCCTCTTCCTCCTCTTCCTCCACTTCTTCCTCTGCCTCCTCCTCTCCTTCTGATTGGCCCTGTACTGCCATTGTTTGTTCCGTTACAAGCCCTTACTGACTCTGCTGCCCCTGCCGCTGCACCTCTCAACCGCCCTGAACCACACTGATCGTGCGACCTGGTTGTTCGTAGTTCCATCACTCTCTTTTCTCCCCCCTCCCTCCCCACCTGACGCTGCTGCTTCTTCTTCTCCTTCTTCTCCAGCTGCTGCTGCTTCTGCTTTCCCTGCTGCTTCTCCTTCTGCTGCTGCTGCTGCTTATCCTGTTGCTGCTTCTCCCCCTGCTGCAGCTGACCTTGCACAAACTGCTGCTCATCTCGATCCTCGTTGCCCCTCCCATTCTCCTCCCTCCCCTCCACCCCCCTCTCCTCTTCATCCACCCACACAGCCATGGTCGGAATCTCATCCTCCTCCTCACTACTCTCACTCTCACTCCCCGCCCCATCAGACTCACACTCCCCTTCCAAATCCCCAAGCATAGCCCCCTCAGGCCCAGCCCCCCTGGGTGGTCCTGTCCCCCAAGGTGTTTCTGCTGTCCCGCCCTCTTTCTCACCGCTACAATCACCACAGGGATGCTCGTGGGATGGTTTGGAGTGCTCGTGGGTGGTGGGATGGTCGCGGTTGTGGGGTTGCGGTAGTTGGCCGAGCTGGTGGTGTTGATGGTCGTGGTGGTAGTCGCTGTCATCGTGACCGTGCATCCTCATGCAGTAATCAAGGTTCTGTGTACCGGGTGCAGCACCGTCTGTAGCCCCGGCTGTAGCACCGGCTGTAGCAGCAGCAGCTGCAGCAGCACTGGCAGAAGCAGCAGCAGGGGTATCCCGGGCAGAAAAACCAGCAGAAGCTGCCCGAATATCCCAGATGGATTCAACTGCCCGCCTCACCACCGCATGAACCCCCAGGGAGAAGCGTTTGTGGGTGCAGTCAGGGCAGAACCAGAGGCCAGGGGGGACGTCATCCAGGGGAGGGTCCAAGCAGTGCAGGTGGTATGTGGCGCTGCATGCCTTGCCGTCACAGCAACTGGTGAAAGGGGAGGGACAGGGGAGGGGAATGGGGTAGTTTTCTTAGTGCGCCTGAGAAATCGCTCCCAGAGGGAAGAGTTTATGGGTGCAGTCAGGGCAGAACCAGAGGCCAGGGGGGACGTCGTCCAAGGGAGGGTCCAAGCAGTGCAGGTGGTATGTGGCGCTGCATGCCTTGCCGTCACAGCAACTGGTGAGGGGGGGGGAGAGGGGGAAAATGGGGAGAGGGAGGGGAAAGAGGGGGAGGGGAAGAGCCAAGTGTGCAAGGGGCCAAAGGCATTGGAGGGTGCAAACAGTGCAGGTGGTATGTGGCGCTGCATGCCTTGCCGTCACAGCAGCAACTGAGGGAGAGGGGGGAGAAGGAGGACAGGAGCAGGAAAGAAAGTACAGAGGATCAGCGGCAAGGGAGGGTGCAGGCAGTGCAGGTGGTATGTGGCGTTGCATGCCTTGCTGTCACAGCAACTGTGGGGGGGGGGGAGAGGAGAGAAAGGGGACAGGAGCAGGAGAGGAAGTACAGAGGATCAGCGGCAGGGGAGGGTCCATCTAAGTCATACCCATCCACCTAAGTCACCTCGTTACAGTGGCACACATTACATCTCAGGTATCTTGAAAGAGAGAAAGCGACACTCACAGCATGAAGCCAACTTCGTGGCACCGCTTGCAGCTATCACCATACTCATCCAACGTCTCATCGCACTCCTCCCCACCCTCCTCCTCCCCTCCCCTTGCCTCACAGCCCTCTCCCTCCACCCCCTTTTTCAACCTTCTCTTCCCTTCCTGCTTCTCCTCCTCTTTCTTTCCCTTCTCCTGCTCCTGCCCATCCCTTTTCTTCCCACCCCTCTTTTCCTTCTCCTCCTGCCCAATTCCCTCCTCTGCTCCGTCCTCTTCTCTCCCCTCCCCTCTCCCTTCCCCGCCCTCCTCCCCACCGTTCACCCTCAAACCCATCTCAATCTCCTCCTCATCCCACTCCTCCCGCCAAAGTTGCTCCCTAAGGCCTTCGACCTTCAGCACAGAACGCTCCTGAGGCTTCTCACAACCCCCCTCCCGCCACGCCTGCTGCCTCCTAGCCGGTTTATCCCTACATGAGGATGCGGATGGTGTGAGGAGGGGATTGGGGGTAAGGCTGCAGGTGGGTGGGGGCATTCCCATAAGCTCTGCTCGCTCACACGCCCTTTGAAACGCCAGTGCGGCAGCTGAATCTATGCCTTTCCCTCCTACTGCTGCTGCTGCTGATGCTGATGCTGATGCTGATTTTGCACTGTGCTTCGCTCCCCCGTTCTCCACCGGACTACACCCCGCTTCACCGTGGCGTCTGCCTTCAGGCCCATTCCTCTCGTCACACAACCTATGCTGCAGCTTCGTCGATTCCCGCACCTCACGCTCTGCTACAACCTGTGATTTTGTCTGCTTCGTCAGCTCCTTATCAGCGGCACTCAGCTTTTCAGCAGCACTCCCCTTCGTATCAGCAGCACCCGGAACTTCATCCGAAGCAGCCCCTATCCATTCATCAGCACCACGATCCGTTTTCTCCTCACAGACTGCCTCAGCCTTGCCTACTCTTTCAGACTTATCTGACACCTGTGGTTCCACCTGGCTTTTCACCTGATTTTTCACCTGGCTTGAGGGGGTCACATCCAGTAATCTATCCACATCCAAGCGTCTGTTGGGACTTAGTCTACCGGCCACTTTTCCACTTCCGTCCACCCCCCCCACTCCGTGACTCTCTTCAAAAGACAGCGGTCTATTTTGCTTTGCTCCTGTTCTGCTGCCCGCCCCTGCTTTGACTGCACCTGAATTGCCTGTTGTTCCTGCTGTGCCATCTACCCCTGCCTTGCTTCCTGCTCTAGTCACCCTTCTTTTCTGAGGAGTCTCAAACCGCTGCTGCTCACTCTCCCTTTCACTCACTCGCACTCTCACACTCTCCTTCTCACTCACTCTCTCACTCCCCCTCTCACTCTGCTTCACAGCACCAACGACCCCAGCCTTAGGGTGATGGCTGCTGCTGCTTCTAGTCGCCCTACACAGCACCTCACTAGGCGGACACCTGGCACCTTCTGACTGGTCCCTGAGTTGCTCATCCAGACTGGTTCCTCCCTCCTTCACCTTCCGACCCTGTTGCTTCAATGGAGGGGTGCGTGGCAGCAGCTGATTGGCCCCTGCTTCCCTTGACTCCTTCCCCTTGTCCAGTAACCCGGATTTGGCCTTTTTTCTTGAATTTCCTAACGGTGCACCCCCTTCGGCAGAGACCTGAGGTGTGATTTCTTCTCCATTCATTAAAGGCCCTGCTTCTGCTTCTGCTCCTGCGCCTGCTCCTGCCCCTGCTCCTGCCATTGCTCTGCCACTCACAGTGCAATCAGCAGCTGCGGCAGTTCCGTTACGGCACACAGCTTTGGAAGGTTTCTTCCCGCCCAGACTCCCAAACCTGGGCCGCAGGTTCGGAAGTTGCGCTGCTGCAGCGTGCATGTTTCTTAGCCTCGTCCGCTCCTCCGAGGCAAGCCGAAGGCCCTTTTCTATGGCGTCCTGAAAGGCTGCTCTCTCACTTTGCCCCCTGAATTGAGCCACATTCGACAGAAAATCCTTCAGGAATCTAGGGTGGGAAGGGGTCCATGGATAGGGAGAGAGAGGTAAGAAAGGGGGCCCTGAACCCGGGGAATTGCTTCGCAACCCTGAGACCCTAACGAAGGCATCTAAGCATCTAGGTAGGAAGGCTGCAAGTAACTCTACATAAGCCATAGTCTCACCAACGTTTTTGCATACAAAAGCTGTACTCCATTCGAGTTAAGAAAATAGGGAGAGGAGCGGCAGGCGGCAAGTATATTCATACAAGTGCATTTGAATTGATATATAATTATTGTACGAAGAGGTTGAGACTTACTGTGGTTTCATGCATAGGTGTTTTGTCTCCCCTGCTTCTCTTAATAGTAGCCTCACTACATGGTCGCTCTCGTGTTCCTGTAGAAGACGAACCGTTATAGGCACATCCATCCAATCCTCCACCATTGCCGGCCACCACCCTTTGCTATCATCCACCTTCAACAAACACAATCCAACAAAAAAAATATTATATAATAAATAAAATATAAGGAAAATAAGGGAAAACAATTTGAGTGAAAGAGAAGTTCACAAACATCAGTACTTATTTTACACACCTTGGCCCAAACTACAGCTCCTGGAAGATACATTTTTGTTGCAGACGTTGCAGGTAACTCTTCCTCTTCGCACTTCACTGTAGCACACCGTTTGTGGCTTACAGCGGAGCATATCTCATCCCAACCCTCGGATGATGCCCCGCCACCGCTCCCTTCGCTACAGTCATCCTTGTTGCAGTCATCTGTCAGCAAACTGTCCTCTGCAACACACTTGTGACTCCCGCTCGCTACAATTACGCCCGGTTGAAGCCTGCTCTCCGTTTTCGAAACCCTCGGGTGATTCCGTCCCTCCAGAGCCTCCGCTTCTAACGAGTAACCCCCGTTGGCGCTAGTAAAACCTGGGGTTTGTGTGTGAGAGGGTGTATGCCTATTTCCGCTCCCCTCGTGAATGCTTTCGCTGGCCCGCTCGAGCATGCGCGCGTGGCTTCCGCTCGACTCTCCCGTTAACGAGTCCGCCTTCTGACGAGACATAGAGTCTGCCTTACGACGAAGCGGCGCGAGAATCGACGGTCGCGTGTGTCGGTTGCTGCAGTTCCCTGACGCCTGAATACACGGGAGATAGCCAAGCCAGTCGGGACGTAAAGCAGCATAGTGAAAGGAATTATGAACGGGAAAGGCCTTGTAGCCAGAGTGGTAAACAAGGCACCGTGGCGAAGGGAAGGGAAGGACAGACGGTGGATGTAACGCCAGAATCGACTAGTTATGTTTTTGACTGGTAAATCATGTTGGGCTTGGCTGGCATCCATAACGAAATAGGCGAATTCTTGGTCGACCTGAAAAGCAGGGCTTATTAAGTGACATATACCACGTGACTGGCGTGGAAGACGGACCACAGGGGACTTTCAACGCTTGAAGAACAACTGATGGGAGAATATCAATATATTTCCAGAAAGTGAGTACTTTTAAAAATCCAGCCACAATGATATTACCCCTTGGTGAAAAACCACCACGGCTTCTCATGCTATCAACAGAAACATTACTCGTCTTACCTCAACCACGCTCGACGTTGTTCTACCGCGCGGCTTCGACTGCTGCGACGACCGCTCCGCGCTCGCCGCGCTTTCCCGAAGCGCCATCCCCACCGCCTGCCGATTAGGATCTATTAAGACCGCTTCAATGCTCTTCACCTTCGGTCGCTTCCGCTTCTTCTGCCGCTCGTCGTTAATCGGCGGCGAGCCGCCGCGGCAGTCGCCCGGGCCAGACGGAGTGGTTTCGCAAGCTTGACGGCACTCGTTTACGTTACCGTTACCGTCACAGTTACCGTTCTCGTGCTCGTCAGCCTTCGTGACGCCCTCCTTTAGGCCGTTTGGCCGATCCTTCAAGCTTTTAAACCCAGACGTGGTCAACCTGGGATTTATGTATGCGTCATTACTACTATAGGGAATGCATGCGGGATACTTGGCGGTAGATCCGGTATTATGATCTGCAAGCGACTCGTCAATGGACCGACTCACGGGGGACCCGCGAGTCTTTAACCGTATAATGTCCTCCCCTTGTCGCAGCGGCTGGCTCTGCTTTTCCTGAGAAGCCTGGGTCACCTCGAGCAGCTTTTGTGGCGACTCGACGGTAACCTGCTTCTTGCGGGGGCCTAATTCGAGCGCGCTCCACGGGATGAAGCCCGGAAGTAACGCCGGCCGTCGAATTCGCTTCGCTCTCGCCTCGCCGTCCGCCATTTGCGGTAAGACTGATCAAACAACCACCGCTGCTCTTAACGTGTATGTTAGATACAGAAAATAATACTTAAAACGAAGCGACTTTTGGGAGACGAATGAGAAGGTGAGACTAACGACGATCGAAGCTACTGAAACGATTATGAATATGCCTGGATTACCCGTCGGTCTCAGGCTAGAAGAGAAACTCAAAACGTGGCTGTGATTGGTTAGGCAGGATTTGGGTGTTAGCACCGACCGTTGACCACGCTGGTGAAGCCAACAGCAAGCTCACATGATGTGCCAGTGGAACTCTGGCAGGTTTGGCAAGCACATAGGGTATTCATTCATTCATCTACCTGCTTCTCCTCACGCATGGGATTTCGTATGATTTCATTCTTTCTCTAAGGAGCTTTGCTGAAACCCTTGCAGTCCAGCCAGAGGAGTTCGGCTGATGCGAGAATCCAATTGTCCACTCGTCCAGATTAGCACAGCGAGGGTCACGACTCGGGGGGTAAAGCAGCACCATGGCTCATCCACCATTGCCACCCAAGGACCAATATTTCCCACAGACGACGTTGATGGTGCCCTCCGTGGTCGCCTTGGGACTGCCATAGCTGGCTGGTTTGAAGAAAGTCTGCCTGGCGGAGTGGCCGCGTGATTTGCTGACCTGAGCGGGCCAAACCCAAGGACCCGCACTGTGCTGCCCGGGTTGCCGTGACTGCCGCAGTCTCTCAACCTTGCTCCTGCGGTGCTCTCCTGGTTTGCTTCGGCCGCTCACGCCCAGGGAAAGGGCTGTCATTATTTGTCTTTTTGTGTGACGGATTTGCATCAAACGGACAGGAAGAAGTGCTTTCCCCCCAGCCGCATTTGCCCAAGGATGAGACGACGCGGGTGGCGCTTGTGATTGGAGGTGAGGGCGTTTCAGGGAGGCGCGAAACCTGGTGATGTGGGCCTTGGGAAGTGCGAAGCGGCTTGGTGGCGCGAGGTTGAGGGTGTTGAGCCAGGCCGAGCATGCCAGAAAAAACTTCGCTGGCTCCAACCACGACGATGTTGTTGAGGGGTGATTTCGATTCGAAAGTCCGGCATTTTCGGAAAAGCATAGAGAAGTGATGATTCATGGTGCGTTTTTTAAAACGAGCGTTAAATGCTGGTTACTGTACCAAGAATACGCTGCCGATTTTGCAAAAGACACAAACTGATAACTTGACACCGTCCAACTTCCGCGGGCAGGAAAACCCCATCCTTCACAACACAAAGGTTTTGCTTGAACGATTTGATTCGGCAAAGATTGGGTCTGTGAGGCTCGGTAGAAAATACTGTAGTCACGTCGAAAGAAAATTAACCGTTTTCAAATCAAAGCCACCAGCCAGACCTAGCATCCTCGTCCACTTCGAAACTACAGTAATCAGTCGTAGGTACAGTGCACGAACTGTACAGTGCAGGTCAAAACCCAGAGCATACAGTAAGGGAAAAATCTCCTAAGGCGTAAGCTCGTTCCTGAACCCCTAGTCCCGACACTTAGTGCTGGCTGAAGCTCGTGCTACGCCTATTTGAGGCAGCTAGAACTTGAGAGGTAATATGGATGATGGGCCTGGCTGCAGTAACAGCCGCTCCCCTTCGGCCTTTGTCTGTCAGCAGTTGAAACCAGCGAGCACGATCAGAGTGGGTGGTACTAGCGACGACCCAGACTATGTTCTGCAGACCGCCGTAAGGTGCGCTAGGAAAGCGGCTAAGAAGCGGTCTAGGTGAAAGTATCCTTCCTATTTCACCTCCTCTTGAACATTGCTTTAGCTCGGCCTGTCCAGACGTCTTAAGGAGAATCTACCTTTTTATTTGCCTGCATCCGCAACCAATTTGACTTCTCGAGCTGCTTTTGTGATTGGAATAGGTATCTGCTTGATAATCAGCGTAATGTAATATTTTCGGAAAATCGCATCCTCTCTAATTACATCTCAATGTCGGTTTTTTCCGAAACCCTAATCCTCCCGAATGCCCGCAGCTCGGTTTCACCAGTGCTGGCAGTGTCTACGTCAGCGCCCGCCATCAAATCCTTCGACGTGGCATCCGGCGCGTCCCTGGGCGACGTGGCAGCGCGCCACCCTGGCACGGTGACGGATTTAGGGTTTGCAGAAGCGGCATTCGGAGGGGCGGGGCCAGGAAAGGAGGTGCTTCTGTCGTCGTCCTCCGAATCCGCTGTTTACGTTTGGGACGCGCGCGCTCGATCGCAAGTGAGCGCTTTTGCTGCCGAGAATTCTCAAATTTCACATCAGCAAGCTAAATAGCAGGTGACTGACCGTGCATGAACACAAGTGACTGACCTGATGTTTGGGATTATCGTCTCGGGGTCGACTTCAAGACAGTTTCAGGTGCGGTAGGAGGGTTCGAGTCAACTCTGAGATGACCTTGGGGAGAAGGATAAGTTTCAGGGTTTTGGGCGGGGGATGACCTGGGGTTTATTAAGGTTTTTGGTTTCGGAAGGAAGGTATTAGGGCCGCTTTGGGCAGACGTTTCTGGTAGTATGTGACTTATTCCTCGTACAGTTTTTGCGCCCTTCCTTTCTTTTCCCCATATGTAACAGCAATGCTTCCCCAATTTCTTCCTTTTCCCCCTCCACCCAACCCCTCACGCTCGGCCTCTCCGCCTCCGCCTCCGCCTCCGCCTCCGCTTCCCCCTCCCCCCTCCCTCCCTCTCTTCTCCCCCCCCCTCTACTCTTCCCCCCCAACACTAGGCGGGCGTCTTCCCCGCGCATGGGGGGGCGGGCGAGCTGTGGAGCTGCAGCGGGGGAGGGGGGAGCACAGGTCACCTGCTGGCGGCAGGGGCGAACTCACAGGTGAGGCGCGCCCCTACTCCTCCTCGCCCCCCCCATAAGTCCGCTCTTCACTTGGCGGGTGCGTTCCCCGCGCCGCGTATGGGGGACCAGGCGAGCTGTGGAGCTGCAGAGGGGGGAACGCAGAGCACTTGTTGGCGGCAGGGGGCAACTCACAGGTGAGGCGCTGACTGAGGGAGGTGTTACCTAAATGAGGCGCTGACGGGGGGAGGTGTTACTCAAGTGGGGCGCTGACTGGGGGAGGTGTTACCCAAGTGAGGCGCTGACGGGGGAGGCGGTATTTGGCAGGTCGGAGATGTGTGTAGTGGTGGAGGGGGGTCCTCAGGGCACCTGCTGGCGGCGGGAGGCAACTCCCAGGTGAGGCGTTGACTGGGGGAGGTGGCATCTGGCAGACAGTTGGGACAATCCTGCAGCGGGGGAGGGGGGTCTACAGGGCACCTGCTGGTGGGGGAGGTGGTATCTGGCAGGTGAGATTCGTATTGGAGGAGGTGGTATCTGGCAATTGAGGTTCTGACTGGGGGAAGGTGGTACCTACTGTAGCAGAAAGTCAGTCATGGTGTCAAATATCAAACGTTTGCTCTCCCCATTGTCCCTTTTTTTCCCTCTCCTGCCCGTTTCGAAATTCCTCTGCCGGGTCAGATTCTCCTGTGGGACATGCGCTCCACCCGGCTGTTGGGGCGACTTGAGGACGCTCACACAGATGACGTCACTCAGGTGGGCTGTGACGTCACTCAGGTGGGCTGTGACGTCAGTCAGGTGGGCTGCGACGTCGCTCAGGTGGGGGTGTGAAGACAGTCAGGTGGGGTGCGACGTTGCTCAGGTGGGCTGTGGCGTGACTAGGTGGGCACTTTTAGGGTGGGCTATGACCCCTTGCCAACTCTTCCTCTTCTGCCCCTTCCTGTCAGGTTCGCTTCCACCCTCTCCACCGCACTGCACTCCTCTCAGCCGCGCTCGACGGCCTCATCTGCCGCTTTGACCTCTCTCCACACCACGAGGCATCACTCTCCGCCTCGGCAGTAACCACCCCCGCAGCGACAGCAGCAGCAGAGCGTTATGCGGATTCCGACCCGCTCCAGTCAGTCCGTAATCACTGCTGCCCAGTGCCCATACCCTTGCGTACCCTTTTTCTTGCCTTTTCCCTGACCAATGTTGCCCAATGCCCTTCCCTTGCCTTCATACTAAATTTGATTCGTTCTTTCATTTGTTTTCTTCTTTTCCTTTTCTTTTTCATTAAAATTTGCACTTCCTCTTGTGCTTGCGCTCTTCATCTAGCGTTAGAATAGGATTCCGCTTGCGCTTAGTTTCAGCGTACTTCTGCTCCTTATCGCATCCAACACCGACTCAGAAATAAGCAGCGCTCAGCTCAGGGCAGCTCTCCAAGGAAAGAGCCTGCCTTCGCTCCATCAGCTGGGCAATGTTTATTTCTGACTCGGTGTTGGAAAAGACGCGTCATCAGACGTCTTTTCCCATGAACACACCCCCCCAAGCACAAGCACCCCCCTTTCCTGCTGTTTCCCTCCTGTGGCCGTCCTCCCCTCTTCTCCATCCCTCCCTCCTCAACCCTCCTTCTCTTGCCCTAAGCAGGTAATAAGCCCTGGCACGTCCATCTCTCGCATTGCCTTCTGATTGCTTTTGAGAATTCTCAAATGCAATCTCCGTCCCTCCCTTCTCAACTCTCCTTCCCCCTTGTCTACACAGGTGATAAGTCCTGGCACATCCATCTCTCGCATTGGCTTCTTTGGCCCGTCTGCCTCTGCTCTTTGGTGCCTCACCAGCGTTGAGACTCTCAGGTGGGTGGGTGGGTAGCACCTGAACATCTTTACAGAATATGGAAAGGCTTCACGTCGCCATTTCACTTCCCCTTTCTCCTCTACATTCCCTCGTGTGATATCTTCCTCTGCCCCATATGCCGCTAGGGATTCCAATCCCCTTTCTCCAATCAAGCGTCCTTTCCAATGCCTCCTGTCTCCACTTCCTTCCCCCTGTTACTTTCCAACTTGGTTCTCAGACTTCTGAAGCAGTAACCCTATGTTTGTCTGATTGCCCCTAGAATATCTGAATTTTCCCATTCCGCCTCCCCTTGCCCCACCTTCCTCTCCCCTACTCCTCCTCTCAATTTCCCTCCATCTCTTGTCCTCCTCATCTCCTTTCCTCCCCTCCTCGCCCTCCTCCCCCTCCTCGTTCTCCTCCCCTCTTCCCTTCCACTCCTTCCCCCCCTCTCTCCCCCTCTCTCCCACTCTCTCCCCCCGCCAGCCTCTGGGATCTCTGAACAGGCGATCCCAATGCTTCCGTTCATGATATTCATGACATGCCTTTCCCCGTCTCCCCTCCTCATCTCCTCCCCTTCCCTCCTCTCCCCCCCACTCTCTCCCCCCGCCAGCCTCTGGGATCTCTGGGCGGGCGATCCCATTGCTTCCTTAGACAACATTCGGTCAACTCTTTCTGAAAAGTGGCCCCTGCAAGTCCCTGTGAGTGTTCTCTTTCCCTTGGTGCGTCTGAATCTCAGTTCAGGTGCTGAGATTCGAGGCATTTCAAGCCCGGTTGAAGGGCTTGCTGAAAGTCCCTATATTTCTCGCTATGGCACCTATGGTCGCCCCCCCACCCCCCACCCTCCGCCTCTTTGCCGGTACCCACTTGTGTCACTTGTGTCACTTGTGTCATGCCGCCTGCTTCCCCATCTCACTCCCCCCGACCCTCTGTCTCTCCCCCACTGCCCACACAGGTGGATTATCTGACAGCCTGTGTCTATTCCCCTCGCCCCCCCACCCCCCACCCACCCCCTCTTTGCCGGTTCCCACTTGTGTTACTTGTGTCATGCCGCCTCCTTCCCTTTCTCCCTCCCCTCCTCCCTCAGTCTCTCCCTCTGAGGGGAGTGACTATGCCCCCTCACCCACTCCCCTCACCCACTCCCCTCACCCACTCCCCTCTGCCTCTTTGCCCCTTCATCTCTCTCTACTTGTCTCTACTCTCCCCCCTGCATTGGCATTTTCTCACCCTCTCGCTCTCGCTCTCTCTCCCCCACTGCCCATACAGGTGGATTATCTGATTTCCTGTGACTACTCCCCCTCGCCCACCCCGCGCCTACGCCTCTTTGCCGGTTCCCACCTGGGCCATGCAGCCGCCTTCCCCATCTCCCTCCCCCACACCGTCTCCAACCCATCCCAACCTTCGGGACCCGTTACTGCTGCTGCGGCCGCTGCTCGTAATGATGACGATGATGCTATGATGTCAGAGGATCCACTTGGCAGCAGAGTGAGCGTGCCACCTGGCAGCTGCCAGGTCAGCGGCCCGGACATGCTGTTATCAGGGGCTCACTCAGGGGTGGTGAGGGATGTGGGGAGAGTGGCACTGCCACCATCTCATGCAGGGACAGCTGTTGCTTACTGGACAGGGGGGGAGGATGGGTGCTTGTGCCAATGGGAGGGGATCGAGGGGCAGGAGGAGGGGGTGGAGGGCGAAGGGGTGAAGGGGAGTAAGCGTAAAGGAAAGGGGAAGGATCGTTTTAAGCCGTACTAGCTTAGACTACACTAGCTTACAGTACACTAGCTTGCAATACACTAGCTTGCACTACACTAGCTTGCACTACGCAGACATGTTGCTATCAGGGGCTCACTCAGGGGTGGTGAGGGATGTGGGGAGAGTGGCACTGCCGGCACCTCACGCAGGGACGGCTGTTGCTTACTGGACAGGAGGCGAGGATGGGTGCTTGCAATACACTAGCTTGCACTACACAGACATGCTGTTATCAGGGGCTCATTCAGGGGTGGTGAGGGATGTGGGGAGAGTGGCACTCCCAGCATCTCATGCGGCTGTGTCTGGCGGAATGGCTGTGGCGTTTTGGACAGGAGGGGAGGATGGGTGCTTGTGCCAATGGGAGGGGATCGAGGGACAGGAGGAGGGGTTGGAGGATGGAGGGGCGAAGGGGAGTAAGCGGAAGGGCAGGGCAAGGGGAAGGATCGATTCAAGCCGTACTAGTTTACTCCACACATGTTTTTGAGGCGCCTCGAAAATCGGTTCAAGCCGTACTAGCTGTGGATGGGTGTACCGTATCAGGGTGCTTGCTTTGGCTTCGTAGTGCTTGTACTACACCACACATGCAGCTAACACCCGCACACGTGCACTGTTTTTGAGACGTCTCAAAAGCAGTACTAGCTGTGGATGGGTGTACCGTATCAGGGTGCTTGCTTTGGCTTCGTAGTGCTTGTACTACACCACACACGCAGCTAACACCCGCACACGTGCATGGTTCCATACCGTAACGTACCATACGGGATCAGATGGGCGTGGGTGCGATGGATGGATGTTCATTTTTCATGCCAGGAAGGAGTGTCGGTGGGATGTAGTGGAATAAAAAAATGTTTGACGGTGTGTGTGTGTTTGGAATTAAAACTCCCTTGCCCAATTTCCCGAGAGTGCCAAGCTTGCCGCTCATTAGTCCTGTCAGGGACAAATTCCCTTGGGGCCTCTCACAGTTACCGTAACAAATCCAGGTCTACTACACCCATTGCCATCCATAAGTTTTTAATGCTTTGTTATAACAACAGGAGATTTCACATCTCTCTCAAACTAGCATTCAGTAACCCAGATTCGCCTCACCACCACCCACAGTCGTCCCCCCACAATGGTCCCTTGGCCCAATCCCCTCCCCATTCATCCCTCCCAGCACTTTCAGCAAAACACAAGTCACTTGGACAAACCCAGAAAGCTTCTGATCTCTAACCACCGGTTTCAAACAGCATTAGCTTAGCAAGCCCGCGTCTCACAATGATCCTCTCACATTTATAATATACCAGGAAACCCATACACTTGTCTTCCTTCCCCACCCGCACTTTCCTTCACGCCTTCTCGTCAGCCACTCTTGACCCTCATACAGCAGTTGCTGTCCCTCATACATACCACCCCAGCTGCCCCCAGACTATTGAGAAACTTCAAGGAACCTGCATCCCCCAGGAAAATTCTTCCCACACTTATGATACACCAGGAAACCCCCCACACTCGAACCACCTGCAATGGACTCCCGGAGCAGTTTTTTCTACAGAACAAGCCAACTGCTTCTCATTGTGTTGTCACATCATGTCACACGTATAGTACCTACACCCCAAGAACCACCCAGACTTGCCCCACAAAGCTTGGTCCACAGGCGAGGGCACTGAATGAAGCAGTCACTCACTTCCTCCTCGTGGATCTCACCCTTAATTTGTACGGTACCCCAAAACCACCCGCACTTGACTCGCAATCTTGCAGCTTTTCCGATCTCCACCAATATCAAGCTGACTACTTGTCGTTTTCGTTATTCTCGCACTTACAGTACCCCAAGAACCATCCTCACTTGAACCACCGGCAATGGATTTGCGGAGCAGTCATTGTCCCCCCATGCCAATGCCACCTTGTCCAGTGGGTTTTGAGAATCCCTAATGGCACCTTGCCCAGTAAGTTTATTGCAACTGCTTCTCGTCGTGGTTCTCACACTTATAGTACCCCAAGAACCACCCGCACTTAGCTCCGGAAAAGGTGGGCGAAGGAGGAGGGGTGGCAGGCGGTGGTGGTGAGGGGGGCGGCGGGGACGGGGGAGGGGGAGACGGTGGGGGTGGGCGAGGAGGGGGAGGAGAGGGGGGTGGAGGGGAGGGAGGAGGGGAGGGAGGAGGCTTGGGGGGAGGAGAGGGAGGAGGGCTGGGGGGAGGAGAGGGAGGAGGAGGAGGAGGAGGGGAGGGAGGAGGAGAGGGCGGAGATGGGGGAGGAGGCGAGGGAGGAGGAGAGGGAGGAGGGGAGGGAGGGGGAGAGGGAGGGGGGAAAGGAGGGGGAGAGGGAGGGGGCGAGTCTGGAGGTGGGGGAGGGGGGGAGTCAGGAGGAGGCGGGGGAGAGTCTGGCGGGACAGCTGGCAAATCCCCATTGGTTGTGGAATCCAAGTCCTCCCTAAGGCTTGGGGAAGGCGGAGGGGGGGTGGGGGGAGGGGGAGAGGGCGGAGGAGGGGAGGGAGGAGGGGGAGAGGGCGGAGGAGGGGAAGGGGGAGGGGGCGATGGTGGTGGCGAGGGAGGGGGAGGAGATGGGGGGGGTGGGGAGGGCGGTGGGGGGGATTCTAGAGAGGGAGAAGGAGGGGGAGAAGGAGGGGGAGAAGGGGGAGGTGGGCTGTCCACAGGAGGGGAGGGGGGAGGAGGGGAGGGGGGAGGAGGGGAGGGGGGAGGAGGGGAAGGGGGAGGGGGACTCTCCAAAGGAGGGGAGGGTGGGGGAGGGGAAGGGGGAGGGGACGGGGGAGGGGGGCTAGGGGGAGGGGGGCTATCAGGGGGAGAAACAGGCGCAGGGGTTGGGGCAGATGCTGTTTCAACATCCCCCGAGTCAGAAGGCGGCGTTGGTGGGGGAGGGGAGGGCGGGGGAGGGGAAGGAGTGGGTGGGGGAGGACTCGGAAGGGGAACAGTGGCGGGAGGAGGGGAGGGAGGAGGCGAATGGGGAGGCGGTGAGGGGAGCGTGGGGGGAGGGGGTGGCCGGGGGGGAGGAGGTGAAGGGGAGGGTTTCTCTGCAGTTGGGAAAGGAGGGGAAAGAGCAAGAAGCAAGAAGGCATAGTTTAGTGATGGGAGCAACAACTCAGGGCAGAGAGGGAGACGGAGGAGGTTCAGGGTGGGGCAGAGTGGGGCGGAGTGGGGCAGAGTGGGGCGGAGGTTCAGGCCTTGCACAAGGCGCCTCACCAGCACAAGGTTCCTGTAATCTCAACCCAATCACACAAGCCCCCAGCGAGCCGCAGAGGGAGTTGGCAGTGGTACGAGAGTAGATATAGTAACAGCATGCCTTCCTTCGCTTGTTACACCCCATTGCGTGGTTGGTGGGACAAGCGAGCACGATGCAAGCCTCACCGATTGCCGTGCAGTTGAGGCCGTCAGGGGAGCGGAGAGTCCCTTTGAAGCAGTCGCAGGAGGAGAAGGGGCGGGTGGGGGGCTGAACGGCGGCACTAGCTTCCATACTACCACTCTACGGGATGCGATTCAGGCCTTACCAATAGCCGTGCAGTTTAGGCCGTCAGGGGAGCGGAGAGTCCCTTTGAAGCAGTCGCAGGAGGAGAAGGGGCGGGTGGGGGGCTGAACGGCGGCACTAGCTTCCATACTACCACTCTACGGGATGCGATTCAGGCCTTACCAATAGCCGTGCAGTTTAGGCCGTCAGGGGAGCGGAGAGTCCCTTTGAAGCAGTCGCAGGAGGAGAAGGGGCGGGTGGGGGGCTGAACGGCGGCACTAGCTTCCATACTACCACTCTACGGGATGCGATTCAGGCCTTACCAATAGCCGTGCAGTTGAGGCCGTCAGGGGAGCGGAGAGTCCCTTTGAAGCAGTCGCAGGAGGAGAAGGGGCGGGTGGGGGGCTGAACGGCGGCACTAGCTTCCATACTACCACTCTACGGGATGCGATTCAGGCCTTACCAATAGCCGTGCAGTTTAGGCCGTCAGGGGAGCGGAGAGTCCCTTTGAAGCAGTCGCAGGAGGAGAAGGGGCGGGTGGGGGGCTGAACGGCGGCACTAGCTTCCATACTACCACTCTACGGGATGCGATTCAGGCCTTACCAATAGCCGTGCAGTTTAGGCCGTCAGGGGAGCGGAGAGTCCCTTTGAAGCAGTCGCAGGAGGAGAAGGGGCGGGTGGGGGGCTGAACGGCGGCACTAGCTTCCATACTACCACTCTACGGGATGCGATTCAGGCCTTACCAATAGCCGTGCAGTTTAGGCCGTCAGGGGAGCGGAGAGTCCCTTTGAAGCAGTCGCAGGAGGAGAAGGGGCGGGTGGGGGGCTGAACGGCGGCACTAGCTTCCATACTACCACTCTACGGGATGCGATTCAGGCCTTACCAATAGCCGTGCAGTTTAGGCCGTCAGGGGAGCGGAGAGTCCCTTTGAAGCAGTCGCAGGAGGAGAAGGGGCGGGTGGGGGGCTGAACGGCGGCACTAGCTTCCATACTACCACTCTACGGGATGCGATTCAGGCCTTACCAATAGCCGTGCAGTTGAGGCCGTCAGGGGAGCGGAGAGTCCCTTTGAAGCAGTCGCAGGAGGAGAAGGGGCGGGTGGGGGGCTGAACGGCGGCACTAGCTTCCATACTACCACTCTACGGGATGCGATTCAGGCCTTACCAATAGCCGTGCAGTTTAGGCCGTCAGGGGAGCGGAGAGTCCCTTTGAAGCAGTCGCAAGAGGAGAAGGGGCGGGTGGGGGGCTGAACGGCGGCACTAGCTTCCATACTACCACTCTACGGGATGCGATTCAGGCCTTACCAATAGCCGTGCAGTTTAGGCCGTCAGGGGAGCGGAGAGTCCCTTTGAAGCAGTCGCAGGAGGAGAAGGGGCGGGTGGGGGGCTGAACGGCGGCACTAGCTTCCATACTACCACTCTACGGGATGCGATTCAGGCCTTACCAATAGCCGTGCAGTTTAGGCCGTCAGGGGAGCGGAGAGTCCCTTTGAAGCAGTCGCAGGAGGAGAAGGGGCGGGTGGGGGGCTGAACGGCGGCACTAGCTTCCATACTACCACTCTACGGGATGCGATTCAGGCCTTACCAATAGCCGTGCAGTTTAGGCCGTCAGGGGAGCGGAGAGTCCCTTTGAAGCAGTCGCAGGAGGAGAAGGGGCGGGTGGGGGGCTGAACGGCGGCACTAGCTTCCATACTACCACTCTACGGGATGCGATTCAGGCCTTACCAATAGCCGTGCAGTTGAGGCCGTCAGGGGAGCGGAGAGTCCCTTTGAAGCAGTCGCAGGAGAAGAAGGGGCGGGTGGGGGGCTGAACGGCGGCACTAGCTTCCATACTACCACTCTACGGGATGCGATTCAGGCCTTACCAATAGCCGTGCAGTTTAGGCCGTCAGGGGAGCGAAGGGTCCCTTTGAAGCAGTCGCAGGAGAAGGAAGGGCGGAGGGGGATTCCTGTCATCTCCACCACGCACGTCCCCAGCGAGCCGCACTGCGAGTTGGCAGCGGTGCGAGTGACGTTGGTGCGGCAGAAGGCGAGGCAGGCTGCTACGGAACGTTGTGTGTCCACCTGGTGTGGGTGTGGGGTGAAACACGGGAGAGAAGAGGAGAGCAGGGGAGAGCAGCAGGGGGCATGGGGCATAGAATTCTCCGTAAAGATAGAATGGAATGGAAACGCCGTACACGAGGCAGTTAAATGAGTCACCCTGAGCAACCCTTTCGAGACGTCTCAAAAGTCGTCTATTACACGCGGATTATGGAAACGCCGTACACAGGCAGTTGGATGAGTCACCCTGAGCAACCCATACACTCACGCATCACACCATCCTACCCACTTGGAGTGTTACTCAGCAGACCCCTTCCCCCCATCCTCTCCTGCAGCAGCTCCCCTCTTGCTCATGGGGCCTGTGTTTTGAGTCGACTCAAAACACGGCTAATTTTGAGTCGACTCAAAACTGTGCTCATGGGGCCTGTGAGAGTGGGGAAAGAATTCTCCGTCACAACCCATACACTCACCAACACATCCATACACATCTAGACCCCTCCCCACCCCTCCCCATCCCCACCTGCAGCAGCTCCCCCCTGTGCTCATGGGCCCAGTGCAAGTGGGACAGGAGTTCTCAGCCGCAACCTTACTCCATACCCACTTATATTCATCTATACCCCTGTGACTAGACCCACCTGCGGCAGCTCCCCTGTGCTCATGGGGCCAGTGCGATTGGGACAGGAGTTCTCAGCCGCAACCAACCCCGTACACCCAACCACACATCCGTACCCATCTAGACCCCTCCTCACCCCTCCCCATCCCCACCTGCAGCAGCTCCCCTGTGCTCATGGGGCCGACGCGAGTCGGGCAGGAATTCTCCGTCGCAACGCCGTACACCAGGCAGTTGGAAGCTGCCGAGAAGGTTCCCGGCTCGAACCCCGTCTTGCAGAGGGGCAGCGCGAGGGGGGTGGTGTCGGAAACAAGCCCAGGCCCGTGGAAGTAGTTGAAGCTGATATCGTAGGAGACCATCTGCTGGCTGTCTGTTACCCTGGGGACCAGACCTGTAAAGTAGTTCTGGGACAGGTTTCTGAGATTGTGAGGCAAGGCAACAAAGGGGTAGAGAGGGGTGCAGAGGGGTGGAAGGGTCAGCAAGGAGTGGAGAGGGGCAGCGCGAGGGGGGTGGTGTCGGAGACGAGCCCAGGCCCGTGGAAGTAGTTGGAGCTGATATCGTAGCAGACCATCTGCTGGCTGTCCGTTACACGCGGCACTATACCTGTAAAATAGTTTTGAGACAGGTTGCTGGCATGGGGTGGGAAGAGAGGGGTGGAGAGGGGTGGAGGGGTGGAGAGGGGTGGAGAGGGGTGGAGAGGGGTGGAGACGGATGGGGAGCAGGGGAAGGCAATGCAGGGCGAGGGGGTGACGAGAGGGGGATTGTGGTGTCGGAGACGAGTCCGGGGCCGTGGAAGTACTTGGAGCTGATGTCGTAGGAGACCATCTGCTGGCTGTCCGTTACCCGCGGGCAGGACCAGGCCTGTAAAGTAGTTCTGGGAGAGATTGCTGGCATAGGGAGGCGCAACAAGTGGTAAAGAGGGGTGAAGAGGTGTGTTTGAAACAAGTCCGGGCTGTGGAAGTAGTTGGAGCTGATGCCGTATGACATCATCTGCTCTGCTGGCTGCCCGTTACCCTATCACTCTGGGGACCAGACCAGCATTGTGAAGAAGTTCTGAGATAGGATGCTGAGAGGGAGCTGTCAAGACAGGACAGGTGGGCTGCGGAGGCCTTACTTCCATCAACTTGCGTTGTATTAGGACAACGAAACAAACTCCATGGAAAAATGGCAGAAGGGGCCTGGTTGTGCGCTAGCTTAGAACGTTATTAAGAGAGCCAGTTTAAAACAAATGTTGAATAAGCTCTGAGATAGGTTGCTGAGAGGGAGGGATGGGGTGACACTAGGGGTGGTGGTAGGGGAGCATGGGAGAAGGGGTAAGGGGTGGGGAGCAGGGGGGGGGAGGGGAGAGGGAGGGGTTAGGAGGACAGGAAAGGGGCCTACAGGTGGGGGAGGGAGAGGAGGAGGGTATGACGAGGACAGTGGTGCCGGGAGGCGAAGCAAGGAGAGAAAGCGTTACAGACAGAGGGGGAGGAGGGGCGTGGAGGTAGGAGAGGGAGAGGAGGGACGTACAGGTAGGAGAGGGAGAGGAGGGACGTACAGGTAGGAGAGGGAGAGGAGGGACGTACAGGTAGGAGAGGGTAGGCATGTTGCTGACAACGGTGCCAGGAGCGCCACTGAGAGAGTTGCTGCTCACGTCCCTGGTGGTGTGGGGAAGAGCAAGGGTGGGGGAAAGGCAGGGGTGGGGAGGGGCAGGGGTGGGGAAGGGTAGGGGTGGGGAAGGGTAGGGGTGGGGAAGGGTAGGGGTGGGGAAGGGTAGGGGTAGGGAAGGGCTGTGGAAAGGCGGGTTTACAGGCGAGACAAGAGTGTTTGTTTGTTGTGATGCGTGGTTGTGATGGTGCTTGTGATGGTGATGTGGAAAAGATGTTTCATCGAAGAGGAGATCAGTTCAGTCTGCGCGATGTTCAGTCAAATTTCTTTTGAGTCGACTCAAAAGTCAACAAGACGTTTCATCGGAAAGGAGAATAGTCTGCGCGATGTTCATTCATAATTCTCAGAGAGCAGCAGTTGTGTAGCGTAGTAGGCTTAAGCGAAAGAACTACAGCGGTACAACTCACACATGGTTGATCTGTTTGGAACAAGGATTAAAACCATTTTGTTTAGGAGAATAGTTTGCTGATGCCATTTTGTTGTAAACAACTCACACATGGTTGATCTGTTTGAAAAAAGGATGGTTTTTGCGGTTGTATGGGAACTGCGTCTAGGGTGAACAGGGCAAGAGCCTCTTATGTGGAGTACAAAAGCTGCTGTAGGGGGTACAGCTTACAGGAGCTGCTTACAGCGTGTACAGAGAGCCACAGGTGGAGAGCGTGGGTGGCAGGGGACCTGTGAGAGTGTTGAAAGACAGATTTCTTATATGGCGAACAGGAGCTGCTTATAACGTAAACAGGAGCTGCTTACAGCGTGTACAGAGAGCCACAGGTGGAGAGCGTGGGAGGTAGTGGGCCTGTGAGCGCATTGAAAGATAGATCTCTGGTTGGATTGGAGGGGGGGGGGGGGGGGGGGGAAGAGAATGGGGGGATGGGGAAAGGGCAACGGGGATAGGAGAAATTGAACGAGTGAGGCAGAGACAGGATGAAGTGGATGAGCAGAGTTGGCTCGAAGACAGGAGGGTGAGGGGTGGGGATGAGGGTGTGAGGCTGCTGAGTTGAGGGCGTATTTAGATTAGCACTGCTTACCTCAAGAAGGGCGTGTCTCCCACGAAGTTGAGAGTGTGTCTCATGTGGATTGAGGGCGTATTTCACAAGAAGTGAAGGGTTTATTTTCAAGGAAGGCTTATTTCAGAAAGGGAGTATCTCACATGGAGTTTGAGGGTGCGTTTTTAGTAACGCGGATCTAAAGGAGGGCGGATCTCACATGGAGTTGAGGGCAGGCTTGTCAGCAAATGCGTCTGGGATGGCTCCAGACAAGCGGTTGCGAGACAGGTCCCTGGGAGAGAGGGCGAGATGAAGAGTTGGAGGGAGGGAGAGTGAGGAAGGAAAGGGCAGAGAGAGGATAAGTCAGGCGAATTAATAGTGGAACAGCAGAGGAGTTACGAGATATGGGTTGCTCACACACTTACCTGTGCCAACACTATTCCCAGCACTCACCCCCAGCACTCACAGCATCTGCAGGTGATTCAGCTGGCCCGTGGAGGGCAGGAGGGAGGGTCCCTGACAGGGAGTGGTTGGATTGGATGTGGCAGCTGCAGCCCCATCAGTGCTGAAACCACAAAGAGGGTGCGTGCCCTAACCAGTGCTAACAACACCCCCAGCACTCACAGCATCTGCAGGTGATTCAGCTGCCCCGTGGAGGGCGGGAGGGGGACACACAGTGACTGGCCCATTCCCACCGTTCTCACCATTCCCACCACCCCCAGCACTCACAGCATCTGCAGGTGATTGAGTTGGCGCATGGAGGGCGGGAGGGGGCGGAGAGTTCATGCCTTACCTCCCGCACCCTCACATGCACACAGTGCACTGAATACATACACCCTACCAGACCCCACTGCACCACTCGCAGGACTCACAGGATCTGCAGGTGCTTGAGCTGGCTCATGGAGGGCGGGAGGGCATGGTCATGACAGTGCACACCTGCAGCACTCGCCCCCAGCACTCGCCCCCAGCACTCGCCCCCAGCACTCGTCCCCAGCACTCGCCCCCAGCACTCGCCCCCAGCACTCGCCCCCAGCACTCGCCCCCAGCACTCGCCCCCAGCACTCGCCCCCAGCACTCGTCCCCAGCACTCGTCCCCAGCACTCGCCCCCAGCACTCGCCCCCAGCACTCGCCCCCAGCACTCGTCCCCAGCACTCGCCCCCAGCACTCGCCCCCAGCACTCGCCCCCAGCACTCGCCCCCAGCACTCGCCCCCAGCACTCGCCCCCAGCACTCGCCCCCAGCACTGACAGGATCTGCAGGTGCTTGAGCTGGCTCATGGAGGGCGGGAGGGGGCCGGAAAGGGAGTTGTTGCTGATAGACCTGTTGGGGGGAGAGAAGGGGAGGAAGGGAAGGGGAAAAGAAGTGGGTGGGAAGGAGGGTGGGTGGGGGAGGGAAGAGGACATTGTGAGGATGGAAGTGAGGGAGATTCCTTGGTCAATGGCAAGGGCCTGCATTTTCAGGAATTCCGAGATACAAACCAACAAGGATTCTGAAGAATCAAAGGGATTGGTCAGGGACTTGATACTGAGGTCTAGTTTTGAGGTGCCTCAAAACTGGGCTTGTTGCTGAGGGAGGAAGCTGTTGCCAGCGATTTCATGGAGAAGCTTTTGAGTCGACTCAAAAGCAGACTCATTACACGCGGTTTCTACATTGAAAAGTTATCTGACGGAGGAACCTGTTGCCAGTGATTTCATGGAGAAGCTTTTGAGTCGACTCAAAAGCAGACTCATTACACGCGGTTTCTACATTGAAAAGTTATCTGACGGAGGAACCTGTTGCCAGCGATTTCATGGAGAAGCTTTTGAGTCGACTCAAAAGCAGACTCATTACACGCGGTTTCTACATTGAAAAGTTATCTGACGGAGGAACCTGTTGCCAGTGATTTCATGGAGAATAGTGCATAATGAAGGGAAGGGGTGCGGAAGGGGAAAGGAAATGGAGGGAAAAGACAAGTCACGCCGCCAGATCACATAAGTAAGGCCTTGCATATGTGTGCATATGTGTGCATATGTGTGCATATGTGTGCATATGTGTGCATATGTGTGCATATGTGTGCATATGTGTGCATATGTGTGCATATGTGTGCATATGTGTGCATATGTGTGCATATGTGTGCATATGTGTGCATATGTGTGCATATGTGTGCATATGTGTGCATATGTGTGCATATGTGTGCATATGTGTGCATATGTGTGCATATGTGTGCATATGTGTGCATATGTGTGCATATGTGTGAGCTTAAGCCAACTGACGTTGAGACAACTCTAGTCAAGTCATCTCTAGTCAAGTCATTTCTAGTCAAGTCATCTCTAGTCAAACCAGTTAAAGTTGAGAACCGGGAGGGACGGGGTTCAGCGGAGGGAGGGACTTACAGGGATGCGTTCAGTTGAGTTTTGAGGCGCCTCAAAACTCAAACGGGAGGGACGGGGTTCAGCGGAGGGAGGGACTTACAGGGATGCGTTCAGTTGAGTTTTGAGGCGCCTCAAAACTCAAACGGGAGGGACGGGGTTCAGCGGAGGGAGGGACTTACAGGGATGCGTTCAGTTGAGTTTTGAGGCGCCTCAAAACTCAAACGGGAGGGACGGGGTTCAGCGGAGGGAGGGACTTACAGGGATGCGTTCAGTTGAGTTTTGAGGCGCCTCAAAACTCAAACGGGAGGGACGGGGTTCAGCGGAGGGAGGGACTTACAGGGATGCGTTCAGTTGAGTTTTGAGGCGCCTCAAAACTCAAACGGGAGGGACGGGGTTCAGCGGAGGGAGGGACTTACAGGGATGCGTTCAGTTGAGTTTTGAGGCGCCTCAAAACTCAAACGGGAGGGACGGGGTTCAGCGGAGGGAGGGACTTACAGGGATGCGTTCAGTTGAGTTTTGAGGCGCCTCAAAACTCAAACGGGAGGGACGGGGTTCAGCGGAGGGAGGGACTTACAGGGATGCGTTCAGTTGAGTTTTGAGGCGCCTCAAAACTCAAACGGGAGGGACGGGGTTCAGCGGAGGGAGGGACTTACAGGAATGCGAGGCGGGGCAGTTGGCCGATGTTGGCGGGGAGTGGGCCTGAGAGGAGATTGTGGCTTGCGATGCTGGGGGGGGAGGTGAGGGAGGTGGGGGAGGTGGGGAGAAAGGGGGAAAGTAAGGGCGAGGAAGTGTTGTGAGTCGAGTTGAAAGAGAGCGTTGTGAGTCAAGTCGAGTCGATGTTGGCGGGAAAGAGGCTTGAGAGGAGATTGTGGCTTGCGATGCTGGGAGGGAGGAAGGGGGAAGTGAGGGGTGGGGAGGGAGTAAGAGGGCAAGCAAGGAATTGAGTGTTGTGAGTCGAGTCAAAACACAGTGGGGTGGGGAGGGGGTCTGAGAGGAGATTGTGGCTTGCAATGCTGGGGGGGGAGGAAGGGGGATTGTGGAGAAAAGGCAAACATGGATGTTGTTAAGGCGATGTGTGCGTGACGCATGGCTTGGAGTGAGCACTCGAGAGTCTTTCCACAAGTAATTTAAGGGTACACTCACAGGACGACGAGTGCACTGAGTGCTCTGACTTTTGGGACTTCCCATAAGTAAATCAGGTGTGGCTTATTAGGGGTACACTGTCACTCACAGGTAGACGAGTGCACTGAGTGCGGAGATAGAGTCAGGGAGGGACCCGCTGAGTAAGTTAACGTCAAGGAACCTGGGGGTGGGTGGGAGTGGAGAGCGGTGGAGAATGGTGTGATGCGGTGGGGGATGGCGAGAAGGAGTCAGAGAGTGGTTTGACGAGCATACTGAAGTTGAGAAAACTCGGTGATTACCATTCCCGGGTTGAAGGGCGTGTAGAATCCCCGCAAATATGTGAAATCTGCTTTTGGCCGGTTTTACGTCGACCACCTGGTCGACATTTCTTTCGCGAAAGTCGACGGATTGGTCAACTTTGTGTCGTCACATTTACAGCCACTATTTGCAGATTTGCAAACTTTACAGGTTTGAGGGCTGAATTCCAGGCCGGTTTCAAAAAGTTGTAAAATTTGCAGTTGCTACAGTAGGAACGTATGTGCGACGGGGTCGCACATTTGACGGCGAAAACTCTGATTGGACAGGATAAAAAAAAACAGTCGTTCTGCGAGACCGTGCGACACCGTACGTGACAGTCAAGAGGGCGGGTGCAGTCAAGAGGGCATTCAGATCTCGCCAGAAGGTTTTTCCAATCAAGAGTGGTGTCAGACGTACAAGGAAGGACACATCTGGAACAAGCCTGAAACAGCACAAGTGGCAAAACTGCTCCCCTCTGATTCTGACGGAGCTGAATTGTGACAACAATGCAATTGGAATTTCAAGCGGGCAGGCTGCAATTTTTAGACATCTGATCTATAAATTATTGTAGAGAGATCCGCGAGGGTACGGTATGATTGTTTGTACCTAGGCCCTCTAGCACTGGTTACGACCGATGGTGTTTTTGCTTTGTACGTTGTATAATGCACTTTCACCTACCAAAAAAAAAAAAAAAAAAAAAAATCGTACGTGACAGTCGCTCACGGTGTCGATTACTTGGCCGAATTGGAGTCGACATGGTGTCGGATACGAGTCGACTTTCAAAGCGGCCATCATTTTCGTTTTTTATTAGCGAAATTAACGACGGTCGCGAGCGTCTTCGTAATTTTCGCAAACAGGTTACTTTCGCCAATTCGGCCATTTGGCTAGTGGCCGAATTTTTAGGTGCGGCGATTTAACACGCCCCAAGGGAAAGAGCATCGGAGCACTGTGCAGTGCAGTGGGGGGAGAATGCAGGAAATAACATCAGGGCAGCAGCACCTGTGCCCACTCACATGTATCGCAGGCGATCCAGACGTCCTATGGAAGCAGATGACCTTTGATTGAGTTTACTCCCAAGGCACTTTGGCCCACTCTCGTGCTGGAGGGGACCCAAATGGGCATCTGGACAGCAGCACCTGTGCCCACTCACATGTATCGCAGGCGATCCAGACGCCCTATGGAAGCAGGGATGGACCCGGACAGACGGTTGTTGCTCAGGTACCTGCACGTGGTAACCATGTAACCATGGTAGACGACAACAGGAAGGGTTGGGGTGGGGACGTGTGAAGGAACCCAGCGTTGACAGCCAGTCAAGGTTGCAACAGTTGCCGATCTGGGCAGGAATCACTCGTGACAGAAGGCTGGTTTCTTCAAGGCACCTCAGGAATCGTCTGAGTTGCTGTGCGTGGGTTTCAGTGACAGATGTGCGGGGCTCTCACAGCCAGTCAAGGTTGCAACAGTTGCCGATCTGGGCAAGAATCACTCGTGACAGAATAGCCATGTGATACTTAAAAATGTATTGAGACGTCTCAAAACTCGTGACAGAAGGCTGGTTTCTTTAAGGCACCTCAGGAATCGTCTGAGTTGCTGTGCGTGTGTTTCAGTCACAGATGTGCAAGTTTTGAGACGTCTCAAAAGTTGCTGTGCGTGAGTTTCAGTGACAGATGTGCGGGGCAATCACATCTCTCCAGAGCACTCACAGGTGGGCGCGGCACTCACAGCCAGTTGAGGTTGTAGTTGTTGCCGATCTGAAGGGGGATGGCCCCGGTAAGAAGGCCCTTCTCTCTTCTTTCCCTTCCAAGTTCACGGGGGTTTCACTTCACTCACAGGTGGGCGCGGCACTCACAGCCAGTTGAGGTTGCAGTTGTTGCCGATCTGGGGGTGAAAGGCTCCTGAAAGAAGTCTTTTTACTTTCCTTTCCAAGTTCGCAAGGGTTTTCACTTCACTCACAGATGTGCGCGGCACTCACAGCCAGTTGAGGTTGTAGTTGTTGCCGATCTGCGGGGGGATGGCTCCTGACAGGAGGTTGTTGCGCACATCGCTGTGTGGGGGGCGCAGCACGCGGATCATTGAAAGGGGTGTGTAGGTGGACAGAGGGGACTGCTTTTGAGTCGACTCAAAAGCATCGCTGTGTGGGGGGCGCAGCACGCGGATCATTGAAAGGGGTGTGTAGGTGGACAGAGGGGACGAGAGGAGCAGGGAGTGGGATGGGTTGAGGTTGAGGGGGTGGTGCGTCTACTGTTGAGCGGCCAAAGAGGAATAGAAGGTTGTTGCGTGGATAACTGCGCCAGGGGCGCAATGAGCTCTATGCATGTAGGGTGGAGGAGCCTTGTAACGAGTACCTAAGACTCACATGTACTGCAAGGCTTGTAACGCGGATATCTGTGGGGGGATGGCCCCTGTGAGCTCGTTAGAGGCAAGTGAGCTGGGGGAGAAGGGAGCCACAGGGGAGAGGGGGGAGGGGGGAGGGGGGACAAGGGAGCCAATGATGTGAGGGAGCAGCCTGAGGGATGGGGATTGATAGGTGTTGAAAAAAACATGGCTGATTTTTTAGGGCAGGACTCACAAGTAGGAAACGACATGCGGAAAACACAGAGAGTGAGAGGTGGAGGGAGGGGATGGGGCGTGATAGACCGTGTGAAGCTTCAGTGGCAGGTTAATACATGGATAGATACTCACAGGTAGGAGAGGGAAGAGAGCGCGGAGATGAGAGAAGGGATGGGGCCTGATAGACGGTTCCCATCCAAGCGCCTGTGGGACAGGGGTGGGGGAGGAAGATAGACAAGATCCAGCCACTTGCATATGTTGCGTCCGTGTGTGTGTGAGGGAGAGGCGAGGAGGGGGGGGGGGGGGGGGGAGTGTAGATGGGGATGGGGCCTGATAGACGATTCCCATCCAAGCGCCTGCGGGACACTGGTGTTGGGGGAAAGAGAGACAAAGATCGAGCGATCCGAATGTGTGTGTGTGTCCGTGTGTGTGTGTGTGTGTGAGTTGGGAGTGTGGATGGGGATGGGGCCTGATAGACGGTTCCCATCCAAGCGCATGTGGGACAGGGGTGTTGGTTGGGGGAGAAAGAGAGTCAAAATTGAGCCATCCTAATGCGACTATTAACTTGACTCAAAAGTCTCCTAAGATTGAGCCATCAGAATGTGTGTGTGTGTCCGTGTGGGTGTGTGAGAGGGGGGAGTGTGGATGGGGATGGGGCCTAATAGATGGTTCCCATCCAAGCGCCTGCGGGACAGGGGTGTTGGGGGAGAAAGAGAGCATTATGGCCACGTGATAAAAGATTTGTTTTGAGGCGTCTCAAACAATTTCTATCCAAGCGCCTGTGGGACACGGGTGTTGGGGGATTTAGCCACTTGAACACATGTGTGTCCATGTGTGACCATGTGTGACCATGTGTGACCATGTGTGACCATGTGTGACCATGTGTGACCATGTGTGACCATGTGTGACCATGTGTGACCATGTGTGACCATGTGTGACCATGTGTGACCATGTGTGACCATGTGTGACCATGTGTGACCATGTGTGACCATGTGTGACCATGTGTGACCATGTGTGACCATGAGTGACCATGTGTGACCATGTGTGTCCATGTGTGTGCACGCACAAGAGGGTGAACACACACTTCTGAGGGCCCTCGCAGCATTTGCAGCACGCCTTTCTAGCTCCTTTCTTTCTTCTAGAAATACAACCAACCAGTAGTAGGGAATCTTACAAATAAGGAACACTCACAGCATCTGCAGCTGCGGCAGCTTGCCAATCCCCGGGGGAAGAGGGCCTGATAGGTCATTGTCAGCCAGACTCCTGGGAAGCAACTTCTGAATCGACTCAAAGGTCAGCTCCTACACGGGGCACTCACAGCATCTGCAGCTGCGGCAGCTTGCCAATCCCTGGGGGCAGCGGGCCTGATAGGTCATTGTCAGCCAGACTCCTGGGAAGCAACTTCTGAATCAACTCAAAGGTCAGCTCCTACACGGGGCACTCACAGCATCTGCGGCTGCGGCAGCTTGCCAATCCCTGGGGGCAGCGGGCCTGATAGGTCATTGTCAGCCAGACTCCTGGGAAGCAACTTCTGAATCGACTCAAAGGTCAGCTCCTACACGGGGCACTCACAGCATCTGCAGCTGCGGCAGCTTGCCAATCCCTGGGGGCAGCGGGCCTGATAGGTCATTGTCAACCAGACTCCTGGGAAGCAACTTCTGAATCGACTCAAAGGTCAGCTCCTACACGGGGCACTCACAGCATCTGCAGCTGCGGCAGCTTGCCAATCCCTGGGGGCAGCGGGCCTGATAGGTCATTGTCAGCCAGACTCCTGGGAAGCATCACATGGATGGGTGGAGTAGGGTTGGAGGGAGAGGGTAATGGCTCTCATTTCAGTTGGCTTAGCGTGCGTGTTGTTGGAAGAAGGAGCAATTGGATGGATGGGGGGGGCAGGGGGAAGGGAAGGAGACGGGGATGGCTTTTGGTTGGTTGGCTGGCATAGCATGCTTGTTGTTGAGGGAAGGGGCCAATCGGGGAACACATAAACGAGAGTCGGGATTCCTCGTACAAACAACTCATGTCATGCCATGCCATGCTATGCCACTACCTGCCCTCCACTCACAGGTCCTTCAAAGAAGTGAGCTTGGTGATGGCAGCTGGGAAGCTGCACTGCGCTCATGTGTGTCCCGCCTGCCTCCTGTCTCACATCCCTTCCCTTCCTTGACACAGAGCAAGGGAGTCGAGACTCACAGGTCCTTCAAAGAAGTGAGCTTGGTAATGGCAGCTGGGAAGCTGCACTGCGCTCATGTGTGTCCCGCCTGCCTCCCGTCTCACATCCCTTCCCTTCCTTGCCACAGAGCAAGGGAGTCGAGACTCACAAGTCCTTCAAAGAAGTGAGCTTGGTGATGGCAGCTGGGAAGCTGCACTGCGCTCATGTGTGTCCCGCCTGCCTCCCGTCTCACATCCCTTCCCTTCCTTGCCACAGAGCAAGGGAGTCGAGACTCACAGGTCCTTCAAAGAAGTGAGCTTGGTGATGGCAGCTGGGAAGCTGCACTGCGCTCATGTGTGTCCCGCCTGCCTCCCGTCTCACATCCCTTCCCTTCCTTGCCACAGAGCAAGGGAGTCGAGACTCACAGGTCCTTCAAAGAAGTGAGCTTGGTGATGGCAGCTGGGAAGCTGCACTGCGCTCATGTGTGTCCCGCCTGCCTCCCGTCTCACATCCCTTCCCTTCCTTGCCACAGAGCAAGGGAGTCGAGACTCACAGGTCCTTCAAAGAAGTGAGCTTGGTAATGGCAGCTGGGAAGCTCCCACTGATAGCATTGCCGCCCAAAAAGCTGCCTCAGGGAGGAAAGTAGAGAGGAAAAGCACTTTCAAGGAAAAGCGAGTATTCACGGAAGAGAAAATTGCTTCATGGCAAAGGGCCACATGAGTTGATCCCAAGGATACTGCGCATACAGTCAGACGCATGTAACGTGTATGCGCTACTTTTTAACAAGGGTTGCATACAGTGCGGCGAGTGTTGAGTTGAGCAGGGAAATCGAGGCTGGTATGCTGGTGACGTTGTTGCCCACCCACCTGTGCACGCACAGCACAGGTATGAAAGCAGCAGAGAGACAGAGGTGGCTTTTGAGGTGACTTCTGAGTCGACTCAAAAGTCACCTTGAGCAGGGAAATCGAGGCAGGTATGCTGGTCACATTGTTGCCCACCCAGTTGACTTTTGAGTCGACTCAAAAGTCAACTCGGTATGTTGGTCACATTGTTGCCCACCCACCTGGGCAGGCAAAAGTATGAAAGCAGCAGGTGGTGGTGAGTTATGCGAGACAGATTGCTGCTTCTGCTTGAAAATTGCTTAGTCCAAGGGTGGCCTGGCTGTGAGATGCTAATTAATGGTGCAATGCGATGCAATGGCTACCACAAGAGCATGCTGATTGAATGTGTGCCTTCGAGTGTGTTTGATTGTGTGCATTCAAGTTTCAGTGGTTCAACCCCATGCTCGCCTGCTTGTTTATCACGAGGTGAGGGCTTCAAGCAGTGTGCATATACACACATTCAATTGCGTCAGAGAGAGTGTGCTTATAATGAAGTGAGGAATTCAAGGAGGTGCTTACAGCGATGTGAGTGCAGTGAGGTTGGCAATCGAGTCGGGCAGAGGCCCTGTCACTCCCCACAAGGACCTGAGAAGAGAAAGGCCATGCGATGTAATGCCGTCCCAGGCCACGTCATGCCATGCCATGCCATGCCATGTCATGCCATGCCATGCCATGCCACGTCATGCCATGCCATACCACGTCATTCCATCGCAACGTCATGAAACGCGAAGAGAAGAAAGGCGGGGGTGTACAAGGGTCTCGAAAGGTAGTGAAAGCGATAGACTGTGCGCCAAAGGCTAGGGAGAGGAGAGCAAACAGCAAGCAGATCTGTCAAGACGTGGTAGAACCCACTTACCTATTAGACGGAAGGCCAGGGCCTTTGACAACGGCGACGGCTCACTCACAGCGTGACGACGCGGCCTTGGTCGTTGCACGAGACGCCGAAGACGACGTTGCAGTTCTTCCCTCTACCGCCAGTACACCTTGTGGGGCTGGTTTCTGAGGCACCTACGAAAGAGACAGATTACCATGACGGGGCACTCACAGCGTGACGACGCGGCCTTGGTCGTTGCATGAGACGCCGAACACCACGTTGCAGTTCTCCCTTGACCGCCAGTACACCTTGGGGCTGCGCTGCGCGTTGGTGAAGTTCAGATCCTCTCTCAGCCGCAGGAGCGCTTGCCCTGGTGGGGAAACGAGAGGGGCGTGGGAGGAAAAGTAAAGGCGGAATATGTGTAATGGGGGACACTACTACAGTTGTTCCTTCCCGTGACCGTTGCCAATGCATCTAGGGGCTGCGCTGCGGGTTGGTGAAATCCAGCTCCTCTTTCAGCCGCAGCAGCGCTTGCCCTTGTGGCAAATGGAGAAGATGTGCGGGTAAAGGTGGGACGTTGATAGAGGCGACACTGGAGTTGTTCCTTCCCTTCACCGCCAATTGTACACCTCGGGGCTGCGCTGTGGGCTGGTGAGATTCAGCTCTTCCCACAGCCCAGCAGCGCTTGCCCTGATGAACAAGAGATGGGAGAGAGGGTGCATTGGCGCGAGAGCGGCATTGGGAAACGAGAGGTGCCGCATCCGGGAGGCCAGAATGCGACTGAGAGATGCAAGACCTTCTGACGGATACACGACGCAGATTTATAAAGATGTAGGGTAGTCTCCCCTCCACTTGCTGTTTCCTCAGATGTAGTGTAGCACCGTACCACTATTATACAGTCGACTAAAAACACCCCGAAAAACGCGAATACGCGATATGGGATGGGGTTTGCGGCATCGCAGATTCAGAGATCAGAAAAAGCTGGGCTTGTGGCAGTGCAGTTTGATCCCTCCCTACGCGTGCAAACTTTAAGGTGAAAACGCGAAAGCGGATCGTACGGAGACCGAAAAATGCCATACCTCGGAGATGCGGTGAAGTAGGGAGAGTAAGAAACGAGCTCTCGTTCTACTCACAGTCTCCTAGAGCGATCGAGCGAGCAGCAGTCAGTGGAACAAGGGTCGCGAGAACCGCGAAGACTCCGAGGACAAACGAATTCATGCTAACGAGCTGGGCATGTGAGAGCATTGCACGCGGCAGGGAAACGCTTCGCGAGCCGCCATTTCGGTGTGCCGACTCGGAGCTACTACGAGCCATTGAAGGAGGAATGCCCGCGTGGGGCCCTCCTTCCCTTCCACCACCACCTCCCAACGCCTTCGCTCGTAATCCTCTTTTCTACAAGGGTTTGCCAGACGCTTAGACAACGATCCCCCCCGCGACCCAAGCTGCGCAGTACGTTGAACGGAAGTAGGGCGCCTCGCTGCGTGTGGTTATGAAAATCCGAACGTGGAGAGTGTGATGCAGAGAAAACGCCTAGACGAAACCTCTAGAGTTCAGAGTCTAGACTCAGTGTACTTGCGAAGCAAAAATATCGGGGGCAGTCCTGTCCCGCCAACTACTGTAGAATAGTGTACGGCCCCAGGAGGGAACTATGGAACTGATTGGATGGAACCCCCGAATCTCCAGTTTGGTAAAACTGGAGCCGAACCAGACAAAACGGAAACCTCGAGCCTGTAAGCTGGTTCCGAAGCACTTCCAGATTTCTCCTTACCTGAGGCCGAGCCAAGTCAGGGCCACCTGACGGTTCGCTCCGGCTCCAGGTATTGGCGGCTGAGCTTCGGCAGAGCGGCTTCCAAAATGACCTGAACAACCTCACGGTGACGAGCCTGTGTGGCAAAAATTTGCTGGTTTTGAGGGCAAGAAGAATCTTTCGTTACTCGTAACAACCTGACCTACTCCTACGGTCTGGTCAGGGTGTCAGCTGGTTGAGAGAGACAAAACAGCTACAGTGCTCATTATGTGTTCATTATTCGTACAGTGTATGTTAAAACAAATTGTAATCCTGGTGTCTATATTACCTTATCCTAGTGACTATGCTGAGAATCTGATCCTCCCATTCAATTGTCACAATTGCCTTTGTCTTGTGTTTAAATTCAAATGTGAAAGTTTATTCATAGATTTTTCTACATATACCGCACATGATTTCTAGCTATGGATGAATAAATCAATAACCTAAAGCTGTTTAGAACTCGTGTAGACAAGTAATTTGCTTCGTAATGCCTTCTGCAAGTGGGAGGCACCCCTCCGTCGTTCCTTCAACCGAGTATATCTGTCGGCAACGGGGATTGGACGTGCCTAGCCTTCCCAAGTCGTGCACTTTCGCACTAGCCACTTCCGTGTGGTTGCCTGGCGTTGACGCCACGGATACACGGGCATGAACCCTCTGAATCGGACGTTGGGCAGCCCGTGCGACGGAGTCTGATCTCCAACCAGGCCGTCTCTGCGACGAATCTAGGCTCGGAGAGGCTGTGGGTTCTTCCGCCGCTGAACGCTGGTCTGGTGCCACAGGCGTTCCTGGTGTCCAAGTTGGCTCGTCTTCTTTCCATACCACACCATAGTTTGGTGAGACATTGACGTGACCTTGTCATGGCTCCTCATTTCTTTGCCATGGCGGTTTCTCATTCAGAACCTCCTACACACAAGACTTCCAAGCGCTAAGATAGTTTTGCACACGTGCTGAAACTGGGAATCCGTGCTTGAGATAACTTCACTAAAGCTGAGACTCAGCAGATTAGAAAGCTCATCGCTGAGTAAAGTCTTCCGTGAGGCTCGTAATTGCGAATATATTGACCGACCATGAGTGGTCGATTTTTGACTGGCTATGCATCAGCTCCTGTCTCGCCGCAAGTTAGTCGAGGGTCGTCACCTGCGCTTAGCGATCATGATTCGTAAGGGTTTCAAGACACTTCGTCTGCCTCAGTTTGAGGCTAAATCTAGTGTTTTCTTCGTTTTATCCATCATATGGTTGAGACGTGGATCTGACACGCGTAGTTTCTCCCTCTCAGGTATTTGTCGGAGCTCTTGTCCGAGAGGCAGAAACTTAGCCCTTTTATGCAAGTGCTGCCGATATGTAGCCGCCTGATGAATCAAGGTAGGACGAAGAACACGTAGTGAATGCGGATTCCGTTTGGCTTGGCGAGTTTGATGCTTACTTAACGACTTGTGGGACCTGCAGAAATTGCTCGAGTCACATCACTCGTTGGCGCGCAAGTGTTTATGGACCATGATTCAATCGAGCACTCGCCTCCAATGTCACATCAGCCACATTCGTCTCATCAGCAGATAACTCACCAACATTTATCGCATCAGGCACTCTCTCATCCTCCGCATCCACCTCATCAGTCTCATGCATCTCATCAAGGCCATATCTCTCATCAGTCTCAGCAGATCCGACCTTCGTCTAGTGGATCGCCATTTGATTCCGGAACATGGGCTCCGATGCCATCCGAGGTTGGGGTAAGTTTGGTTATTTAGCAACTTCGTTACAAGGCGATAGATTCTTACGGCTGACGCTGAGCCTTGGCTTTCCATGCTCGATATGCAGCCATCGTCTTCTCTCTTCTTGATGCAACCAACGAGCCAACCGTCAGCTTCCGGGACCCTCGTAGGCTGGACGGCTCAGCCTGGCGCTGCTCCGATTGTAAAGAAGACGAGCCGTTTGGAGGTTCCGGTGGATAAGTACCCTACATTTAACTTTGTCGGAAGAATCCTAGGACCACGAGGGAACTCGCTGAAACGAGTCGAAGCGCAGACAGGCTGTCGTGTCCTCATTCGCGGACGTGGGTCGATAAAGGACGCTGGCAAGGTATGAACGTTTTCTAAGGCTGTCTTGTTTGCGAGCGTTGGACGCTGTGTGTAAGTGTTTCTACTGTTGCCTTTTACGCTTATCCGACGCAGGAGGAGAAGATGCGAGACAAGCCTGGATTTGAACATCTGAACGAGCCTCTGCATGTTATTGTGGAAGCGGAGCTTCCTGCGAATGTTGTTGACGCGCAGCTTGCTCAAGCGTGCGAAATTCTTCAAGAACTACTCAGGCCTGTGGTGAGTGATTATGCTCGTGAACTTTTCAGCATTTGTTAGCATCAGTGGAACCAGGTGAGTAATTCAAGATTCCTTTCCCTTGTTTCAGGACGAAACTCATGATGTGGTCAAACGTGCACAACTTCGTGAATTAGCCATTTTGAATGGAACCCTTCGGGATGACCTGGGAGCTCACAGCTTGTTCTCAGGTTCCCCATTGCCCTTTGGCGATGTGGGACTGAAGCGAGCTAAAACTCGGCGATAGTGAAACAGAACGCGGCAGCTGAGGCTAGCACACTCAAGGTTGGTCCTGAAGGTTTGAGGTCTTTTATATTGCGTCATTTAGTGGTCTACTCCCCCACATTACCCGTTTTCTGTGTCATCACAGAACGCGTTTCACCGATTCACCTTAGATGTCCAGGATCCTATCGAGTATGGATGTAGTCCTGGAGAATTTTGACTATGTAATTCTTTTTATGGAATGATGATTTCTTCATCCTTCATCTCGTGCACCTTGGGGTGGGGCAAGGAGTTGGGGCGCTTGGGGGGTGTACGTGGTGGACAGCATGGTAAGTGTGGTTGGTTGGTGTTTTTGGACGCGAATGGTGATACGGGCCCCAGTACTTCATTGTGAAGCTTAGTAGTTGGACTCTACACCTATGGAGCTCTTCATTTCGAAACCCCTTGAGCTTCTAGCGGCTCCGACTATGAGCATCATGTTTTGGCGATCTGGTTCTCCTGACTCTGTTGGTGCATGATGGCTTCTGACTAACGGATGCTGGTGCTCCCTGACCAATTAACGACCACTTCTAATCCTACTGACCTAATGGTATGAGAAACTGACCTTTGTCCGTGTCTAGCACGTATTTTTTGCAGCACGTTCTGACCTTACGTGTTGTTGCACTGTGCAGGCTGATCCCATTTTTCCTGTATGGCAATGCGTATCATCTGTCCTGGATGAGTAAGCCTATGTGCCTCTGTTTGAGGGCAAATATCATGATGGTTTTCATCAGGTATGTGGTGCTGTTCAAGTTTCATCTAACCAGTTGGGACAGTCACGAAAACTTATAATACCATATGTTGTTTTGACTCTTGCAGCACAGCATGCTGGAGCTGCGGATACAAAACATGACAGGACGATGACAAATTCACAGGCAGCATGCCCTCAAGATTGAGACAACATTAGCACGCAGTTACCAGTTATTCAAGCCATCGTCCACTTTAACGTTCCGGTTCCCAATTGAAGGATGCTAAGGGATGGGGCCTACAGTTCACATGCCCAGTTCGATATGGTGAAGGCTACATCCAGAAGATCAGATTTCGAAATCAATCAACCTGCTGAAACACAAAGCCAACCAAACCTTACTGACAAATTAATATTACAGTTGCAAAAAGCTGGGCGTCCAGACAATGTCAAGGATAGGATTCCCAGGGCTCCCCTGCAGACATGATTTTTTCCAGGTATGGGTTCATGGTCATCACTATCAACGCAGGTTCCTTCAGCCAGTCGCCACCATCATTTGTATCAGGGCCGATGTGAGTTCACCTAATGAGATTTTTCTACAAGAGAGTGTTTCAGGAGCAGGCTTACAAGAATTGCAGTCACATAACCACGTACGTGCTGCAATGGAATGGAATGCAGCAAGACTGGTGTGTTCGTGTTCGAAGAGGAACTTCTTATGCAACTCTGCTAGAACTTGCTGACCTACATATCGAGTTGGCGCATTGCTTTGCATGACAAGATTTAAAGCCCGAGTTCTACATGGCAATTTTCAAGTTCAAGATTCCTGAATATGAATTCGCAAAAAACCATGTTACCACCCGAAGTGGAGGATATCCGTCGCGATCCAGAGGGGAGGTTTTGCGACGTTGTTCCATGATTGGCCAGCGACAAAACCAGTCATTCCGAGTTAAGGGTCGGAGGGCAATGGAGCACTGATCACTATCAGTAAACTTGAAAACCATGTACTAAATGGCAGGCATATTCACTGCTGCACCCGTTTTTCACGCCCAAACTTTCTCCGTATCACTCCTTTTCTCCGTAGCAGCTGTACAATTGATGCCTGTTTGAGCCTCTCCCGGTTGCCTTGTGAAGAGGGCGTATAAGCGGTTTTGTGCATTTCGCATAAGTCTCGTCAATTCGCAGCTAGCTAAAAAGGATTCGCATGTGCTTATATTAAATATCTGTAACCTTATCCGTTGACATTTTGACTTCAGTCTCTTCAGTTTGACTTCGGTCTGTTTGTTACTATTGGTCCATAACTACGCGACGCGCTTGTATCGTGGGTGCAACAGGCTGGGGAAAAGACCTCGGGTGCAGCGTTTCCATCCGGTGCAGGGCAAATTCGCGTGCACTGGTTGGGCATCATGTGTATCAGTACAGCAGCCTATTTGGTGACAAATACGAACAGCCAATCATAAAACCAGTCGGAGATTTCCCATTTATAAAATAACTAGAGAGCTCACATGTGTGTGCGGTGCGCACCCAATCGGATATAGTTACTCGCGCGACGCCAACACGTGCCTGCACGTCACAATTCCATCCACCCCCCCGGCGTCTAACCCGGGTTGCGCATCTAGACGGTCGCACGGTCGAGGGTCAAGTATATCCCTTCCGACTGTTGCTCTCCCTTCCGCCGTCGCTCTCCCTTCCGCCCGTCGCCCGTCTTTCCCCCTCGTCGCCCTGCCTTCCGTCCGTCGCCCACCCTTGTTCCCGTCGCCCTCCCTTCCCGTCGCCCTCCCTTCCCGTCGCCCTCCCTTCCCGTCGCCCGCGCTTCTTCCCGTCGCCCTCTCTTCCCGTCGCCTTCCCTTCCCGTCGCCCGCGCTTCTTCCCGTCGCCCTCCCTTCCCGTCGCCCTCCCTTCCCGTCGCCCTCCCTTCCCGTCGCCCTCCCTTCCCGTCGCCCTCGCTTTCCCCGTCGCCCTCGCCTTCCCTCCCGTCTCCCTTCCCATCTCGCACACTTGTCACCCTCCCTTTTCTCTCCCTACTCCCTCTTTTCCCTCCCTCCAATAATCGCCTTCCTTCCCCCAACTTATACCCCTTCCCTGCTTCCCCCCATCCCCTGCCCTGCTTCCCCCCATCCTCTTCATTCTTTCCCCGTATCCCCAGCCCTGCTTCCCCCCATCCCTTCCCTGCTTCCCCCCATCTCCTTCCCTTCTTCCCCCCATCTCCGTCCCTGCTTCCCCCCATCCCCCTCCCTGCTTCCCCCCATACCCCTTCCCTGCTTCCCCCCATCCCCTTCCCTGCTTCCCCCCATCCCCTTCCCTGCTTCCCCCCATCCCCTTCCCTGCTCCCCCCCATCTCCATCCCTGCTTCCCCCCATACCCCTCCCTGCTTCCCCCCATCCCCTTCCCTGCTCCCCCCCATCCCCTTCCCTGCTCCCCCCCATTCCCTTCCCTGCTTCCCTCATCCCCTGCCCTGCTTCCCCATGTCCCCTGCCCTGTTTCCCCCAATCCCCTTCCCTGCTTCCCCCCATCTCCTTCCCTTCTTCCCCCCATCTCCGTCCCTGCTTCCCCCCATCCCCCTCCCTGCTTCCCCCCATACCCCTCCCTGCTTCCCCCCATCCCCCTCTCTGCTTCCCCCCATACCCCTCCCTGCTTCCCCCCATCCCCTTCCCTGTTCCCCCCCATCCCCTTCCCTGCTTCCCCCCAATCCCCCTCCCTGCTTCCCCCCATCCCGTTCCCTGCTTCCCCCCATCCCCTTCCCTGCTCCCCCATGTCCCCTTCCCTGCTTTCCCCCATCCCCCTCCCTGCTTCCCCCCATCCCCTTCCGTGCTTTTCCCCCTCCCGTCGCCCTCGCTCTCCCCCTCCCGTCGACCTCGCTTTCCCCCTGCTCACTCGCATTCCCCCTGCTCACTCTCTTTCCCTCTGCTCACTCTCTTCCCCCTTTCTCACTCTGCCCCCCCTTCCTCACTCTGTTTCCCCCTGCTCACTCTCTCCTCCTCACTCTATTCCCCCCTGCTCTATTCCCCCTGCTCTGTTCCACCCTGCTCACTCTCTCCTCCTCACTCTAATCCCCCCTGTTCTGTTCCCCCCTGCTCTATTCCCCCCCGCTCTATTCCCCCCTGCTCTATTCCCCCCTGCTCTATTCCCCCCTGCTCTATTCTCCCCCTGCTCTATTCCCCCCTGCTATATTCCCCCCTGCTCGATTCCCCCTTGCTCTATTCCCCCCTGCTCTGTTCCCCCCTGCTATATTCCCCCCTGCTCTATTCCCCCCTGCTCTGTTCCCCCCTGCTCTATTCCCCCCTGCTCAATACCCCCCTGCTCTGTTTCCCCCTGCTATATTCCCCCCTGCTCTATTCCCCCCTGCTCTGTTCCCCTCTGCTCTATCCCCCCCTCCTCTATTCCCCCCTGCTCTATTTCCCCCTGCTCTATTTCCCCCTGCTCAATACCCCCCTGCTCTATTCCCCCTTGCTCTATTCCCCCCTGCTCTATTCCCCCCTGCTCTATTCCCCCCTGCTCTATTCCCCCCTGCTCAATACCCCCCTGCTCTGTTCCCCCCTGCTATATTCCCCCCTGTTCTATTCCCCCCTGCTCTGTTCCCCCCTGCTCAACACCCCCCTGCTCTATTCCCCCCTCCTCTATCCCCTCCTGCTCTATTCCCCCCTGCTCTATTCCCCCCTCCTCTATTCCCCCCTGCTCTGTTCCCCCCTGCTCTACTCCCCCCTCCTCTATTCCCCCCTGCTCTATTCCCCCCTCCTCTATTCCCCCCTCCTCTATTCCCCCCTCCTCTATTCCCCCCTGCTCAATGTCTCCCCTGCACTCTGTTTTTTCCTGCTCATTCTGTACAGGTCCCCAGCACCAGGTGTAGGGAGGGACCCACAAGTCCTGCTTTTTTGCTGCTGTGTATGCAGACAAGAGTGGGAAAAGACATATTATTGAGTAACTTGGTTCTTTTTTTACTAGATTGTTGCACTTCGTAGGTGGTCAATGGTCACTCTACTCCATGTATCAAAATTTAGTTATCATAATAAGCATACAACATTCCCACAGCCATGTATCATACCTAGGGGTACTATCAAACAACCAACATTCCAGCCGGTAAGCATACAAAAGAATGACAACTGACAAGAAAGCAACACGAAGAGGAAGAAATAAAAAGACACTCCTGGAACGGTAGGAGACAAACAGAAGGACAACCAGGGGAAAAGAGGGACAGAGAAATGGAGGAAGGGACGTATGGAGGAAGAGAGGAACAGAGGAAGGGAAGGATGGATGGGGAGGGAAGACGGGGGAAAGGGAGGACAGGCAGCACCACGTCTGCCTATGCTGTGTGACTCTGCCCACCGCCATCCACCCGCAGCGCCCCAAGCAGCTCCCTGGTGCAGAAAAGCACAAGGGATGAAGAGGTGCCGCTGGGCCGAGGGCGGTGTGGGAAACACCTGGAGGGGAGGGTGAGAGGATCGGATGGGGAAAGGACGGATGGGGAGGGATGAGGAGAGGATGGATGGGAAGAGGAGGGAAGTGGTGAGGTGGGATGGGCGGATGGGGAGAGGACGGGAGGGGGTGGGGAGAAGAGGGGATGGTGAGAGCAAGGTGCAAAAAAACGGCCGAAACTTTGAAATTTCGGCGTAAAAAACGGTATCGTAGTTTTCGGTCGTAAAAAACGGTTTAAAACGGTAAAACCATGTCATTTTGTGCTGGTGCAAAAAAACTGCCGTTTTTTTCGACCGAAACTTTGAAACCATCGTTGTAACTCATAATTAGTGGATTTTTAAAGGGGATAGGAATTGCTTGCCGTTTTCACTGTCGATTTCCGACATGCGGCTCGTTGAATTTTCTCGAGCCGCGAATTCAGTCTGAACCGAGTCGCGCATTTCAACATTTGACGACAGGATTGTTGGGCTGAGAAGCCCTAGGATCTTTGTAGAGTTTAAGGACTGAGTAGGATTGTAATAGCGGAAGCGTTGTAATACAGAGTGGTTGAACCACCTTGCGCTAGTATGTGAGAGCAAAGTAAGTTGATTAAAACAAGCAAGTACAAGGCTTTATATAAGAGTACAAGGAATACGAATAGATAAGATAACTGTCTTGCTGTTGCGATTCGATACAGTGCGACTCGGGCAACTGCTCAATGTCGAGTCAGTTGTGTGTCCTTGCTGTCGCGCTGTATTGGTCAAGTCAAAGGTCGCTGACCTTTGACCTTCGCGTAACCTTCAGGCGGTTACCCCAACCTCCGAGGGTTGACTCGCGATGCTTCGATTTGGACTGCTTCGCTTTGAGTCCTGAGCTTCGACACGACAGAGGCGTTTTAAGACTTATTGTTCCCAACACTCCCCTTCGCTTCTGGAGTTTCGCTGACGGTGACGTGGCTTTGTCCAGTCAGCAGCATGCAGTACTCGAACTTCTGTTTTCCGAGCTTCTTGGTCAAATAGTCGGCTGCCATCTCGGACGTGGGACAGTAGGATAACTCGAGTCTTCCTTTCTCGATCTCGTCTTTCACGAAGAAGTATCGCAGAGCGATATGCTTCGTTCTGTTCGCGAATCCGTTTTTGTTGGCGATGCGAATTGCAGATTGGTTGTCGCAGTGCAGGGTGAAGCTGGGTAACTCAGCTAACTTTGCTTCTTCCAGCAGTTCGCGAAGGTAGAGTCCTTCCTTGGTGGCTGAGCAGAGGGCGATATATTCTGCTTCAGCTGAAGAGAGAGCGATTAGTTCCTGCTTACTCGACTGCCAGGAGATAGGCCCGATAGGCTCGAGACGATAGACGTAGCCGGTACGAGAACGCCTGTTATCAGAATCGCCGGCATGGTCACCATCGACGTAGCCGATTAGTTTCGTCGTCGTAGCTTCGCCCTTGTAGTAAGTTAGGCCGATCGTCGGTGTGCTCACGAAGTAGTGCAGTGCGCGATCGAGCTCCGCCATGTGCTCAGCTTCGGGTTTCTTGAGATAGGTGGCGAGTTGACTCGCGGAGTAGGATAGATCCGGGCGACAGGTTACGGCTGCGAAGAGGAGGCAGCCTAGTTTCCTCTGGTAGTCTCGTATTCCGGCGGTTTTTAGTAGGGTGGAGTTTCCTTGGCCGTTTCCTGCCGTGTAGCGGTATGGCGTGGCGATAGCGGTAGGGGTGAGCGAGAAGCGCTTGGCGATCGTGTCGGCGTATTTCTCGGCGCTTAGATAGATTGCGTTTTCTTCTTCGCGGATGTTGAGTCCAAGGTACTGCGTGACGGTAGAAGAAACCGTGAGCGTGAGATCTTTCTGCAGCTCCCCTTTGAACCAGGTGGTGACGTCGTCGGTGGAGCCGATGTAGAGGAGATCGTCGGCGTAGACGATGAGTAGGATGTAGTTGGCGCCTTTGGTGAGTCGGTACATGCCCTGGTCATGGGGCAGTTGGCGGAATCCGATGCGGATGAGGCGGGTGTGCAGGTGCTGTTGCCACAGCCGTGGGGCCTGCTTGATTCCGTAGAGGGACTTTAGCAGTTGGCAGACTTGATTGGGTTCCCCGTGGGTACCGTGAGGGAGCTCGACGAAGATGTCGGCGTCGACAGGTGCGTAGAGGAAGGCATTGGCGACATCAATCTGTCGCAGCTTCTTCTTCTTCATGGCGGCGACGGCGAGAAGAATGCGGAGAGAGGTATGTCGACTAACTGGGGCGAAGGTATCGGTGAAGTCTCGTCCTTGTTCATGGTCGAATCCACGCACGACCCAGCGTGCTTTGAACTTCTCGATTGTGCCGTCAGCTTTTGTCTTGATGCGGAAGACCCATTTCCCGGTGAGAATGGTCTTGTTCCGTGCCACGCTTACGGGAACGACCTTCCAGGTGTTGCGTTCCTCCAATGCCTTTAATTCCCTGTCCATGGCTTCACGCCATTTTTCCCTGTGTTCCCCCCCCAGAGCCTGCTGTACTGTCGCAGGCTCTTTAGGAAGAGGGTTGCCGGCGGTCCCGTGGACTGCGGTGACGAGGCCAAGGATTTGTAGCCCAGTCTGTGAGTATTGAGGGAGTTCTGGATCCTCGGGATAAGCTGCTTCGTCTCCCGCTTCTGGGTCGGGGATGAAATTTGGCCCTATCCTTTCTGCTTCGTTGGTGTTGACTGTCGCAGGTGTTACGTAACCGTTGTCGGCGAAGTGGTAGAAGACTTCGGCGTTGTTACTGTCGCGAGGATTATCTTCATCCATGGGCACATCGACGGAGCAGTACGGGAGAGGTCCGGCTTCCTCCGATGCGTTGTCGACGTTCTGTTCATCCCAGTCTGCTTCGTCCCCTTCTGAGGCGAAGGCTCGGTCACCACGAAAGCCACCTGTGGGGTCCTGATTCTCGTGCAAGTTGGCGAGGTACGTCTGAAGGGTGAGTCGTTTGTAGAAGATCACATCACGTGCTGCTACTGTTTCTTTTGTGTGGACGTCGAAGATTCTCCACGCGTTGTAATTTTTCTCGATGCCGAGGTGTAGTCCCCACTGTGCCCGTTGCGAAAATCTTCCCGCTCGTGCTTCTGGGGGTCGGTACTGTACCATGCACCCAAATACTCGTAACATTTTTGTGCTGCCCTGCTTTCCTGTCCACAGCAGATGCGGTGATGCGTTGTTCGGGAGTGACGACGACGAAAGCAAGTTGTGCAGCATGACAGCATGGTCCATTGCTGCTGGCCACTAGTGGTTGGGTAGCCGCATGCCACGTAGTAGTTTGCGCATGCTGTTCTGCAGGGTCCTGTTCATTCTTTCTGCAACACCCTGCTGCTGATGTGCGTAGGGAAGGGAGAGGAGTTGCTTGATCCCCCTTTCCGCCAGGTAATGTTTGAAGCGCTGAGAGGTGTATTCGCCACCTCCGTCTGACTGGAAGCTTTTCAGCTGTGTTCCTGATTCCCTTTCTGCTACCGGTAGCCAAGCAGCGAATGCTGCGAGTGCCATGTCGCGGCTGGGTAGGTTGTGATGCCAGACGTATCGAGTGGCGGCGTCGATGAAGGTAATCGTGTAATTATAGGTTACTTGGCCTGGTTCTCGATTGTAGAGGATGTCGCTGTAGACTTTTTCGAGTGGTGCGTATGCAGGTGCGCTCGGGTTGTGGTGAGAAGAAAAAGGTCGATGTGGTAAGTCGGCCTCGGGGCAGATGAGGCAAGTCCCCTGTGCACGTTGAAGTTCTCTGCCGTCGAGTAGTAGTAGCGAGTCTTTGTCTAGCACTCCTGCTCGTATCGTATTATTTAACACCGTGTTACCTAGATGTCCTGTGCGTGCATGCCAGATGTCTTCGGAGGCGCGGTGTCCGGGTGAACGTTGATATGCGTCGGAGTTGGAGTAGAAGTTGGCGACGAAGTTGGCGCTGCGGTGGACTTCTCGTTGAGTCGGGTTCAGCTGTTGTGCGGGTGTTGGTGGTGTTTCGTCGACGATGACTGGTGTCGTTGTTCCTGCTGCTGCCGATGTTGTTGCTGCTGCCGATGTTGTCTCTGCTGCTGTCGATGTTGTCTCTGTTGCTGCCGATGTTGTCTCTGCTGCTGTCGATTGTTGAATTGTTGCTAGTGCTCGTGTTCGCTCTGCTTCAGGGATGGTGTGTGAGTACCAGAAGCCTCCTGGACTGAAATCAGGATCGAGGTCCGGAGGGTGTGTCCAGTCGGTAAAGTTGACGATGGCGTCGCTGTCTGCAGAGCCCAGGTCGGGGACGAAGTCAAGAACGAAGACGTTATTCTTCAACACTGCTTTCCCGATGTAGAGGCCGCCCCTCCCGTGGTATAACTTAAATTCCTGGGTGGTGCTGTCGGCTTCCAAGTGAATCCCCTTCGCCATCAGCTGGCTAACACTCAGTAAGTTGTAACCGAGTCCTTCTGCGATGAGTACTTTTGACATGTGTAGTATAACGTTGGTCTCTCTTGATTGAAGCTGAACGACTCCTTGTCGTCTTGTGCGCAGGTTCTGGTTGTTGGCGACCGTGATGACTACTTCTCGCTGGAGTCGATGTTCGCGTTGTACGAAGCGCCCGGAGGAGCACATGTGTTGTCCGCAGCAACTATCCAAGAACCAAGTGTCTTGGCCGGACGGTTCGCTTTGAGCGATGGTGGCGTACGTCGGATTCGGCTGGAGTGATTCGCGGCGAGGCGTCCTGTTGTCGAGCTCCCCTTCTGGTGAGTAGTAGGGTGGCGACTTTGTAATGCAGGAATCGTTTATCTTTACCATGTAGTTGACGATGCTTCTTGCTCCTTGTGCAGGTTGTCCAGTTGAAGTCGTTGAAGCTTGGATAGTGGTTGTCGGACTTGCTTGCGTTGAAGCAACTTTGGAGCTTGAAGGCCGCAGTTGTCGCTGTGGTGTCGTCTGACGAGACGGGCAATGCGTGCGAGGATGGCCCGAGGTTTTGCAGATGTGGCAGAACGGAGGTACTGTTTTCACTTGCTGTTGTCGATTGTTGTTGCCGTTGTGTCGTCGCTGAGTGTGAAAAGCAAATTCTGGTGCTAAAGCTTTCTTCTTGTGTCTTTCTTCTTGCAGGTCCATGTCCTGCTGCTCAGCATGAATTTCGGCGCAGAGTGCCGCTTCGGAGATCCTCCCGTGTGCTCGTAATATGGCGCGAGTGGAGCGCCAGTGGGGGCCGAGACCGCCGATGACCACCGTGACAAAGGCGTCTTCTGAAATTGACCCGCCGCATCGAAGAAGCTTGTCGCGCAGTTCGCGGCAGCGGCTGATATAAGCCATGCCTTTCTCACCTGGTTTCATTTCAATCGTTGTCAACTGCGCCATTAACCTGCTTTGGTTTACGCTGTCTGTTGCTTGATACAGGTTTTTCAGGTGGTTGTACGCGAGCTCCGCGGAGTTGCCGTAGCCTCGGTAAGTCCTGATGTTCTGCTGCTGGGTTGGGGTGATGTTCCTCAGCAGAATCGTGTACGCCATCATCGATTGATATGTATACTGCTGCTTCTCATATTGTGTCCCGTTTGTCGGATATGGCAGGGACCCGTCGAAGAAGCCAAGAATCTGTGCTCCTTCCATCATCAGTTCAAACTCAAACGACCAGGTAAAGAAATCTTTGCCGTCGAAAGGCTTTGTCGTTTGTAGTTTTAGGACGTGCACGAATTGCGATTGGACTTGTAACGCGTCCAATGTCCTTTCTTGTCCCGATGCAGGTTGCGGTTGCGGCATGAAGCTGACGGAGCCACGTTGGGGCTCGTACGGCGCAAAGGTAGGCTGTTGTTGTTGTTGTTGCATCCCGCGTGCATAGGATGAGCCGTCGAGGCTCATCGGAGTAACATTGTTGTTGTTGTTGCTGTTGTTTGACTGCGCAGGCACTCCTTGCTGGTGTTGCTCGTAGAAGGACATGAAGGAGAAAAATTTCTCCATCATGTTTGAATCGAAGCCTGCTGGTGTTTCCGTGGACCCAACTGCTGGTCTTGCGGTAGTGCCTTCCTCTGTCTGTAGGCCAGAGGCAGGAGGTGGAGTAGGAGTAGTGCCTGGGGAGCCGTTGGAGGAGCTCCTCTCCTTCCTTGCAGACATGTCCCGTTTTTTTTTTTTTTTTTTTTTTTTTTTTTTTTTTTTTTTGTATTTAAGTATTGAGAGAGAAAATGATCTTAAACTCTAACTGCTCTCATACCATGTTGGGCTGAGAAGCCCTAGGATCTTTGTAGAGTTTAAGGACTGAGTAGGATTGTAATAGCGGAAGCGTTGTAATACAGAGTGGTTGAACCACCTTGCGCTAGTATGTGAGAGCAAAGTAAGTTGATTAAAACAAGCAAGTACAAGGCTTTATATAAGAGTACAAGGAATACGAATAGATAAGATAACTGTCTTGCTGTTGCGATTCGATACAGTGCGACTCGGGCAACTGCTCAATGTCGAGTCAGTTGTGTGTCCTTGCTGTCGCGCTGTATTGGTCAAGTCAAAGGTCGCTGACCTTTGACCTTCGCGTAACCTCCAGGCGGTTACCCCAACCTCCGAGGGTTGACTCGCGATGCTTCGATTTGGACTGCTTCGCTTTGAGTCCTGAGCTTCGACACAACAGAGGCGTTTTAAGACTTATTGTTCCCAACAAGGATTACATGTTTCGCCACATGCGGACCGTTTTCGCGCCAGCTGACAATGTGTTTTCTCGCATACAGAGGGTGTCGCAATTTTTGCGCACTACTAATGCAAAGCGCGACCAATCAGAACACCCCTATAGTGTTGGTCGAGTCGCCCCGAATGCAGCATTTCGCGATCGCGAACCGAAGACATTACCCGCTTCGAATTTTTTTCAAATTTTCGCGCTAGAAGTGAAAATGTTTCGCGCATGCGGGGTGTGTCGCAAAGCGCATGCCACTCGAGAGTCGCGACCAATCACAGCAGCCCAAGCCCAATCTTCCGAAGTGAGTTGCTCATCCTCAACTCGACAATGCACTTCAGCTCCCGAAGTACAAAGAGGCTCTGTCCAGGGCCTCTTAACTCATAGCCACTGAGGCTATTCCAGCACTCTCTCTATCAGATTAGCCACCCGAAGCCTTGCACCATGGTTCGACCGCAGTCACGCTATTGGCTGCACGTTAGGAAAGAGACGGCGGAAGATGGTACAATCACTAGCTGCGTGTGCCTTCACTGCCATTTGCCGGTAACCCTAAACGCAACTAGAATTGGGGAGCACCTTTTAGGCACTCCAAGCTCCAAGCATAAGAACATAGCGATCTGCGAATCAGATTATGCGAAGCAGCTGCGAGCGTCGTCCGTCGAGGAGCGTTCGTCCTTCGAAGACGGCTCTAATGGAGAGTCTACGTCCACTATGGAGGTGCAGTTACCCCGGCGCTCACGGCAGCGGGACATTCGGGAGATGGCCGACGTGACAGCGCGCGGACGCTTGGACTACCTGTAGGCGGCTGCTGTGGCGGAAAACGACCTGGCGTTTAGGACGTCTTCGTCTAAGGCGATGCAAGTGTTTGTGGATGCAGTCGCCGCATTCGGGAAGGCCTACACCTTACCTTCGGCGTACAAGGTGGCGGGCCCACTTATTGTCAAGTTGAAGCTCGACACGGAGGAGCTCATCAAGCCAATTAAAGAGAGTTGGCCGAAAAGCGGATGCACCCTCACGATGGACGGTTGGACGTGCCTCAAAAGCCGGGGCATGATTTGCGTCATCGCCCAAAACGACACCGCGCGGGTGATTTTGGATTGCGTCGACTCCAAAACCGCGAAGAAAACTGGAGAGTACCTCGCGAAGCTCATCCAACATGCAATTTGCGAGGTGGGGGACAGCCACGTTGTCCAAGTCGTCATGGACAACGCGGCTAACAACAAGCGCGCGGCAAACTTGCTCAAGGACGAGTACCCGCAAGTCTTCTTCACCAATTGTGCAGCCCACGTCTTGGACCTCATGCTTCACGATATGGGGAAGGTCAAGGCGGTGAAGAGGGTCCTCAACCAGGTGCATCGGGTTGTGATGATGGTCAAGGGGAGTGCCTCGGCCGTCACACTTTTCCGTGAGTTGTTTAGCCAGCTAGCGCTTGTCCGCCCTGGTGCTACTCGTTTTGGAACGCAAGTGATCATGATCGAGCGTTTCCTTGAGGTTAAAAAGACATTGAAGGAGATGGTGATTAGTGAGGAGTGGAAAAGTGTAGCGGTGGCGAACACGGAGGAGGGGCAGGCTATACGTGGTCTCCTCTTGGAGGAGACGTTTTGGGACTCCGTCACGGCCATTCTCGGCCTCATGAAGCCCATCTACGAGGTGCTACGCATCTTTGACCGGCGGTCCCTTGTGATGGGGAGCGTCTATGGCCTCATGCTTGAGGCTACGGTCAAGACCAACGAAGCGGCAACGAAAGCGGGTAAGTTCAATGTATTAGACATGAATCAATTAGTTCAACGATTCTGTCCCTACCCTACACCAGCCTCTCCAACGCTATTACTCACCATGAATTTGTTGCTCTTACCGCGTGCGCAGCTGCCCAACTCTCCAAGAAAACCGGTTTGCTTCCGGGAAACGAGAAGGCCGCGTTTCTTGCTGCGTTTAAGGCTATCATAGCCAACCGATGGGACGGACAGCTGCACAACCCCCTCCACGCCTTGGGGTGGCTTCTAATCCCGAAGAATCAGTACGTAGGCGAGATTCGGGAGGATGCGGAACTGAGGGCGGGGGCTGAAGAGGTGTTTAAGGCAAGGGGGGGCAGTGTTGAGATGCGGACGATGCTAGCGGTGCAACTAGCCGCTTTTCACAAGGGAGAGGGGAAGTTGGGGTCTGTGGATGCGCGGTGGGCTGCCACCATCTTGGTGGAGAGCGGGAGGCTCTCCGCGGCTGAGTGGTGGGCGCTGTATGGGGGTGAGGTTCGTGCTTTGCAAAGGATTGCGGTGATGTTGCTCTCCCAGCCCGTGACTTCATCCGAGGTCGAGCGGTACTGGTCCGCTCTCGCAAGGGTCCAAAGGCGGGACCGCAACCGGCTGAATGCCACGTCCATGACGGACGTGGCATTCGTGGCATTTGGCCGGCGAGCTTGGGAGTCCTATGACAAAAAAACAGAGGCCCGTGCTAAGCTCTACAGCGAGTTGAGCAATGGATCGCTGCAGGAGGGCAGCACAAGCGTGCTTCTTTCTCTTCCGGGTGGATGAGGAGGAGGAGGCGGGGGGGGAGTCGTGTACCATTGACTGGGACACCTTCGGGAACATTGGCAAGCGGGTGACCAAAAGGAAGCACGCAAATATGAAGAAGAAGAAGAGTGCTTCCAAGGGCAGCGGGTCCCGCAAGGGGAAGGAGAAGGTTTGTGAGGAAGAGGAAGAAGAGGCGGAGGATGGGAGCAGTGATGATGACAGTGGTCCGGATGAACCAACCAAGCGGAAGAACAAGAGGGTGAATGCGTGGGATTGTAGCGACAGGAGTAGCGGGGAGGAGGAGGATGACGAGGAGGATGAGGAAGAGGAGGGGGATTAGGACTAAGTAGGAGGAGGGGGCTGAAGGATAACTTATCGGTAAGTGGAGGGGGCTGAAGGATAACTTATCGGTAAGTGGAGGGGGCTGAAGGGTAAGGACTAGATCAGAGGAGGGGGCTGAAGGGTAAGGACTAGATCAGAGGAGGGGGCTGAAGGGTAAGGACTAGATCAGAGGAGGGGGCTGAAGGGTAAGGACTAGATCAGAGGAGGGGGCTGAAGGATAAGGACTAGGTAAGAGGGGGTAGAAGGAGTAGGAGTAGGTAGTTAGGAGGAAGGAGGAGGGACCTGACTGTGTTTGCTCATTTCTGACTAGTTTTTAGCATGTTACAAACCGTTTGTATGCTGCCCTGTTCTAGAATCATCTATGAACCCTTTCTGTTTTTTTTTTTTTTTTTGGCACAAAAATCTCCAACAAAAAAACGGCCGAAATTTTGAAAAAACAGCGTAAAAAACTAGCGTTTTAAACGGAGCGTATTTTACCCCAACCGAAATTTTGAACCTTGGGTGAGAGGAGGGGATGGGGAGAGGAGGGGACGCGGTGACGAGGGAAGGGGAAAGAAGCGGATGTGTATAGGAGGAGATGGGGTGAGGAGGAGATGGGGTTAGGAGTATGGTGAATGGGGTATGGTGGAATGGTGAAAGTAGGCATGGGGAATGGAAGGATGGGGAACGGAGGGAGAGTGAATGACGGGATGAGGAAAGGAGGTCTGGGGAAACGAGGAAAGGGGGATGGGAAGTAGGATGTCAGGGCGAGAGGAAGGGATTGAGAGAAGGGGGGAGGAAGGGCGGAAGAGGGGGATGGGAAGTAGGAAGAGGTGGGAAATGGCGACGTGTGACGATGCCACGGGGTGCGGCGGAGATGGGGTGAGGCATGGGGAGATGAGGGATGGATGGATGAGCGATGGAGAGGTGAGGGATGGGGAGATGAGGGATGGGGAGGTGAGGGATGGGGAGGTGAGGGATGGGGAGGTGAGAGATGGGGAGGTGAGGGATGGGGAGATGAGGGATGGGGAGGTGAGAGATGGGGAGGTGAGGGATGGGGAGATGAGGGATGGGGAGATGAGGGATGGGGAGATGCGGGATTGGGAGATGAGGGACGGGGAGGTGAGGGAAGGGGAGATGATCGATGGGGATATGCGGGATGGGGAGATGAGGGATGCGGAGATGAGGGATGGGGAGATGAGAGATGAGGAGGTGAGGCATGGGGAGGTGAGGGATGGGGAGATGAGGCATGGGGAGACGAGGGATGGAGAGATGAGGGAAGGGGAGATGAGGGATGGGGAGATGAGGGATGGGGAGACGAGGGAAGGGGAGATGAGGGATGGGGAGACGAGAGTGTGGGGTGTGGCGTAGCAGGAGGAAGGAGAGTTGCAAGGCGCGGGGAGTCCCCATTCTCGTTAGAGGGGAGGGAGCGTGGGCGACGGGAGGGAGGGAGCGGTAGTAGTGACGGATGGGTGTGCGCGTACATGACGTAAGGGGAGTGAGCATGAGCGATGGGAGGGGAGTGAGCGTGGGCGACGGGAGGGGAGTGAGCGTGGGCGACGGAAGAGAGTGAGGAGGGGCGAAAGAGGCGTCCCGCAAAGGCGACGGGAGGGGAGGGAGCGTGATCGTGCGTCAGGAAGGAAGCGTGGGCGACGGGAGGGAGTGATCATCCTCTTTGGAGGGGAGTGCGCGAAGGCGACGGGAGGGGAGTGCGCGAAGGCGATGGGAGGGGAGTGCGCGAAGGCGACGGGACGGGTGTGCGCGAAGGCGACGGGAGGGAAGTGCGCGAAGGCGACGGGAGGGGAGTGCGCGAGGGCGATGAGAGGGAGTGAGCTATGGCGATGGAGGGAAGTGTGAGACATTGGCGCGAGAATGGTCGCGTGGGCGACGGAGGGGAGTGAACATAGGCGACGGCGACGAGTAGCGTGCATTTTCAAACCAATCTACACACATGGCTTCGCTTTCTAACCCCCTCCAAGCACCAAACTCGTGGTGCAGTGTCGCACAGTTGGGTGACGAATGCTGAAGCTCGTCGCTGCCTGGTTTTGCTTCCGCACCTGTTCAGCTCTCGAAATGTTTTTTTTATGCCTTTCGCAAACACACTTAAAGCCCCCGCGTCACTGTTGCAAAAACCATGCTGACCTCGGGCTTTAACTGCTCTAAATACATAAATACATGTTCACCAGCAAGCAGGAGGCAGGACAAAAGAGTAAGAGCTGCTAAACTTCACTTGCGGAGGTGCCTGAACCCCTCGTCTGTGAAGGGTTGTCACAAGCACATCTTCAAACTTGCGAGCCTGCAAGAATGAGCGTACAGGGATCTCAACACATTCATTTTTGTTACCATGGGGGGATGCACTGGGGTGCGTTACAGTGAGGCTAAGAATTAATTATACATGAAGCTGACACTACTACCATTGTCGTACCACAAAAAGAGATGTACCCACCTGCTGGACAACTAAGGGATCTTCCCCTGGAGAAAGTGGAGCCGTCAAAACAGTGAGAAGCCCGTTGCGGTTGCCAAACACAATGTCTGTCAGACACCGATCTCCAACCTGCCATCAAGTGGAGGTGTACCATATCAGAATGGGTGAAAACCTACCAAAACAATATGTAGCAATGCTCGATGCTTAGTGGGACACAGCATAAAATTATTGAAACCCTAGCTGGCTGGCATACAACTGCCATCCAGGCTGGTAACTCTACTAGGTCCCAGGCCATCGACCTTGCATCCTAGATGTGCCTCCAACTTCCTTCTTGCAGCACCTTCAAAGTTCACGAGAAATGAAACCTTTTATCCTTTCTTCCTGGCACTAAAAGAATCTGACACAGTCACTCACCATAACCATCTCCTCTGCTCTGCATCCGAAGTGTGTCTCCAGCTCTGCTGCTCCCCCACCAGGTTTCTTCTCCGAGTGAAGAATCACAGGCACCCCCAGGGCCTGCTCCATTGCTGCTGCCAAGGAGCCATCAGGGTCGTACTGCTTCAACCCTGAACTGGAGGGTAGGTTGGGATTCAAATGGGGGGAGAATAAAAATCGATGGCATAAAACAATAGGATTATTTGAGCAGCCATTAGGGTCATATTGCTTCAACCCTGAACTGGAGGACAGGTTGGGATTCAAACGGTCGGGAAACATGGGAGCATGGAGGATTGATTGATAAAAGATTTTTGTTAGATAACCCAAGCTTGAGCACCATATTCTTTTAAAGTTTTTTGGAGACATGAGAGCCCATGGCAACCTTCTTATCCTATTCAATTAAAGCCCATCCCTCCCCCCCTCCCCACCAACCCATGTTCATCGGACACCTCTAGACATTGCACCGACCAACCTGCAGAGTTGCTCAGGATGGCAATGCCTCTCGATCCGAAAGTCTTCCGACACAAATCCAGGGAAGCTACCAGCCCATCCTCCACCTGCTTTGGCCGAGCCACATGTGGGATGGGGATGTGCTGACGGTTTGTGAGGCGCCTCTTGAAGGCAATCCCTCGTAATACGAATGTCCACCAGCACACATCCAGGGAAGCTACCAGCCCACCCTCCACCTTCTTTGGCCAAGCCACATGTGGGAAGCAAGGGGGGCTTGGGATGAGCTGACGGTCTCTGAGACGACTACAAAATAACCGCCAGTGGGATGTTTGAATGGATGGGGAGGGGAGAGGCATCAAAAGGCAACATGCGCTTGCTGAGATGAGCTGACGCAGCAAAAGGCTGATCAAGAACACGCTCGTGTCTGTACTACTTTACGCATGAGGGAGGGAGGGGGGAGCAGAGAGGGAAAGGGGGGTCAAAAGAAGTTGGGGGGAGCGAGAAGGGAGGAGTGCAACCAGCAAATCAGAGACCAGTAAACTGGTTGAGTAGAGTAAATAGATTTTGAATTGAAGGGAATTCCGAATGGCACTAATGAATGCAATGAGTGAGACAGAGCTAAATGCTGCATGGCTTACAAGAGGTTGGGTTGAGTCACCTGCATCTGGTACGGAAGTGTGAGTGTGCTATCCTTTGTCAAACATCACTGCATGACTCACGGGAGGATGCTAGAAACTCATGGTGGTGCATGCCTGTTTCATTCTCAGCTGCATTTTGCACAAAAGTGTGAGTGTGTAATCCCAGTCAAACACCACTGCATGACTCATGGAAGGTTGCCAGGGTGATCGAACTCACCTGGTGAAAGGTCTTTTCAACTCACCTGCATCACGTACGGAAGGGTGAGGGTGCTATCCCTGTCAAACACCACTGCATGACTCGCGGGAGGATGCTAGAAACACCTGGTGGTGCATGGCTGTTTCAAACTCACCTGCATATTGTACGGGAGTGTGAGTGTGTTATCTTTGTCGAACACCGCTGCCTTGAACCCTGCTGCGTGAAGGGCCTTCCAATCTATCCACCTGTTTCAGGGAAGCAAGAAACCATAAATTCAATAAAAATGCGATGAGACCGAGGACGGAATCGGAAGGTGAACTGAAGCGGAAATGATAATGACATTCTTTTAGAATTTATTCGATGCATATCAGGCATGATTCTAGCCGTACCTGATATCAGGCACGGACACATGCGGCACGGCGAGGCTCGGATTCGAAACGGCCACGCTCGCCACAGCCGTGACTCCTTGCAGATTGAAACTTTGCCCGAGCTTCGCCCAGAGGCTCGGCGAATGAGGCTCGGACCCTTCCGAACAGCTTTCCGAAGCAGGCGTCTCTCCCGAAGCTCTGGTTCGGAAATTCCTACGCGTTGGGCTTTTAGCTTTCCGAGCAGAGGATTGAGGAGACATATTGCTAAAAGATCGTACCGGGCTGAACGAACGCGTCTGAAACGGTCGTAACCGCTGAAATTGATGGCAAGCTGCGTGACCGTACGATTTGGCTTTAAAAGCTTCGAATATGAAAACGTTAGGAGTGCTGAGGGCTTTGATCGAAGCACGAGAAGAGAGCAGAGCGGGTCTGGCGCAGGAGACGGACGAGGCTATCGATGCCATAAGCCTTGGAGGCGGAATGCCGCAGCTCGAACAGGGATGCTGCGAGGCAATACAGGCTATCACAGCGATTGTAGCTAGACAAGGCTTATGAGTGGACGGAATCGACAGCATCCCTCCCCACATGATACTCTGGATTTGTGTAGTTTAGTGCTTGTGTTGCAGAACCTTACTCAATCGTTCAAGAACTTTGAAAGATCCGTTTAAAAGGCAAAGCATCTCACTCAACCGCACGAGGATTTCGAGACATGAGAATATGCTCGTTGTTACTCGTTCAAGGCTTCGCTTCGCACTCGCCAACAGATGCGTTGAATTGCAGGATTCGACATGATATATAACCCTATCATAAGCGCCATTGCTCCACTTTCATAAAACTATTGCACCTTTGATTATCTACACCACAAATTCCAACCTAGCACATACAACTTTTGAATAGAGGTGCAGATAACATGATAAGGCTAATCCTACCATGGCATTAGGGAATAAAACATGGGATACATAGCCAGGCTACACATTAGCTGTGATTATCTAAAAGGGAACGGGATTGCAGAATTGAGTTCGAGATACGAGCATCTCACCGCTCCTAGGATATGCTCTGGTAGCTCGTCCTCAGTTTCTCCCTGCATGCAGCACAGAGATTGATGAGCGGAAAAGAGATAGCAACAATACAAACCAAGTTGTGCACAAAGAACATACGGATAACAAGGCAAAATTACTATTCCAACATAATGGTATGCAGATTGCGCACCATGAGATAGAATGCCATGGCGTCCACCAGGTTTGTGATATATCCAAAGACCATGCATATCATAGTGATTCGGCTTTAAACGGAGCACATCACACCTTGAGATAGAAGGCCATGTCGACCACGAGGTTTGTGATGTATCCAAAGACCATGCCCATGATGCCTCGCACCACTGATGATGATGCCATGTTCACATCCACCTGATGTGTTAGGGAAGAACCAGAGGTTGCACGCATGTAACAACATTCGAAGTTAATTTCCTTCTCCTTCTTTCTGATAGTGTCATACTCATGTTTCTCAAAGTTATTCCTTGCCCGTGACCCCGTTGTGTGCCATGCGACATACGATATTCGTGTGACAGCAGCAGCATCCATCACCCCACCCACACACCTCAAAGTACTCCTCTGTGGAGTGGTAAGCCGTCTCCATCACCTGCCCCATCACCACATTGTGCGACCCCACTGCCTGCTTCACCAGCCACGAGCCCTGGGAACGTGCGCGGGTAGGGGTATACAGGGGGGTATGGGAGGTGGGTGGGTAGAGTTGCAAGGAGAGAGGTGAGTAATGTTCCAACGTGTTCCAGGGGGAGAGGTAAGCCGTCTCCATCACCTGCCCCATCACCACGTTGTGCGACCCCACTGCCTGCTTCACCAGCCACGAGCCCTGGGAAGGCGGGGAGGACAGGAGGACAGGACATTAATGGATTAAAGGACGGGCGAGCATGTGGGAAAAGTTCCCAACACAAGTCCTTACCTCAGGCACGGACGGCAGCAGGGAGAGGCAGTTGTTGCGGTACGAGTCGTCTGCCCCCAGAAACCGGCGCATGGAGGGCAGGTCGAGCATGTGGTAGGGAGAGGACAGCCACGAATATGACACACAGTCCTTACCTCAGGCACAGATGGCAGCAGGGAGAGGCAGTTGTTGCGGTACGAGTCGTCTGCCTCCACGAATCGGCGCATGGAGGGCAGGTCGAGTCAAGCACATGGCGGGGAAACAAGCGGCCAGGAATATGACAATCAGGGATTTGACAGTCAGGGAAATGCCATTCAGTGCTCACCTCAGGCACAGATGGCAGCAGGGACAGGCGGTTGTTGCGGTAGGAGTCATCTGCCCCCATAAAGCGACGCATGGAGGGCAGGTCGAGCACATGGCGCTCTGCTGTGAAATAGAAGACCATGGAGTAAACCTCCTTGCCTGCTGGGACCTGGTGGGAGAGAAAGGAAGAAGGACAAGCAGGACAAGGAGGGGAGACACAGAAGGACAAGGAGGGGAGACACAGAAGGACAAGGAGGGGAGACACAGAAGGACAAGGAGGGGAGACACAGAAGGACAAGGAGGGGAGACACAGAAGGACAAGGAGGGGAGACACAGAAGGACAAGGAGGGGAGACACAGAAGGACAAGGAGGGGAGACACAGAAGGACAAGGAGGGGAGACACAGAAGGACAAGGAGGGGAGACACAGAAGGACAAGGAGGGGAGACACAGAAGGACAAGGAGGGGAGACACAGAAGGACATGGCATGTAGAGCAGGTAATGCGGATAAGGCACGTGGCGCTCTGCTGTGAAATAGAAGACCATGGAGTAGACCTCCTTGCCTGCTGGGACCTGGTGGGGAGGGAAGAGGCAAAAGCCCAAGGTACTTAGTGCAGGAAGGAAGGTGCACGAATTAAGGCACACGGCGCTCTGCTGTGAAGTAGAAGACCATGGGAGGTTGATGTGGATGAAAAGCGGTATCCCTAGATTAATGGGGATGAAGAGCGGTATCCCTGGATTAATGGGGATGAAGAGCGGTACCTCTAGATTATTGGGGATGAAGAGTGGTGTCCCTGGATTAATGGGGATGAAGAGCGGTACCTCTAGATTAATGGGGATGAAGAGCGGTACCTGAAGGTTGATGAGGATGAAGAACGGCGCCTGGTCTCCATAGCAGGCCCGTACTCTCTGAATGGAAAACATTCGCAGGTAGGAGACAAAGAATGGAAAGCGTCAATTGCAAGGCCTGCTTTCAGCATCGAATAATGACTACACCACACAGCACCAAGCAACACAGCTCTGCACAGCACAGCACCACACAACACTGCACAGCACCGCATCACACACCCCCCTGAGCTCACCTGCACGAGGCACTTCTTGTGGGCTGCCACGTGGGCAGCAGGGTGCTTCCCTACAACCGCACTCCAGACCACAAAAGACCAATTACACAGCACCGTACTGCACGCCACCGCTCAGCACCGCATCACACCCCCTTGACTCACCTGCACGAGGCACTTCTTGTGGGCTGCCACGTGGGCTGCAGGGTGCTTCTCTGGCCGCAGCCAATCCACCGCCACCAGCTGGCACAGCGGCTCGCCAGCTGGCGCCTGCACAGCCACAGCAACGCAGGAAGAAGCGGGATAGGAAGGGAGGGGGGGGAAGACACATACGTGTCACAGGGAAGAGGCTACAGAGAACTTTTGAGTCGACTCAGAAGGGAGGGGAAAGACACGTACGTGTCACAGGGAAGAGGCTACAGAGAACATTCTTGCCTTTGCCTATCTATCCACAACCACTCTAACCACCACCCACCATGAAGCACACATCCAACCTCCAAGCTCCCATCAATAAGATAATTCCTGTTCCTCAGCTTGTACACATTGCAAACCGACTAGCTCCAGGCTTCTTGCCCTTACCCAAACACACACCCCCATGTGTGCACTCTCACCCTTGCAAAATGTACCCACCATGAAGCACACAAACACGCAGCACGCTGCCGTCTGTGAGATAGCTCCTGCTTCTCTGCTTGTACACGTTGCAAGACGGTCTGCTCCAGCAGTTCCTTCCCTTGCCCATCCACACACCCAAGCATGAGTTACACTCATACTCTCGTAAATTCACCCACCATGAAGCACACAAACACCCACCATGCTGCCGTCTGTGAGATAGCCCCTGCTCCTCAGATTGTACACATTGCAGTCAAGTCGGCTCCAGTAGTTCCCTCCCTTGCCCATGCCGACGGCCATGCTGCAATCACCCTATCAGCACGTACCATGCTGCCGTCCGTGAGATAATTCCTACTCCTCAGCTTGCACACATGGCAGTCTGACCACCACTTGCAGTGCTTGCCCTTGCCCATCCAACATTTGAGGCGCCTAAAAAATTGCGGGATAGGATACGACTTTTGAGGCGCCTCAACGTGGCAGTCTGACCACCACTTGCAGTGCTTGCCCTTGCCCATCCAACAACCACTCTAACCACCGCTCACCATCAAGCACGCACGCACACACACACACACACACACACACACACACACACACACACACACACACACACACACACACACACACACACACCATGCTGCCGTCTGTCAGATAGCTCCTGCTCCTCAGCTTGTAAACGTTGCAATCCGGTCGGCTCCAGCAGTTCTTGCCCTTGCCCGAGTGGTTGGGGGCCACAGAGCCGCTCAGCTTGGTCCAGTCGATGAAGAGAGGCAGAGAAAGGGAGTCAGGGGTCAGGTCCCGAGGCACATGGGACCAGTCTGTGGTAGAGGGGGTGGAAGGGGAAGTGGAGAGGGAAACAGAAGAAATGCTGGTGGTTGAGAGACATGGACTTGCTCAGCTTGCTCCAGTCGATGAAGAGAGGCAGGCAGAGGGAGTCTGAGGTCAGCTATCGAGGCACGGAGCGCCAGTCTGAAGTAGGAGGCGTGAGGGAGGAGAGGCAGGAGAAGCAGGTGGTTGGGGGTCATGGAGCCGCCCAGATTGCTCCAGACGATTAAGAGTGAGAGGGAGAGGGAGTCGAGGTCAGTCAGGTCTCAAGGGACCAGTATGGAAGGGGAAAAGGCAGTTGAGGAGAGATGCGGGGGTCAGCTCTTGAGGCACGGCGGTCCAGGTTTATCAGGGACAAGAAAATCAGCATTGAAGAATCAGCAAAAACTAGCCAGCATCTGGGCCGTCCACTCACCATCAGGGAGCTTAGAAGCATCTACACCGTCCACCATGACTCCTGACAGGTCCCTCTGCAGCACGCCCTGAGGGAGAAGCAGAGGGAGAAGAGGAGGGGATGCAAGGGTGATATAAAATGAATCTTAAACATGAGCACCTGCTGCCCACCATGTCTCCTGACAGGCCCCTCTGCAGCACGCCCTGAGGGAGAAGCAGAGGGAGAAGAGGAGGGGATGCAAGGGGTATGATACGCCCTCCATACATCATGACTCCCCGTTAGTCGAAGATGATGAGTCATGATGAGTCATGATGAGTCATGACGAGTCATGAGGAGTCATGACGAGTGAGATTCGTGTTGTGTTGACTGGGGAGTGAGTTTCTAAAGAGCCCTCACTCGCCAGTCGACTCCAAAGGAATGAGCTGGGTTCAACTGGAAAGCGAGCTTTTTTTTAAGGGGGCGTGCGTTCGTACAGTACTCACCTCCTCTCCACCCTCCCCACCTCCCCAGATTCCCACCCCCCCCTTGCTAGCATGCTCATCACTCACATCACTAGACGTCTCTGAAGGAGCGTTGGCGCTGTCCATGTCAAGAATGTTGGACAGCGCTCGCTCGAACCTGGGAGTTCTCCTCCCATCCCCCCCCACCTCGCCACCTCCCTACCCCCTCACCTGCCCACCTCAACCTTCAATGCCTGTCACTCACATCACTGGACGTCTCTGAAGGAGCGTTGGTGCGGCACTCATAGAACTCACCCGGGTCCTTCATATCCAAAAAGTTGGACAGCGCTCAGTCCAACCAACCTGGGAGTTCTCTCTCCAACCCCCCCCCCCCCCCTACCTCGCTCTTCCCTCCCCCCCAACCTCGCCACCTCCCTGCCTCCTCACCTGCCCACCTCAGCCTACAATACTTGCCACTCACATCACTAGACGTCTCGGAAGGAGCGTTGGTGCGGCACTCATAGAACTCATCGGGGTCCTCCATATCAAGAAAGTTGGACAATGCTCGGTCCAACCTGGGGGTTCTCCTCCCATCGCCCCCCACCTCGCCCTTCCCTCCCGCTGCCACAGCTGCTGCCGCCGCTGCCACCACAGCCGCTGCCACCGCCCCTCCCAGTCCAGCCGAACCCCTATCCGTACTCACAGCCACCCCCCCTCCTGCTGCTCCCCCTATTGCTCCTCCTCTCCCTGTTCCCCCTCCTCCTCCTGTCTCCTCCTGGCTCTTCCCATCCTCTGTTCCGAGGCTAACCAGGGACGCCAGGCCCCACGTCCCCGAACCGGCTCCCGAACCTGACCCCGTGGCTGAGCCCGAGGCTAGGCCGGAGAAGATAAAGCCACCTGTGGGTCCGGTGCTGATAGCTGAGGTGGTGGGGAAGATGAGATGGCGTTGGATGCCCAGCGAGTAGTAGGCCAGAGGGGCGCCTCCCCTGCAGGCAAAATATTCTCTCAGGCCTGTTTAGGAGAGGGGGAAAAGTGGGGGACAGGAGACGAATAGGAGGTGGTGGGGAAGATGAGATGGCGCTGGATGCCCAGCGAGTAGTAGGCCAGAGGGGCGCCTCCCCTGCAGGCGAAGTACTCTCTCAGGCCTGGTGAACAGCAGTGGGAGTGGAGATGGGGAGAGATAGGAGGCAGTGGGGAAGATGAGATGACGCTGGATCCCCAAGGAGTAGTAGGCTAGGGGGGCGCCTCCCCTGCAGGCATAATATTCTCTCAGGCCTGTTGGGGAGGGGAATAACAAGGGCGACAGGCAAAGGGGAAGATCAAATGGCGCTGGCTGCCCAGGAAGTAGTCTCTTCCCTGCAGGGCGACAGGCAAAGGGGAAGATCAAATGGCGCTGGCTGCCCAGGAAGTAGTCTCTTCCCTGCAGGGCGACAGGCAAAGGGGAAGATCAAATGGCGCTGGCTGCCAAGGAAGTAGTCTCTTCCCTGCAGGGCGACAGGCTAGGGGGGCGCCTCCCGTGCAGGCGAAGTACTCTCTCAGTCCTGGTGGATGGATGGAACAGGGGGAGTGACGAGTTGAGAGGGCTGGGGAAGATGAGATGGCGCTGGATGCCCAGCGTGTAGTAGACCAAGGGGGCGCCTCCCCTGCAGGCGAAGTTTGTTTTTGAGGTTTGGTGCAGGAGTGGGATGGGGGACAGGGGACAGATTGAGAGGCAGAACAAGGAAGATGAGATGGCGCTGGATGCCCAGGGAGGAGTAAGCCAGAATGAGGGGCTCCTCCCCTGCAGGCAAAATATTCTCTCAGGCCTGGTGGGGAGGGGAAAAGGGACGAGGATAGGAGGAAAAGAATTGAGAGGTGGTGGGAAAGATCAAAAGGTTCCTCATCAAATGGCTCCTCATCAAATAGCTCCTCATCAAATGGCTCCTCATCAAATGGCTCCTCATCAAATGGCTCCTCATCAAATGGCTCCTCATCAAATGGCTCCTCATCAAATGGCTCCTCATCAAATGGCTCCTCATCAAATGGCTCCTCATCAAATGGCTCCTCATCAAATGGCTCCTCATCAAATGGCTCCTCATCAAATGGCTCCTCATCAAATGGCTCCTCATCAAATGGCTCCTCATCAAATGGCTCCTCATCAAATGGCTCCTCATCAAATGGCTCCTCATCAAATGGCTCTCATCAAATGGCTCCTCATCAAATGGCATGTATATTCCAGGAGTAGTGGGATAGAGGGGCTCCTTTTGAGGCGCCTCAAAATTGGGATAGAGGGGCTCCTCCCCTGCAGGCAAAGAAACAAATGGCACGTGACACATGGCATATGGCATATCACACAACAGACATTGCATGTATGTGACGCATGTGGCACGACACAATAACATACCAGCCACTCGGAGCAGCAAGGAGTCGCGGGGATGTGGGGGATGCGACGACAGGCCGATGCCGATCCATGAGGACCTCAAGGCATGGCCCACGGCAGATATCACATGGCAGACACATGACCCATGATACATGGCATGGCATGCAGGGGGTAAATCACCAGCCACTCGGAGCAGCAAGGAGTCCCGCAGATGTAACGAAATGATAGCACATGGCACATGGCACATGGCACATGGCACATCACACATCACACATTCACGACACAATAACATACCAGCGACTCGGAGCAGCAAGGAGTCGCGGAGATGCGCGGGATGCGATGACAGGCCGATGCCGATCCATGAGGACCACCCTGACACGTCCATCTCTAACACGTGCTCCACCTGGGGTGAGAGTCAGAGGGGGGGATGAATTGTCAGCTCATCAGTCCAGGCCACCCCTCAACCAATCCATGAGGACCACCCTGATATGCCCATCTCCAACACGTGCTCCACCTGGGGTGGGGGAGAGTCAGAGGGAGAAGATGAGTGGTGGCACTTCCACTCAGGTCATCTCAACCAATCCATGAGGACCACCCTGACACGTCCATCTCTAGCACGTGCTCCACCTGTGAGGGGGTTGGCGGAGGGTAAACAGAGGCGATACCCGTACGTGAGGAAAAGAGTAGCACAGGCGCGGGGTGGGGACGAGATCACACCTCTCAATCAATCCATGAGGACCACCCTGACACATCCATCTCCAATACGTGTTCCACCTGGGGTGGGGAGGGGAAAGGGGGGAAGTGGGGGGTGTCAGATGGGGAAAAAAAGGTGGTGCAAAACCCTTTCAAGTCAACTCAGCAGTCAATGCAGGAAAGAGAGGTTTTGGCTCAAGGGGGGAGGCTTTGAGACGGCTCAAAACTACTCTGTTTACACATTGCAGCAGCAGTGCACAGAGGACGAGGCGCAGAGAGGAGGAGAAGAGCGGGGATGTTTTGAGGCGCCACAACAAGCGCGGCAGTTGCACAAAGGAGGAGAGCCGGGTAAGGTTTGCCTGCGAACGAGGCTTGCAGGGGGGGGTGGCGAGGCGCCAGAGGTGTCCCAATGCCCCATACACCAAGGAAGGAGCCCACACTTCGAGGGGCAGAGGTGCATGGGGCAGTTGGGACACCTCGAATCGAATACTCACACTGACCACACATACCAGTCTTACCACACTCAAGGAGGGCAGAGGGAGAAGGTCACCTGCGAACGCGGTTTGCTGGGTTACAGTGTGGTGCCACAGGTGCGCAGGGCAGGAGGGAGGGGTTGCACGGTTCAGTTGGGACACCTCGAATACCCACATTGGCCACACGTACCAGTCTTACCACACTCACCACACGCACCACACTCACCACAATCGAGGAGAGAGGAGAGGGAGAAGGGTCAGTCACCTGCGAGCGAGGCTTGCGGGGGGGCGGTGGGCCGCAGGTGCAAGGCTGGGGTGAAAGGGGGCCGTCGCTATGCTGCAGAGGTGATATGATATAGCCACCACCTGGTGTGGATGGGTACAGAGTGGTGAAAACTTGAATGACATAATGAGATGTGGTGCAGCAACGAGATGCGGTAGTTACTGCTTGGTGTGGTGTGGATGGGTGGAGAACGGTGACAGAGACGAGCATGTGAGCTAGAAAGAGTGAGGAATGCTTGCTGCAGGGGCGATATGATGCAGCCGCCGCCTGGTGCGGATGGTGGAGAGTGGTGATATAGGCGCGAAAATTCTTGTAAATAAGCGCACTCAGTACAGTGAAGATAAGAGCATTGACCGTAGATATGAGCACTCACTGTAGATAAGAGAACGAACGCAGCCCCACGGTTGACGGCACTTAGGGTGGTTCACAAACTTAAAGTTGACTCAACAATTGGTTGAGTCGACTCAACAGTCAGCTGTGCTGCCGATGGATAAGAATTTTCTGCAGGCAGGCCACTCACTGTAGATGAGAGCACGGACACGGCCCCACGGTCGATGGCACTTGGGGTGGCTGACGGACTTGAAGAACACGACTGGTGGCGGAGGGGATGCAGGGTTGAGTAACAGGAAACGGGTAAAGGGAAATGTGCACGGGGAATGAGGAATCAGGAACTGAGATTCGGGGATGGCACTTAAGGTGGCTGACGGACTTGAAGAACACGACTGGTGGCGGAGGGGAAGCAGGGATGGGTAATGGAGGATGGGGAGTGGGGAATGCGGAATGAGGAATGGGGAGCCAGGAGATTGGGAGTAGGGAGCGGGGAATGCATAATGAGGGACTGCGAAAAGGGACCCAAAAACTGGGATACAAGCACACACACAGAGCAGGGTAAATGTGATGTTTTCGCTCGTTAAGAAAAAAACAATACATGATGTCATGATGAACATTATGACGGATTGGAACCGATAACTAAGCGATTTTGAAAATGAGGCTTTGAGCCAACACAGGTTCGTCTCAGACATGTCCGGTAGGTTTGGTGAGGGCAAACGTGCAATCATGGGGTAGGGCCACAGATATACACACATGGGGGGTAGGGCCAGACGTACACACACAAACACACGGGGGATAGGGTCAGACGTACATACGGTAAGTTCCGTTTTCTTCTCTCTTCCAGTATCTTAGCAGACACAGGTCTCTCGATCTCGTCCACCTGAGCAGTAAATAGTGAAATAAAGAGGAGGATGAAATGAGAGAAAAGAGGAGACAAGAATAAGAGATCACACCAAACCAGCGTTGAACTACAGGAGTGGTATTGCGGCCTGCATGGATGGAGGCATGTGCCACTCCTTACAGTGAAGTTTGTTTTAAGCACGCATGCACTTACAGTGACGCTCGTTTCAAGCACATATGCACCACACCACACCCCCATTCGCCTTACAGCAAGGTCCGTTTCAAGCACACGCGCACAACACCATACCCCCATTCCCCTTACAGCGAGGTTCGTTTTAAGCACATGTGCACCACGTCTGTGTGGCCATCAATAGCCTCCACCACTCGCGCCTCTGCAAACATGGCGTCCCACCTGGCCGCACAGTCACAGAGATTGGGGGTGATGGGGACACACAGGAAGGGGTGGGGCACACAGTGAGGCTCCTGGGTAAGCAGGCAAGCCATGAGGCTCCTCCAAGTGTGACCATCAATGGCCCCTCCACCACTCGCGCCTCTGCAAACATGGCATCCCACCTGCGCACACGCACAGGGGGGGGAAATGGGGTTGTGGGGGAAGGGGACACACGCATGGAAGGTTAGATTAGACACACACAGAGTGCTGTCCTCATAGCCCCTCCACCACTCGCGCCTCTGCAAACATGGCATCCCACCTGTCCGCACATTCACAAGGGGGGGAAGAGGGGCGGCGGGGAGGGGACCCACACAGGGAAGGTTAGACACACACAGAGAGTGTTGCCCTCGAAGCCCCTCCATCCACCACTTGCGCCTCTGCAAACATGGCGTCCCACCTGCCCACATGCACACACAAATGCAGACAAAACCACACCCACACACACAACGGGAAATGGACACACAGAGTGTTGCGGTCCCTCAACATGTGGCCTCCACTACTCGTGCCTCCGTAACCATGACGTTCCAATGCATGGGGGGGCGCGCATACAGAGAGGAATACACACTGGGGATTGCGCAGAGACAGGGTGATGAGAATTCCCAAAACACTGTGCATAGAAGTACGCATAGACTGATTCTCACGAAAAGACCCAAAAGCTCACGATACGCATAGAGGCCACTCACTCTGCTCACTCCTCCCCAAAGCTCATGATACGCATAGAGGCCACTCACTCTGCTCACTCCTCCCCAAAGCTCATGACAAGGTCAACTATCCAGTCTGGTGCGGCCTTCACCACTCCCACTGCTGACATGTGAAGTTTAAGGCGACTCAACGAGACACCTTTTCTAGTTGACTCATAGACCAGGCAGAAATACTCACTCTGCTCGCTCCTCCCCGAAGCTCATAACGAGGTCAAATATCTGGTCTGGTGCCGCCTTCACCACTCCCACTGCTTTCATCACAGGCAACTGGGGGATGGGAGGCAGGGAAGGGAGGCACAGGGTTGGCACAGGAAGGGTGCAATAAGGACTTGTGTCGACTCAAAGTCACCTAATATCTGGTCCGGTGCCGCCTTCACCACTCCCACTGCTTTCATCACAGGCAACTGGGGGATGGGAGGCAGGGAAGGGAGGCACAGGGTTGGCACAGGAAGGGTGCAATAAGGACTTGTGTCGACTCAAAGTCACCTAATATCTGTTCTGGTGCCGCCTTCACCACTCCCACTGCTTTCATCACAGGCAACTGGGGGATGGGAGGCAGGGAAGGGAGGCACAGGGTTGGCACAGGAAGGGTGCAATAAGGACTTGTGTCGACTCAAAGTCACCTAATATCTGTTCTGGTGCCGCCTTCACCACTCCCACTGCTTTCATCACAGGCAACTGGGGGATGGGAGGCAGGGAAGGGAGGCACAGGGTTGGCACAGGAAGGTTGCAATAAGGACTTGTGTCGACTCAAAGTCACCTAATATCTGTTCTGGTGCCACCTTCACCACTCCCACTGCTTTCATCACAGGTAACTGGGGGAAGGGAGGCAGGGAAGGAAGGCATGACACAGGAAGGATGCAATGTGTCAACACATACTTACACAGATGGGACGCGCGCGCGCGCTTACACACACACACCCGAAACCCTCTGGTACCTTGTATAGGCGGTGGAGAATGGGCGTCCTGCTGGCCTCCTCAAAGAATGGATACACAAGAGAACTCGCTTTAGAGTTGTTGGTTTGCGCAAACAGCCAGCCAGCTCCCATATTTGGTTGGTACCTTGTATAGGCGGTGGAGAATGGGCGTCCTGCTGGCCTCTTCAAAGAATGGATAGACAAGAAAACTCGCTTTAGAGTTGGTGGTTTGCGCAAACAACCAGCCAGCTCCCATATTTGGTTGGTACCTTGTATAGGCGGTGGAGAATGGGCGTCCTGCTGGCCTCTTCAAAGAATGGATAGACAAGAAAACTCGCTTTAGAGTTGGTGGTTTGCGCAAACAACCAGCCAGCTCCCATATTTGGTTGGTACCTTGTATAGGCGGTGGAGAATGGGCGTCCTGCTGGCCTCTTCAAAGAATGGATAGACAAGAGAACTCGCTTTAGAGTTGTTGGTTTGCACAAACAACCAGCCAGCCCCCATATTTGGTTGGTACCTTGTATAGGCGGTGGAGAATGGGCGTCCTGCTGGCCTCCTCAAAGAAACGAAGCCCTGGAGGGGAGGGAGCGAGCGACATATAAGGAACATAGGCAGGCACCACAGAGTAGTGAGACTTGAGTCGATGGCAGCAGGCAGCAGGTGAGAATGACAGGAGCACAGCACAATCCCACCCACAGCACAAACATGATAAAAGTGATTTTTTGAGACGTCTCAAAAGGGGAGCACAGCACAACCCCACCCACCGCACAAACCGTTCTGGCAGCGGTTGAGACAACACTTGGAGGGCCACAGGGTGACATATGAGGACCACGGATGCCCAGCACAACAGGCTCACACAAGCGAAATTGGCCCACACACAGTATACACCCACAGCAGCCCAGCACGGACACTTAAAGCAGCGGTAGAGACAACACTCAGAGGGCGACAGGGTGACATAAGAGAATCAAGGATTCCCAACACATGAAGAAGCAAAATAGGGTCACACGCAGCAAACACCCACACCACTTCAGCCAAGCACGGACCGTTCTGGCAGCGGTCGAGGCGCCACTTGGATTGCGACGCAACAACAGCAGATGATGGGGAGGAGGAGGCGGGAGGAGGAGGAGGAGCGTGGGAGGACGAGGAGGGCAGCTGCTGCTGCTGGGAAGGCGGTGCATGGGAGCCTGGCCTGTCAAAAGATGATGCCACCCTGGTTGACCCTGCCACTCCCGCACCTGCCCCCCCTCCTGCCCCTGCCCCACCAACTGTTCCCTGCCCAGGGCCAACAACCCCACCGGAGCTTCGGGTGAGAGATAATGAGTCGAGGGGGGAGTGGGTGGGGAGGAGCGGGGACGAGGGGGATGGGGTAGGCTGGAAGGAGAGAGCGGGAGAGGAGCCCGTGGGAGGAGTGAGCATGCCGCTGCTGTCCCCCCCACTGCCAGATCCGCTGTCAGCAGCAGCAGGAGAAGCACCAGAAACAGCAGCAGCAGCAGAGGCAGCAGCAGCAGCTGGCAGCACCGGTTGACAGGGCTGTGCTGCTGCACGCTTTGCTTGTGGGCTGATCGGAGGCAGAGAGGGGGAGATGGCGGGAGACAGGGAGGGGTGGATGGAAGGAGAGAGAGTCCTCGTCACACTAGCTGTGGCAGCTGCAGTGGCAGGGGCAGCAGCAGCCGCTGCAGCAGACGCGAGAGGGAGCATGGCCGCAGCAGCAGGATTCATAGCAGCAGCTGCGGGGAGCATGAGATTGGCCATAGAGGCAGCGGCGGAAGCAGGATTAGCAGCAGCGGCAACAGCAGAAGCAACAGGATCAGCAGCAGCGGCGGCAGCAGCAGCAGCAACTGGACCCAAAGCAGCAGCAGCTGGGAACATCATATTAGCCATCGCACCAGCGGCAGCAGCTGGATCGGCAGCAGCGGCGGCAGCTGCAGCAGCGGGATCGGCAGCAGCTGCGGCAACAGCAGCCGCAGCTGGGAACATCATATTTCCCATAGCAGCAGCAGTGGCGGCTGGATCAGCAGCAGCCGCGGCAGCTGCAGCAGCAGGATCGGCAGCAGCAGCGGCAGCAGCAGCAGCAGCTGGGTGGAAAGAAGCCACAGCAGGGAGGGCCAGATTCGTCACATCAGCAGACGAAGGTGGGGCGCCAATGAGGGAATGAGCAGCGGCGGCTGGCGTGGCAAGGGATGGGGCGTGGGCTGAAATTAGAGAGCCAATGAGGTCCGGTGAGGAAGACGAAGCAGACTTAGCCTGCGGGGAACTGGGGTATGGGAGGCAGAGGCACATACAGAGACGGGGGGGAAGAGCAGAAGAGGTAAGGGATGTGCCTCGGGCTGAAGTCAGAGAGCCTATGAGGTCCGGTGAGGAAGACGAAGCAGACTTGGACTGTGGGGACCTGGGGTATGGGAGGGAGGCAGAGGCACATACACAGACGGGGGGGAAGAGCAGAAGAGGTACGGGATGTAGCGTGGGCTGAAATTAGAGAGCCAATGAGGTCCTGTGAGGAAGACGAAGCAGAATTTGCCTGCAGGGACCTGGGGTATGGGAGGCAGAGGCACAACAAGCAGGGATTGAGCAGTGGTAGTAAGGGATGTGATTTGAGCTAACACTGAAGAGCCGAAGAGGTTGGGTGAAGGAAGACGTAGTAGACTTAGCCTGTGGGGACCTGGGAAAGTGAGGCACAGGGACTAGCACGGAAGAGGGGAAGGGCAGGCAAGGCAGAGAGAGACGGACGGGGGGGTAAGGTGGGGCCTTGAGGGAGAGGAGAGATAACGTGCAAAGCATGAAAATTTTAGTTGGTTCAGGGCATGGCGTGTTTCAGGTTCAACTATTTGAAAAGGACAGGATGAAGGACGTGGTTGACAAAGCCCAAGGACTAGAAGAATACTAGGAGAATCATGCAATAAGCTTGCTGAGCTTGGGTGAAACGGGACTGGTATTTCAGCTCACCGTGACATTGGGCTATCATCTTGACCAGTCCGAGTGGACGGAACTTGTCGTGGTGACTTCGGCGGTTTTGAGGAATGTGATGGTGTTCGTAACGGTTGTAATGGGTGCGGCGGTTGTTGTAATGGGTGTGACGGCTGGGTTGAGGCGTCGGCCGCTGGGGTGAGCAGAGGCGGCGGCGGCTGTTGATTGGGTGGCAACAGGGGCGAATGGCATGAAGTGGCAGTGAAGGTTTAGGCATGAAGTGGCATTAGGGGCGAATAGAATTGATGGCAGTGGGGCTGAATGGCATGACATGTCAACAGGGGCGAATGGCATGACATGTCAACAGGGGCGAATGGCATGACATGTCAACAGGGGCGAATGGCATGAGATGTCAACAGGGGCGAATGGCATGAAATGGAAAAGGAATAGGAGAAGAGAGGACCAACATGAGGAGAAGGAGGCAGGGACAGGGACAGAGGCAAGGAGTATTGAGGGACAGAGAAGATTCGCATAGAGCAATTCCTGCAGCTTGCAATTCCGGCAGCTTGCAATTCCGGCAGAACGAGGACATGACATACGCCATACTCAATCGGGAATGCCCAAATAAAGAAATTCGTCCAAGTGCCTTGTTAGACCTCAAGCTGACTAAAGCTGGCAGGGACATACAGCCTGGGCTGGCAGGCAGATACACAGACCAGAGTGAGTGCCTTGGTGATTGCATCGATCCACGCAGCAGCGTCCTCTGCACTCGGCGTTCCCAGCTGCAGACATGGATGGCAGAGCGAGATTAGTGGACGGAAAGAGAAGCCAGATTGGGGAAACGGATTGAGCAGACGGGCTAAAGCAGGCGGATTGAAACAGAACGAGTCACTTACAAAGGTATTTACGCTCCCTGAAATGTACACGAAAGCACGAACAGATTGCAAGCATTCCCGCCGACAAGAATACAAGCAGCACCTACTGACACGAGCACATGCAGCACCCACTGACACTTGTCTTCTGCTGCCACTGAACCCCCACCGGCCTCACAGCGAATGGGCAACATTTTAATGGGTATCCTGAGTCGGCCCAAGAACCAAGCAAGAGAAAATCATACGCATATCCACCCACCGACAAGAGCACATGCAGCACGCACCGACACTTGTCTTCTGTTGCCACTGGAGCCCCCAGCAGGCCTCACGGCGTGGAGCTTCTGCGGCTGCCTATCCTGCCACAGTTCAGACCACCACCCTCCCCACAGACTTGACTCCATCCTCTGAATACCCCCCCCTCCCCCTCCCATTCCCCCTCCTCCGCCGCTACCACCGCCATCCGCGCTGCTTCCTCCGCTTCCCCCTCCGCCAGCCAAGGAGCTTCCGCCGAATAAGCCTCCCCCGGTTGAGCCTCCACTGCCGAATAAACCTGTTGATGTGCGCGCCAGGTAACCGCTGCCGGTACCGGCTTCTGCTGAGCTGTCAGGGTCATCTTCTTCGTCCTCGCTAAGGTCATCCTCGTCAGTAGCATGGTGCGCCCCAGGCATGCCGTACAGACGCATGGTGTACAGTACCTGAGAGAGGAAATTGGTGGCATAAGCATTACAAAATATTAATTAAATGCCTCGGATTGTAAATGTAATTGTAGCAGATTTCAAGAAATTAAGCGTGTGTCAGACGATACCATGGAGACTGAAATTGTTGTTTCCCCACCTGACCGTTGATGACTTTTCTGCCCGTGTCCTCAACCCGAGCAGTGCCATCAAGCAAGCCCTCTCGCAGAGGTATCTGGTCAAGCATGGAAGGTGAAAACAGCATTACCGCTGAGTTAAGAATCTCGAAAATTAACCATGAAGATGACGCTCAAATCTTTGAGGATATGTTGCTCGATTTGTTTTACTACCATTGAATATTAGCAAGTGGAAACATTCTTTAGAGCAGAGTTTGACGTTGCGAAATTCCAAAGCGGTTTGTGAAAGACGGCTGCACTAGAAGAGCTGTGCTTTCGATCCTCGTGCCTATAAGCACCCAATAATTGGCCAGACGCCTCATCATGAATACCATATTCTACAAATCAGGTACAATATCGGACCATTGCCTCGATAAAACGCACCTCGTCTTCCTTATTGCGAAACTGCGCGAAGTATCTCCCTCGGAGCACGCAGAAAGTCAACTGGCAATAAGTGCCTTCACCAGACCTGAAGCTGCCGAACCTATAGAGGTAACCGTCCATTACCATCTCCTCCATACTTAACCGTTCCTCAGATAGCGATGAAATTGCTACAACGTGTTATGATTCTTCGCAGTGATTCTGTCTGGACAGCAAGTTGCGAAAACAAAAACGAAAAAGCGTGAGCGGTTGCTAAGACGACCTGGTTTCCTGCTGCTTCAAGCCCTAGCCTGAAAGCTACCTACTCGAGCTGCTAAAAATAATGAGTTGTGACGAACCTCTCATCTGAGAGGCTAGCTAATGGCGGCTACTTCCCAGCTGCTAACTAGCTCCATGATTACATTTGGGAAACTCTGCTTGTGGAGTTTGTTTTAGCTTGGCAGCGCCACTAATCGCAAGACAATCGCAAGGGGAAGCAATTGCATAAAGTATTCGCGAAGGAATGGCCAGGGGGACTGCGAAGGGGAGGTGGGGCACTGGGAGGGGTTGGATTATGCGGGGGAAATGCGGAAGTCGCTGCGGAGTGGCGCAATAGGGGCGTCGGTTGCCTGTCAGCTCACCACCACCGTGGCTCCGCAAAGAAGAGGGCTTTTGGGATTGGCTGGCAGGTACCTTTTACCAAGTCGCGGTCAACAAGCAGTTGCAACATTGAGGCTGTTTACACGGTCGGATCGAGACAATGGATTTCATCTGACGGTTCATATCTATGTTTGTGACGCGACAAGGTTGAGTTTCGCTGCCATTCCCGCACTTTTCCGTGGTTTCAAAGCCAATCAGGGCCTGCTTTATTTTTGCGCGGGAAAGTATGAGCCTGTGCCGAAGTGCACCAGACGCCATTTATAAAACGAGATTCATAGATTGTTTACAGACAAATGGTCATTAGCAACGTGCAAAAGCATCACATTCATTTTTGGATTGACATGGGGGTCTTCACCCTCAGCCATTTATTATGCTAACCTAGAACCAGCAAGAAACCTTAATGTTAGTAACTCCTTGCACCTTGCGAGTTGCAATGCCACAACATTAGGTTAAACATATTATACATGCATTGAGTCGTGTCATGTTCCCTCGTGTCACTGCTATACGGCAAACCACTTCCTCATCAACAAATCATGCTCCTTGTAACGAGATTGCCACCCCAGAGCTCTCAAATCCCAAGGGAGCAGCCCTGCCTGTCTTGCTTCCACACCTCTTCACTCCCAACCCACTTCCAAAACCACCCCCAGAGGCATCACCGTGCATGTCTGCTACCCTGCCCGGGTGGTTCAACTCAACATGTTCCCCACACTCTTCCCCCTCCCCTGCCTCTTCCCCCTGCCCTTCTCCCTCCACCTCCCCCTCCTCGTTCAACTCATCAGACCCCACCTCCTCCCACACCTCATCATCACTCTCTTCCTCCTCCCCTCCATGCCCTTTGCCCCGCACACTTGCCCTGTATGCAGCGAGACTGCCATTCACCCCCACGTGGCTCCACGAGTTGTTACCCGGTAACAGGAAATCCCCGCTGATAGGCGGAACAAAAGCCCCATCCAACGACGCCGCTGCATCTGCCGCCTCGGCCGCAGATGCCCGTTTTTCTGCCCGGCGCTCCTCCCTGCTACCCGAATGCGCATCCCAGCTCGGGCTTTCCACCAGAGGGTCCTTCTCTGTACCGCTACTAGCCCCTCTTCCTTCTGCTGCCTTGGCTGCTTTCTTCATTCGCTTGGCATGCACTTGCCGTGGCAGCACATCGAATATGAAATTTCCCCCTGCAGTGGGTCACAGGCAGAGCAGTTAGGTTTTTAGTTGACTCAAACACAATTTTCATTCGCTTGGGATGCATTTGATGCCACGGTACATAAAATATCAGATTTTCTTCTGCAGTGGGTTGAAGGGCCAGCCAAAGGAGCAGATGCTCAATGAAAGAGAACCGGGGGCCAATCTGCTCTCGAATAAAGATGACCCGCAAGGCTAGCTGAATCCCACACCCGAAACACGAAACTCACCGTTCCAGATGGAGGCAGCGATCTTGAAGATCTGGAAGAGTGCGTGGAAGCGGTAGCTGCAGAACATGGGCACTGTGAGAGCTACTGTGGCCACCTGCAGAATACAAGGCAGAGGAGGCAAGATGAGAATCTTGTCAGACGAGTCAAAACAGCTTGTAGCAGCAGAACATGGGCACCGTGAGTGAGGGCAACTGTAACAACTTCCCTCTGATTCCCATCGTGCTCCCCGCCAACCCACCCTGGCTCCCCAAGCCCAATTGCTCACCGTGAAGACGCCCTGAATGAGCGGTACATGAGGAAGCGGTGCGAATCCCCCAGCACGCCACTCAGCCACCATCAAGAGTTGTTGTTTGTCCTATGATTCCTTGCCGTACTTTCCCTACAGTTGCCAGCACTACGAACTCACCGTAAAGACGCCCTGAATGAGGGCGTACATAAAGAAGCGGTTCGAATCCCCCAACACACCGCTCAGCCACCACCAGAAGTTGTTGGCACGGGAGGCCTTCTTGGAAAGTTCCCGGAATGACGTCATCACCTCTGGGTCCTTCACCAGCCGACGCTTCCTCAGCACCTCCACCACCAACCAATAGAGGATCTGAAGGGGGGAAAGGGGGAGGGGGGTAAGGGAGGGATACGCGTGGGATGGGAGAAGGAGAAGGAAGAACCGGAATGCGGCTCACAGCCTTCTTGCACCAGCCGATGTTTCATCAGCACCTCTACCAGTAGATGATCTATAGCAGGTGTGGCGGGACGGGATGAGTGGGGAAGCGGGAAATGGGAGGAAGATGAGTGGGGTTGCGGGAAAGGGGAGGGAGATGAGTGGGGTTGCGGGAAAGGAGAGGGAAATGAGTGGGGTTGCGGGAAAGGAGAGGGAAATGAGTGGGGTTGCGGGAAAGGGGAGGGAGATGAGTGGGATGGAAGGAGAAAAAAGAGCAAACGGGTCACCGGGTGAGAGTGGGATGGAAGGAGAAGGAAGAGCAGAACGTCTCGCCACACCTGCCACAGGCTGTAGGCAATGTAAGCACGACAAGCATCCACACCCACAGCTCGCCCATACTCGCCACGTGCAGCCACGTGCAGCCACGTGGGCCACGGGCTGTACCATTCCAAACCGCGGAGCTTTACACCCAACCCCTTTTGCATGGCTCACACTACGCGATCAGAAGTGTCTCACCCACCGTACCTGCCACAGGCTGTAGGCGATGAGCGGCACGACGAGCATCCACACCCACAGCTCGCCCATACTCGCCACATGCGGCCAAGCAGGCCAGGGGCCCGTGTCGTCCGCTGAGTGGTGGTGGAAGGTCACCGGGTCCCACCAGCGGATAATGAAGATGACAGTACCGGGTAACAGGTGTATCAGCACGCTCACGATCTTGTCCACTGAGCTGAACACCAGGCTGCACCGCCATACAATGAGCGCCCAGGCTAAGGGACCCTGCGGGTGGTGTTGGAAAGTGGGGGGGGAAAGAGGGGTGGGGGAAAAAGGGGGGGGGGGGGGGGGAAGGGGGGGAGGGGGTCGGAGTCGACTCCAACAGCTGAACACCAGGCTGCAGCACCATACGGTGAGCGCCCAGGCCAAGGGACCCAGTGGATGGTAGTGATGGTGGTGGTGTGGGGGGGAGGGGAGCGGGGGGGGGGGGATAGGGGGTGGGGAGGGATGGGTGGGGTGGGGGTGCGGCGCCATACGAAGAGTGCCCAGGCCAACGGAACCTTTGTGGGTGGTCACGGGTAAACGGATTGGAAGGTATAAGGACGGGGCGGGACGAATGTGACTGGGATGGGGATGGGAGGGGCAAAGCAAGGTTCGCGAAGAAGAGCGAAGGATTGACGAAAAGGATCGGCAGCACTACACACCTTAAAGAAGGCGACGCAGAGGGGGAAGAGGTGCTGACTCGTGGCACTTAAGGCAACCCAAAGAATGCGTTTGAGTTGACTCGACAGTCAGCTTGACGACAAGGTTGGTACACACCACAACACACCACACCACACCACACCACACACCTCAGAGAAAGCGAAGCAGACGAGGAAGAGGTGCTGACTCATGGGGAAGAAGACGAGAAAGGCCACCAGAATCGCATTCGCGTAGTAACAGAAGTCCTGCAAGCCATCAGACGACACCGATTATGCGATCAGTGCGAGCAAAATTCCATGTGATACCACTGTTTGAAAAATAAATGGAGAAAAAAAAAGTAACAAAAAATACTTACGAGAAGAAAATAGTGCCATTTCTTGCTGCGGTAGTAGATCCAGCGGAGGGGTGTGGCCATGAGGAAGAAGGCGGCGTATAAACGAGGAACGTCATAGGGCCCTGCCAGCCACAGCAGCTCCCACAGTCTATTAGCCGTAATAGGACGATAAAGACTACGCTCCGACACATGATTCCGACTGTGAAGGATGGTTGGGAAATATCAGTCTGTAACTTCCAAGTGGGCAATGAACTCACGGGATCCGAGGAGAAAACAGAAGATGCCGAAGCAAAGAACGCCTAAGCAGTATGTAACCTGCTCAAGAGACGAAAAACAAAAGCTTTATTAAGCTTGACAGTGAAGGTCTAAGACTGCAGAAGAAAACAACAAGAACATTTCAAAATCCATTTACTTTGGAGATCACATGTTCGAGCTCGTCGGCTTTTCGTGCAAGGCGCTTCGCCTGCCGCGACAGGACCGCCTTAGTTTGCACAAGCACCTGATTCGCACAAAACGTACAACAATTTACGGAAACAAGAGGAATATGCAGAAGGAATCGGGAACATATTCGTGTCCACACACGCAACTTCGATGAGACAATAATCGAGTTACACGTGGAAAAAAAAAGCAGGAACTAAAGGAACTCACGCGTGACAAAACGTAAGCTGCTTTTGACAATTCTAAAAGGAACATACGCGTGACGGAATGCGAGTTCGTCGGAGGCGCGGACTGCCGGCTGGCGGGTGCACGTGAGGATGAGTCAGTGAATGGAAACGATGCTCGTCTCCCGGCTTGTGCACCTTGTGACCCATGGCCGGGATGAATTCCCGACTGAATTTCCAATACTCTAAAGACTCCAATGACTTTTGAGTATACGACTAAACTACCAACGGGCGCTTTCCTGTAGTCTCGAACTCAGGCCAAACCCAGAAATTGCGTTACCGCTGAGAGTACCTTATCGACTATCGCGAAAGTTTTAATCCCACGAAAAAACACCAGGGTACTATTCTATGTGGCGAACTATGCGACAAGTAGGTAAAACAGGAAGAGACGCTCTGACACCAACACGCACTGATGATTTTCAAGTGTGCGTGAATAATCGCGACGGCTGATTGTCACGGATAAATCGTTTCACTCGGAAAAAATTGTCCACGAAGGAAAAACACGTATGCTGATTTAGACGCCTTTCAGTGACATGGGCTGGTTGCAGGAGATGCTGTGATGGTTGAGACGAACAGATAGCAAGGAAATGGTTATGGTACTAGCTAGAAGCTGGCTATTGCTGAGAACGGTTGAAGTTGGGAGATGGTGATCGTTTGTTGGTGATTGTTTGACTGGTGGGTGAGCGCTGACGAGTCACGGGAGTGAGCTTTGATGGGTGAGGCGGGTGGGTGTGTGGGCGGCAGAGGCGAGGGGAGGAGGAGGCTGCTGCTGAGGATTGGGATAGGGTGGGGTGGGGTGGAGTGGGGTGGATTGCGGAGGGGAGAACGCTCGTTCGCTTTTCAGTATCAAGTTTTGCTGGGGTGGAGTGGGGAGGGGATCCGTTTGTGGTGGTGTGTACAGTTCACTCCATGCAGTCAGCAGTTCCATCCTAGGATGGATTCACTATCGGGCAGACGGTTCGACACTGATTTCACCCACGGTTTTCGTTTGGGCAGCTCGAAGAAAACAGTTCTCTGGTGCCGTTCCCGCCAATAGGTATTCTCGATGCGCTTTCACACGTGCTGACACATTGGAGGGCAGGGCAGAAAATGTGCCCACGAATCGGAGTCGGTGTGCGTGCGCGTCCACCAAGCCCAAGGCCGTTTTCGAGAAAGTGGCAGAGAATCTCGAGGGGGGGAGGGACCTTCTTGCAAGGCAACTCGACAGGAACTTTTCAGCCGATATTTCAAAACATGTCCAACGGTGACGTGTTCTGTGGGCTCGGAAATCACTTGCTTAGCCGACACGTCAGAAAGCGGGACACGATGGGCTAACAAGAGGGCAAAGCTGACGCAACCCCACGGATGAGGAGTATCTGAGTCACGCCACGGTTATTTCGAGGCTGAAAGTGCAGCCAGTGGAATTTGCCTGCTGGCTCCTTGGAGAAAGTGGCGCGCATTGCGTGGAAGCGGATAACCTGGTCCAAAGAGGTCCCCGATGGTTCCACTAAAACATCTGCCATTATTTTACGAACTGTACTAGTTGTAGCACTCCAAGTAAATCTTCCATATAAAATGTCACATACATTAATGGTAATAGAAACTTCAAATGTTTTAGGCTAAGCTGGAGCCTCTCTAGTAACGAGCCTAATTCGATGGCTCCAAGGAATCCAACATCGCTTGCAGTTTTAACTGTACTCAGAAAATTGTCAAATAGAATCACCTACTTGGCATTTGAAGATTCAGGTTCAGAGGTTTCAGGCTAAGCTACCAGCAGGGTATGTGCCTCAATCGCAGATTCAATCTGAACAGAATCCTAACTTGATGGCTCCAGTGAATCCAACCTCGCTTGCAGTCGTGTAGCTGACTCCTCCAACTCCTCCCACTCTTGCTCCAGCTCTGTCATTTTCACCAGAGCAGCATCCTTCATCTTTTGAATTTTCATCACTCGTTCCACATCACTCCCAGCTTCCAGCATCGCCCCATCATACGACGCAATGGCTGCATCCCCCTTCTCCAGAGTGGCGAGTGTTTGTTTTATCTTGGTGCGTACCTGAGACAAATCACAAAAAGTGAACATCAAAATATTACAAACTGTCGTTAAAAACACATGCAACATGTTTCGGGGTTGAGTCAAACAAGCCAGCCGATTCAGCCATACCTGTTGCAGCTTTTTCTTCACCTTCTTCACCTCTACACTCTGTTGAAACGCCTGCGAGGATGCTGCTCCGTTTCCCCCCACCTCACCTCCCCTCCCTCCCTTTCCCCCCCCTCCTCCCAGGCCCCCCATCCCTGCCAAACCCGCCAGCCTGCCACCAGCAGCAGCAGGCGCAGCAGAAGCACCACCACCAGCACCAACAGCAACAGCAGCGCCATTGGCACCGGATTTGTCACCCTCCCCTGCAGTCACATCTTGAGGGAGAAGCTCAAAGACGCAGCTTCCAGTGCCGTCGACGCGAATGAGCTGCGTGGGCTGGAAGAGCTCGCAGAAATCATGGTCGTGGGAGACCACCACCACCGCACCTGGTAGAAGAGAGGATGAAATGAAAACACATGGGTTTCGACAAATCAGCAGGGTTCCAGAGCCCTTCCAAATCAGCAGGGTTCCAGAGCCCTTATGCGAACGAGTGTGTTTTTGAGACGTCTAAAAAACACTCCCATTTCACGGGGTTCCAGAGCCTTTATGTAAGCGAGTTGCGTGGGCTGGAAGAGCTCGCAGAAATCATGGTCGTCGTGGGAAACCACCACCACCGCACTTGGAGGACAAAGGGTTGTGTTTTGCGGGGAGAAACGGGGGATATGTGTGCAGAGAGAGAATGATACATCGTGGCAGGCATACAGCAAGCTCCCAGAGCTGTCAATACAGCTGCATGGGCTGGAAGAGCTGCCAGAAGTCGTGGTCGTGGGATACCACCACCACCGCACCTGCAGGGAAGGGTAGTGTCTCACAGGCAGACGTGAGAGAAAGGTGCAAAGAGAGGGCCATGAATCGTGGCCGGCAGACAACAAGCGCGCAGTCCCGTAGATGTGAGTGAGCTGTTCCTGCGGAGATGCCATTATAGTCAGCCTATCCAAGCAGGTTACGTGAAGAGAGGGTAATTTTGAGACGTCTCAAAAATACCCTCTCTTCACCAGACCCGTAGATGTGAGTGAGCTGTTCCTGCGGAGATGCCATCATAGTCAGCTTATCCAAGCAGGTTGCACTTTCACGAGGTAGACCACACCTTTGAACTGCTGTAATCCTAATGCCACGGCCACCATAATAGCCCTATAAGAATGGTTGTCTTTTTATGTTTTAGAGCACCTTGAAAACATCCAGATCCAATAAAACACACCTTTGAACTGCTGCAATCCCGAGGCCAGCGCCATCATTGCAGCCTTATCCAGATGGCTGCTTTTTTTGGTTGGAGGCGCCTCTACAATGTATGCGCCTCAAGAGCTCAAATCCACTGGAACGCACCTTTGAACTGCTGGCTGGAACGCACCTTTGAACCACTGGCTGGAACGCACCTTTGAACTACTGGCTGGAACGCACCTTTGAACTGCTGGCTGGAACGCACCTTTGAACTGCTGGCTGGAACGCACCTTTGAACTGCTGGCTGGAACGCACCTTTGAACTGCTGGCTGGAACGCACCTTTGAACTGCTGGCTGGAACGCACCTTTGAACTGCTGGCTGGAACGCACCTTTGAACTGCTGTAATCCCGAGGCCAGCGCCATCATTGTCGTCCTATCCAGATGGTTGGACGGCTCATCCAATAGCAGTGCGTTGTGCGGCCGCAACAACAGTCCACCCAATGCCGCCCGCGCCTTCTCCCCTCCCGACAACGCTGAAATCGGCCGCAGAGCCGCTGGGCCGGATAGGCCGAGAGTTCCCAGGGCGGTACGGCCTTGCTCGTTGGTTACCAAGGGGTTGTGCTCTCGTGCAACCTGGGGGCAGGGGTAGCAGAAGAGCATCCAATGCATGATGAGGTGATTGCTTTAAGGGATCCCAGGGCGGTACGGCCTTGCTCGTTGGGTACCAACGGGTTATGCTCCTGTGCAACCTGGGGGCAGGGAAAGTGTTACAGACAAGATTTTAGTGAGAATTAAGGCAGACTTTGAGTCGACTCAAAAGCAGAATTAAGGCAGACTTTAAGCCCCCTAACAATCTCTTTCATTGGGTATTAGAGGGCTTTGCCTCCTGGCGAGCAGGGGACAGTGGGACAGGAGACTGGTCTTGCGAGAGAACATGCCTAAGCTTGCCAGTAACATACCTAAGCTAGGTCTCAGGGAGAACCACCCATATTTCTCACACTGAGAAATTAGTCTAGAGCAGTCACGTCCTGAGGCAAGTCCTGAGCCAGGTCTTGAGAGAACACGCCTAAGCTCACTAATGACACGCCTAATTGCGAAACCCACTCACACTGATCACGTAATCCAGTGCCGTCACGTCCTGAGGCAGTTCTTGAGCCAGGTCCTGCGAGAACACGCCCAAGCCAAGCTCACCACCACTTATACGGAGCACCACTCACACACAAACCCACTCACACTGAGCACGTAGTCTAGAGCAGTGACGTCCTGAGGCACATCTTGAGCCAGGTCCTGCGAGAACATGCCCAAGCTCGCCACCCTCACCCATGCGCACACGTAAGGCTCGGTAGGATAACGACTCACACAGAAACAGCACTCACACTGAGAACGTAGTCCAGTGCAGTGACGTCCTGAGGCAGGTCCTGAGCCAGGTCTTGAGAGAACACGCCCAGGCTCGCCCCCTCGCCCGTCTCCCTCTCTCCTGCCATCAGCTCTGCGCCTTCCCCTGCAGCCATGGCCTTGAGAAGCGTTGACTTCCCCGCTCCGTTTGGACCAACGATTAACTGCCACGTGGCAGTTAGGGAGTATGACATAGCAAGGGAGAGCTGAGTGGTGTCCACATTGACTAGAATTGACCAGCTTTGAGCGCTGACCAGGAAGGATTGACCAGCATTGACCCGTATCAGGTAACAAGGAACAACAAAGGAGGGGGGGGGAGGAAGAGGGAGAGGTGGGTGCTTACGGTTCTCGTGCCAGTGTCAATGCTGAAGCTGACGTGTTGAATCTTGTACCCGCATTGACTAGCATTGACTAGCATTGACTAGCATTGACTAGCATTGACTAGCATTAACTAGCATTGACTAGCATTGACTAGCATTGACTAGCATTGAACAGCATCAGGTAACCAAGAAAGTGAGGGGGAAAGCAGGGGGTGGGTGCTTACAGTTCTCGTGCCAGTCTCAATGCTGAAGCTGACGTGTTCAATCAGGGCTGACGTGGCACCAGCCCAGCCAACCGCGGCGCGTCTAAGCGTGATGACTTCGCGGGAGCAGGGGGGAGGCGGGGGGAACCTCACAGCCACCTTCCTTCGGTCCCCTCCTGCATCACTGGCAAAGGCTGGGGGGGATGGGGGGGGTGGGATGAAGGGAAGGGAAATGGTAAAGGATGACGCGTTCCCTCCCGCGTCACTGGCAAAGGCTGGGGGGGATTGAAGGGGTGGGATGGAGGGAAAGGAAATGGCAAAGGCTGACGCATCCCCTCCCGCATCACTGGCAAAGGCAAGCTAGTGTAAACCCAAGAGGTAGGCGTAGGAAACATCACAGCCAAACGTCATAACCAAACGTCACAAACAAACGTCACAGCCACCTTCCTTCTGCCCCCTCCTCCTCATCTCACGCATGCTCACTTGGACCGAATCTCCTCCAGTGCTTTCTTTTTCACACTCAAACTCGCCCCCCTCTGATCCACCCATATCCCACCTTATCCTCCCCCAACAACTCCACGCCCCCCTCTCACTTGCCTCCTCCCTCTTCATCATCATCCAACATGCTCGCGCAAATAAGGTGATGAAGAGGGGGGCTCGCGCGAATCTTCTCCCGTGCTTTCTTTTTAGAGTCCCTTTTCCTCGCCCTGCTCCTCACAATCCCTCCTTATCCCCCTCTTTCCCATTCCATGCCCCATCTCACCTGCCTCCTCTTCATCCTCATCCGGCATGGTCGCTCGAATCTTCTCCAGTGCTTTCTTCTTTGAATTCGCCGCAGCAGCCTTGGTAGCCTTGGCACCTCACTCACACTGTCCCCCCTTACCCCCCACCCCCTCCCTCTCCCCCCCTCCCCCTGTCCATTCCCATCTCATTCCCCCCTCTCACCTGCCTCCTCTTCATCCTCATCAGGCATGGTCGCTCGGATCTTCTCCAGGGCTTTCTTCTTTGAATTCGCAGCAGCAGCCTTGGTAGCCTTGGCTCCAAACCGATTGATAAACCCTTCCAACTTCGCCATCTCACTGCGCTTCCCCTCCAACTCCCTCTCCCTCTGCCTCCTTCGCTCCTCTCTTTCCTCTAGGAACTTGGAGAAGGAGCAGGAGTAGTGGTGCAGCTGGGACCCCCGCACTTCAACGATCTTCTGGCAGACGCGGTCCAGGAGGGTCTGGTCGTGACTCACGACGACCAGGGCTGCTTGGACTCGACATAGGTACTCCGCCAGCCATGCCTGTTGTTATAAAAGGGAAGGGAAGGAGCAGGAGTAGTGGTGCAGCTGGGACCCCCGCACTTCCACGATCTTCTGGCAGACCCGGTCTGGTCGTGACTCACAACAACCAGGGCTGCTTGGACTCGACATAGGTACTCTGCCAGCCATGCCTGGGAGAGTGGTACAAGGGGAGAACGGAAGGGAGTCAAGCAAACCATTGCGGTCCAGGAGGGTGTGGTCTACCACCAGGAGGGTCTGGTCTACCACCAGGAGGGTGTGGTCTACCACCAGGAGGGTGTGGTCTACCACCAGGAGGGTGTGGTCTACCACCAGGAGGGTGTGGTCTACCACCAGGGCTGCTTGCACCCAACACAAGTACTCCGCCAGCCATGCCTGTTGTGGTACGAGGGGAGGGGAGTAAAGAAGCCAAGTAAGGTCAACCAGCGAGGTCCAGGAGGGTGTGGTCGTGACTCCTACTAACCCCAGGGCTGCTTGCACCCGACATAAGTACTCCGCCAGCCATGCCTGGGAGGAGGTACAAGGGACAAAGCGAAGCCATGCATAACAGCCCAGCATTCAACTTTTTTTTTTTTTTTGCAAAACATGCGCAGTGCTGAACTGTTGAAAGTAGAAAATAAGGCCCTGCACTTTCCACCCACCCTAGTAGTGGCATCCAGATGGTTGGATCCAGCAGCAGTAGCGACCTGCCCCCCTGCCCTGCTGTTGCTACAGATGCCACCTACCCTAGAAGCACCTGCCCCTCTCCCACCCACCCTAGCAGAGCATCCAAATGGTTGGATCCAGCAGCAGTAGCGACTTGCCCCCCTGCCCCTCCCCTTCCCCTGGCCCTTTTCCCAGAAGCACCTCAGTTTTCCGCTCACCCTAGCAGCTGCATCCAGATGGTTGGTAGGCTCGTCCAGCAGCGGTAGCGACCTGCCCCTCTTCCCTGCCGCCACTACATGTGAGGCCTGCCCCAGAAGCACCTGCCTCTCCCTGCTCACCTCTGCCTCTCCCTTCTGAACCCACTCACCCTAGCAGCAGCATCCAGATGGTTGGTTGGCTCGTCTAGCAGCAGTAGCGACCTGCTCCCCTGCCCTGCGGCTGCAGCTGACGCCTGCCCCAGAAGCACCTGCCACAGCTCACCTCCCTCTCCCTGCTCACCTCTACCTTGACCTTTGGGGATCACTCACCCTAGCGGCAGCGTCCAGATGGTTGGTAGGTTCGTCCAGCAGCAGAAGCGACCTGCCCCCCTGCCCTGCTGTTGCTACAAATGCCACCTACCCTAGAAGCACCTGCCCCTCTCCCACTCACCCTAGCAGCGACATCCAAGTGGTTTGTAGGCTCGTCCAGCAGCAGAAGCGACCTGCTCCCCTGCCCTGCTGCTGCAGCTGACGCCTGCCCCAGAAGCAGCCTGGCCAGGGCGATCCTCATCTGCCAGCCCCCCGAGAAGGAGTCGCAGGGATTGTGCCAGTTGGAGGAATCGAACCCGAGACCTTTGAGCACACTGGAATGAGGGAAGCAAAGTGTAGGGGGGAGAGAAGGGGGGGGAAGAGGGACGAGGATGGGGAAAGAGGGACAGAAGAGGAGATAAGAAGAAGATAACAGCTCGTAAGAGGAGATAAGAAGAAGATAAACCAGCTGGGAAAGTCAGAAACCGTCAAAGGAGAGGAGGAGTTGTAGGCCATGCGTTGACCTGGGGGAAGCCCCATTCAGGTGTTTGTTTTGAGACGTCTCATAACAAGCTGGAAGCCTAATTCCGGTACTTGGAAGAGTTGATGTTTAAAGTTTGAACTGTGAACCCCCTTCGTTACCTCTCCGCCGTAAAACTTCGAGTCTAAAGTTTGACGTTTGAAGCCCAGAGTTACAAGTTCGCTTTTCCTCGCCTTGCCTCACATCCCTTCCCTTCCCTCACCTTGTGAGAAATCCTTGAGACTTCTCAAAAGCCCCCCTGCCTGCACTCACTACTGCTCGCTGTACTCTACCTACCCTGCCACCTCTCACCCCTCCCCCCATCTCTCCCTCACCTCGAAACAATCTCGTCCTTTTTCGCCCCTCCAATCGCATCGAAGCGCATCTGCGCCTCGACGAATCGGATTGCAGCCTGCTCCATCGCCCTCGCCCTCTCCCCTGCCACGTCACTCGAGCCACCCGCCAGCTCAGCTTCATCCTCGCTGTCTGTCAGCTCAGCCTCGGCTGCATGCATGTCAGCCTCTGCTTTATTGAGAGCATCCATACGCGAGCTCGCCTCCTCCCACACGCTCCTCCGAGACCCTGACACCGCACTGGAGAGAGTGGGGACGAGAGGGGGTTCGGGAGGGGAGCGATGGGTAAAAAGGGAGGGAGGGTGGGGGGGAGGTGTGGTTGAGAGCATCCATGCGCGAGCTCGCCTCCTCCCACACGCTCCTCCGACCCTGACACCGCACTGGAAGGGAAGGAAAGAGATGGGAAGAA